CCTCTGATACACCCCTATTCTCTGTCGTGCTGAGGCGCCTGGAGCCCTCCCCAGCAAGCACACAGGCATTCTAAAGTGTAGAGAGTGACACCGCCAGCAGGCTCCCCTCCACTGTCACAGGGCCCTCGCAACATAGGTGTGGAGTTCCACATCAGGCGCAGCCACTCACGGAGCAAGCGGCCTACCAACACGTGACGGGGTCTTGGAAATTCACAGAGTAAAATATGCAAAGCGGGTTGTCCTCTACATATTCACAATCAGCTATGATGCAGAAACATAATTTAAACATGTCAAGAAAGATGGATGTAAATACTTTGAGGAACTATTACACTCAAGATTACTTCATGCTGGACCTTCACCATTTATTTGATATTACGGCAAAAGGCCTGAAGATAAGACCATTTTTGTATCATACTGAGATTACAGAGGACGTTATGACCCATGAGAATATGTGTGCTTCATTGCCCGGCTTTACCAGGGCTGGCTAAGTTTTTTTTGGCATAAATGTGTAAGCAGTACAGTGATATTATAAATCAGTATAGATCATCATTTTTTTTTCTTTTTAAAATATGAAGAATGTTCACATGTGGTGTGTCCATTTGAAGAATGGCCACATTGTCTACTCATAATACCAGTGGAAACTGCCATAGAGTTGGTGGGGGGTGCAGGCTGGTCAGATCACAAAAACGACATAAAGATGCATGAATATTCCATAGGTAATATCACTGATTCAGGTCCTCCACTCTCTAGATCACTAGATTACGATGTGATACATAATTTATATAAGAATTTACTTACTTAAATATATCAATATCTAATGACAATTTTATTGTCTTGATGATTTAATAATGAATTGAGTGCAAGACGACTAGGTGATGAAACTTTCAAACTATATTTCTTTCAATTGTTGAGCATACTAATTTTGCAGAGCTTGCAAATGTCCTTGAGACAGACTTTTCCTCGTTAGAAATGGTGTTTCCACCCTGCCAGGGTGGCTCAGTCATCCCAAACACCAAAACTTTGTGAATTGGATCCACATCAGGGCATATACCTAGGTTTCAGGTTTGATCCTCAGTTGGGGCTCATATAGAAGGCAACTGATTGATGTTTCTCTTACATCAGTCTCTCTCTCTCTCTGTTTGTCCCTCTCTCTCTCTTCCTCTTTCTCTAAAATCAATAAACATAGTTGGGTTTAAAAATAAAAATAAATATATTTCTTAAAAAAAAAAAAAAAGAGCCCTGACTGTTGTGGCTCAGTGGATTGAGTGCTAGCCTGTTAACCAAAGAATCTCCAGTTCAATTCCCGGTCAGGGCATATTCCTAAATTGCGGGCCAAGTCCCCAGTAGGTGGTGTGCAAGAGGCAACCACACATTGATATTTCTCTCCCTCTCTTTCTCCCTCCCCTTCCCTCTAAAATAAATACAATCTTTTAAAAAATGGGGTTTTCATGTGTTGTTGATTGGACTTTGCCCGTAAGGAGAGATAATGTAGATCAACTTCAATGTTTGATCTGTAAACAGATTTAAAAGTATTTTTATCACTAGATGACAAGGAAAGTAGAAGCTCTGTCAAACTTCAATGTTTGATCTGTAAACAGATTTAAAAGTATTTTTATCACTAGATGACAAGGAAAGTAGGAGCTCTGTCAACTCCGATACTGATAAAAATCACCAAGATCCTGCTGGCACAGCCAATACAAGCAGTGTGGGTCTCTCTACAGGATCCACAAAGCTTATTGATTTCCTATTTGATTCAACTCTTACCTTTATAATGATGGGCAATCTTTCACCCAAAATTGGCAAATTCTCATGTAAGTCTCTGGAAACCTTTCTTACAGAACTAGAAAAGGTTCAAAACACTGGTAGAGAAGTACAGAGATAGTTAGGTCAGGCACTCGCTCTGAGAAACACAGCACTGCCTCTGCGTACTCACAATGACACAGCCACATGACTGCACAGCCAGAACAAGCCAGTTAAGGTTTTTTTCTGAATCTCTTATGCTCTGGGAGCCTATTGATTTAGACCCAGCAATTTATAGCAGAGTTCTAAACAAAAGTTATACATTGCCCCTTTCCATGGCTCCTCTCAATAATGGATTCAGTCCATGAGCAGCTAGTACTCCCCAGAATATTTGACCAGTTATCTAGAAGTCATTGCCCAGAAGTCAGATCCTCATTGATTTTACTGTCCAAAGGTTCAAGACTTCAAAAACCATTGGATATATTTCAGGGTTACTATTGAGCATTAATAATGTTTTGGAGTCACAATCCTGACGTTATCCCTACTTCAGACTAGCTCAGATGTTGAATGATGGGATGAGAAACCTTTCCCATTTGGTAAAACAGCTACATGGAAAGTTTGCTTGTGTCAATATGGGTGTCCACAGGCGTTACAAATATCAAGGAACAAAGTGGGCTTGTAGGGATTTTTGTGTATATGTCCTCACATCTATGCTTTCGGTCAACATGCAAACAGAAAACTTGGTGCTGCTTGTGGTAAGAAAAGAGAACCTGACTTACTTTCCAGCTCAGAGAAAATGAAAGCACAGAATCATCACAAATGGTCATTGAGGAGGCACCTAAGGACTCAGCAACAAAACAGAACTCTGATGTTGCCACAACAGAAGCCAGCCGGTTTCCTCTTGATTAAAAAGGAGATGTTTCTTTTTAATTCAGAGCTGTTTAGCTGCTTAGCTCTGAATTGAGAAAGTCTGTAAGAAAACTGCTATAAACAACCTTTGCAGAAAGAAAAGACTTCAAAAACTCTGGCATTCCATTAGAAAACTCTGGATACATGCCCTTTACTTTGTTCAGTCACTCTAGAAAGGTGCTTCTACACTGGACATTCACACAGAGGCAGCTTTTTCGAGTGCGCTTTACAAACTCCTTAAGCTAGTCTGGCTTTTGCATTTGAGTTTACACTGACACAGCCAGTATAAGCAGTTTGGGCCTCACTCTACAGGAGCCACAAAGCTTACTGATTTCCTATTTAATAGGACCAGCAGTGGATGGGAGACCTCACAGTGCCAGAAATAATTTTTTAACTTTTCAATTTCCACTTTGCTTCTGCTACCAGGGCCATAAGCTCAGGTGTTTTTCTTTCCTGTGTGAATGAGAAAGAGATTATGTAATAAACCTGACGCGATCAGGGGTGCCACGTGGCAGGCCCGACAAGCTCAGTGACTGAAAGTAACCACACAGAATAGTCTTATCGCAAACACCTAACTAGGCAGTTCACAGCAGGTAGTCACATCCCAGGCCTATAGCAAAAGTAGCATTTACCTTAAGTGAGCCATGACCATTTTTCTTACGTATCTAGGATAACATAAGAAAAGGTCAGAAATGTTGAAATGTCAGAGTAATTTTGTTTTCTAGACTCCTCGAAAGCACAACCATAGGCATCAGAACATAGGACCACCAGAGCAGGAGACCACAGAACCCTACTGTTATCTTGTTCCCCCATGGTATTGTAAACATTGTTAACTATCCTGTACCCCAATGTATTATAGAAGTGTTTCTCTATTTTGCTTTTTATCCAATCCTAGAAGTTTCCCTGTTTTACTTTCTCCCATCTCCTTAATCTACCATCAGATTTCACGTAGTACCTTTCTTATGTTGTCCCCTGATTCTAAACGCATAAAAAGAACTGCAAAACTGCTATTCTCCAGAGAATTTTCTTAATCCGTTGAGATCTTGCCTCTGGGCATCACCTAAAAACTTTAGTTACAATAAACTCTTATAAAACTTTTAATTATCCATTCCCATTCCAGCTATAGTTTCCTCAGCTGACAAGTCCTTCTGCTTGTGGACAATACAGAAAACACATGCGTGGTGCCTGACTGACCACGATTTAAGGGAGGGCTCACCACTTCCTAGCTGTGTGACATTAGGCGGGTGATTTAACCTTCTTGGGACTCTTTTCTATAAAATGGAGGTTAATACCGGCCTCACAGGCAGTGTCCACACTGAACCTAAACATAGTAACTGCACTCACCAAACGTTCGTTTCCCCTGGTCCTCCCAATTTCACCTTTCAAGGCACTTTCAACAGCAACCCAAACTGCACATATTGAGCCTGTAGTATATGTATATATCGGCCCTTGGAGTGTTGTGATATTAAAATACAGGAAATACCTTCCCGGGCAGGAGAAGCTTATAGTGTACTCAGGGAGACCACTTCCCTTACAGCAGTCCTTGGAGGTAGACAAGAATGAAAACAGCAAGGGACAGAAGGTACACAAAACTAGGGACACGGAATCCAAGGGGGAATAGAGACCTAACGCTCGTGCTTGTCCCGGCCACAGCCCCGGCCCTGTTCGGCTGTCTCACTCATGGGGCGCTGACCCGCTCGAGTCACGCTTGGTGCCCCATCCCCACCCAGGCCGGCAGCTCCAACGGGTCCCCAGGGACAGGTCAATCCTCGGCGGGAGGATGCAGGAAGGCCAGCTGTTCCCAGCGACCGTTGGCGGTTGCCGGACACCTGCTGCTACAGCTCGGACTGGCTCCTTCCTCTGACATTGAGATGACTTTAACCAACCGCCAGCGAGGCGGGTCGGGAGGCCCCGCCCACCCGGAGCCCGCGAGAGGCGCGCGGGTGGTTTGCTGAGGCCTGGGCGGCGGGCTGGGCCTGTGAAAGAAAGGAAGGCGTGCGCTTACACCCTGGGCTGTGGGCAGCTGTTAGAAAAAGCCCTTGCGGGGAAGGTTGGGGGCAGAGGCGTGTGTGACCCTGGGCAGCCTCTGCTTCTTTCCCGGCGTCAGTCTTTCCATTCTCACAATGTTGGCAGAATGCGAGGGGGGAAAGACCGCGGGGGAAGGAGATCTAAGAGGTAGACGCGGGGACCCGTCGCCCTCACGGAAAATGGAGTGGAGGAGAGGGCGCGCCCTGAAGGCCTCGGCGGAAAGGCGTTGGCTCGCGAGGTTTGCGCCTCGAAGCCTATTGGCCCGTAAGCCCCGCCCCTCCCCAAAGGCCCTGCCCCCAGGGCTTAAGTCCCCGCTGCAGCTTCAACCAACCCCAACTGCAAGCCTCAACCCCTACGCCTACGAGGAGAGTACTGTCTGCGCCAACTTCGCGCACCCTCGCCTGCAGACAGACTGAGCCACCCGCTCTCTCCTCTCTTGTTCTCCCTGCGGCCCGGTGAGCCCTGCCCCAGCCCTGCTCCTGCTCCACGTGGTCCTCGCCCGCTACCCTCGTCGCAAGGACTAGCGCGCTTCGTTCTCTAATTTCCCTTCTACGCCCAAACTATTTTGTATTTTTCCTCTCTGTCCGACCTGTCTCTATCTCTTCTTTCACCCTTTTCCTGTCTTTTGTTCTCTGCCGCTCGCGTTCAGTTGGTTGCAATTTAAACCTTCACCCTCCCACTCCCTTTCCTCTGCCAGAATGCCCAGCCCTGCCTTGGGTGGGGGCCTTCTGGCCCATCTGCAATGACCAGAATGATCTCTTCCTCCCTCGGGGGCTCCTGGCCATTGCTGGAGCTATTTCTGCTGGGGTGTGAATTTGAGCTGCTCGAACCAGCTTCTGCTGGCCCTCGATCCTCCAACCTCGCAGCCTCACCCTGGGGCCTAGTGGACTCTGAGCGAGTCTCTGACCCATCATGACTCCTGCCCACCCGCTTCTGCTGACTGGGCTGAGGAATGCTTTCCAGAGAACTGCGCGCCACCAAAGCAGAAGTCTGAAAAAGCCAACGTGTTACACTAAAAGAGGGGCGGGTGGGGAGGGGGGAAATTCCTGGGTTCATTTCCCCCTTCCATTTTGTGCACTTAATTACTCCCCAGCAGCCCGGGGAAATGGATCCTTCCTTCTAGGCACCTAGTGGACTGTGAACCTTGGGCAGGGCCCTTTCCTTATTGGGGTCTGGTCCTTTAAGGTGAATTTCCTTCTGAACTCTCCTCCTTTGCCATTATCCACAGGACACATAGTATGAACTTTAGGTGTTTCGTCTCCCAGCCATTTTCTATGGAAAACCAGCAAGATCGGGCCATGATAGCTGCTGTCAGCTTTGAAGAACGGGACACCTTTAGAGAAGCCTGATCTTAGAGGCCTCAGCGTGAGACCTTACAAAGCCGGGTAAGAGTCCAGTTTAGGGGGCATCTCCAGCTGCTGCCTAGCCCTATAGTCTGGGGTAGGGGTGAGGGGTCAGCAGGACATTACAAAAATAACTACCCCCCACCCCTGGTAAAGTTGCTCTTCCCTGTTCACAAAGCACCGTCATGTATCCATGGTTTCATTTTGTCTCTTACACTGACCCTGACAAACCAAGGATAATGGCCTCCATTTTACAAAGGAGGAAGTTGAGGCCCAGATGGGACAGTGATTGGCCCTGGGTAACCCTGGGAATCAGGAGAACAGGAACCTACTCTTCTAACTCCATGTTTCTGACTCCAGTTTTGACTGTCCCTGAGATACAGACTAAAAATGAGATGTACTTTTTTTGGACATCGAAACTGTTGTTTGCGGGAGACTAAAATAAATACGATTAACTCTTTCTAGGCCTGAGTTTTACTAACTCTTCATAGTAAGGTCTTTAGCAGAGGTGATCTTTACCCCCATACTCATGCCCCTGAAGGACCTGACTTGTGGCAAACCCAAGGCAACATTCAGAATGTCAGCTGAGTCTCTGTACTTGTCTTTGACGTGGGCAGGGGTGGGTCTTACTCTGTCCTGGCGCTCACTACAGCCTCAACCCAGCTTGAACTCAGGACATGAGGCCAATGTCATCGTGTCTCTGATGCCCAGAGGAGGGATGCCGTTTGCCTCCACCTTCTCAGAACTGTCATGCTGGCACAAGAGAATTTGGCTGTTGGACTTTGTTGTGAAAGGCCCTGCCTGGGCCTGAGAAAATGGCAGGGAAGAAATGAGCTGGGCACTAGTACAAAGCAAAGAGCGAAAGCCTTAGAGCTGTAGAAATGGTTCTCACCAAGTTCGCTATTTAGCTCTAATGTGGAAGTAAGGGCACCTCACAGCTGCTCTGAGGGGTGGGCCTGGTAATAGGGTGCCCCAGGCAATGGGGTGGAGCACCTCCCAGGGGATGAGGATGTTAGAGCAGGAATGGTAGAGGGTCTGGAGCGTCTTCATCAACCCACTGTGCCATCTCAGTGCCCATCTTCACTGAGCCTAAAGTGAGCCACACTCCAGTGAAAGGAAAATAAGCCCTGCCCTGTCGGAGTTTCTGATGCCCTTGAGCCCTGAGTAGCCTCTAGGCTTCCCTGTTTGCCCCAGCTACTTGGACAAAGCAGCCCTGGAGCTTTTTGTTTCCCTGGGTCTCTGTGTTCACACTGACTTCCCCCACACCCTCCCCCCCGCTGGTCTGCTCTTTCCTCCTGGCCCCAGCAACTGGGGCAACCAGTCAGACTGGGTTCAGAGCAGCTGCTCCTTCAAAATCAGAGAAATGAGCTCAGGGGAGAGAGAAGCAGGTCATCCTCCCCCACTGGGGTGCTGGGCTCACTTCCTCCCTTAGCGGGGGAGGGCAGGGTGTTGTTCCAGCTCTGAGAACAAAGTGTAGCTTTTGGTTTCCTGTGTCATTCTGTATCTCTAACTTGCATCTCCCCGTCCCCACCTCTTTTGTGGTGGAGACTGGGTTCCCCTGTGGTAGAAGAGGGGAGATGGTTTTCCTTGACTCACACAGCAGGCCAGGGAGGAACGCTGAGTACCTAGGCGCTGCTCTGAGCCCCGAGAATTGCCCAGCATCCCTCAAGGTCCAGCTAAATGTTACCTTTTCCAAATCTGGTGACCCTCTCTTCCTTACCTCCCTCCTGTCGGGGGCATTCCCTCCACTGCAGTCTTACTAGTATGTCCTGCAAGCCCTAGTGCAGCTTGAGTCACCTGCCCACTCCCTGTGCCAGACAGTCGGCCCCTCTAGGGTAGATACTGCCTTCTGTGTCTCAGTGAACCGGGACCTAGTAAAGCAGTCTTGAAAGAATGATTCAGGTGAGCCCAAGCCATGTGAGGGCTGGGAAGGAACTGAACTGGGTTATCCATTCCTTTGCTTCCACACTTAGACAACTCCAGACCCATAGGAACCTCTCCCGCCTAAGAAACCCAGGGCGTAAGCCTGCAGGTCTGTGCCTGTCAGGTTCTGGTCTGGCTGAAACCTTTTCCTCCATTCTGTCTGCTTTCCAGACAGACCTGCAGAAGCAGGAATGTGGGCATCATCAGTGGAATCTTTGAACCCAGCAGACAGAGGTCTGGGCCATGGCCTGTTTGGGACAGCACTAGGGTGTCTGCGATGCAGACTCCCCGTGGTGAAAGGGAGGGAGCTCTTCACTAACTGGGCCTCGCAGTCAGGAGTTGCTTCTTCGGCCCCTATTCCAGTACCTCCGGAACTCACTTGTTTTCCCTCATAGGGTTGCTCTGGTCCTTGCTTAGGCAGGTGGTGCTGCTGGGGAAGGTGGGGGGTGGGGGTGATGAGCAGGGAGGGCCGAGGGGTACTGATGATGGTGGGGCTTCTCTCTCCTTGGCTTAGATTCCGGCAGAGTTCCTCTATCTCGTCTTGTGGCTGGTTGAAGGTGCCCCCTTCTCCATTTTTTCTTCATCTTCTGGGAGGTAGCAGGAAATAAGCACCATGGTTGGGTTCAAGGCCACAGATGTGCCCCCTTCCGCCACTGTGAAGTTCCTGGGGGCCGGCACAGCTGCCTGCATTGCGGATCTCATCACCTTTCCCCTGGATACCGCCAAAGTCCGGCTGCAGGTGAGGTGATGAAGCCTAGGGGTCTTGATGGTGTCTAGTCTGTTCCCTTTCCAAGATGCAGATTCCTCAAGGGCCAGTGGGGTGTTTGGGACTGTACATTTGGGAGCATAGGAATGGTGGGAGATGGGGATGGCAACCTGCCTACCCCCAAACCTGTCTTGGCCTTGCAGATCCAAGGAGAAAAGCAGGGGGCAGTGAGAACGGCAGCCAGTGTCCAATACCGCGGCGTGCTGGGCACCATCCTGACCATGGTGCGCACCGAAGGTCCCCGCAGCCTCTACAATGGGCTGGTCGCCGGCCTGCAGCGCCAGATGAGCTTCGCCTCGGTCCGCATCGGCCTCTATGACTCTGTCAAGCAGTTCTACACAAAGGGCTCTGAGCGTAAGTGTGGAGCGGGGGCCCTGGGCTCCTTTTCCTTTTCCACTCGGTGATGACTGATTCTAGTTCATTTTGCAGTGTAGCTCCTTTAGGCCTAACGATCCTGAGGAGGATCAGAGGAAGGGAGAACTGGAAGGGCCCTGATTCTCCTAATGAGTCCAGAGCTTGCGCTTTGCCAGCTCTGAGCAGGGGTCCTCCCGTGACAGCACTCACAACCGCCTTGAGAGGAGGTGGCACTGTCCCTGTATTACAGATGAAGACACAGGCTTACAGGGGCTGGCGGGAGGGTCCTTGGCCAAGGCCACACAGTGGGAAGCCAGAAAATACACCCAGGACTTTAGCTTTCAAGACCAGCACTTTCATTTCTTCTCTACACGCCATGCCTACACTGTTTTACACATGTGGAAACTGAGGACCCAGGTCATGGGTTGGCTTTTCCCAAGATGACATGGCAGCGAAAAGTAGATCTGGGATGAGAACCCAAGTCTTATGTCGCAGTCCTTGGAAAAGCCGCTTCTCTTGAGCCTAGGTTTTCTCATTCATCAAGTGGAAACTATTCTGGTTTCTCAGGGCTGTTGAGCAGGTTCGGTGAAGTGAGTGAAACACTCTATGAAAGAAAGCACTATGGTCTCTCTTTGTCCTACTCCCTGCTGTATCCCAGTGCCTAGCAAGTAGTAGACATAGTAGTATTTTGTTTGACGTGAGGAGTTCTTAGAGCAAGAGTGGGTCTGGATTCTGTTTCTGAAAGGCAAGAGGTTATAGTCACCTGGCTTATTTGGTGAGGAGAAGCAGAAAATGAGTCTAGGCCCAGCTAGACTCCCACGGTTCTCCCCCCACAGACGCCGGCATTGGGAGCCGCCTCCTGGCAGGGAGCACCACCGGGGCCTTGGCTGTGGCTGTGGCCCAGCCTACGGATGTGGTGAAGGTCCGGTTCCAGGCTCAGGCTCGGGCCGGAGGTGGCCAGAGGTACCAAAGCACCGTCGATGCCTACAAGACCATTGCCCGAAAGGAAGGGTTCCGCGGACTCTGGAAAGGTGTGTACCGGACGTTTCTTCTTCTCCTCCTCCTTCCTCCCCCATCCCTGGTCTCACATAGGCGCCCCTTCCTTCTGTAGGGACCTCTCCCAACATTGCTCGTAATGCTATTGTCAACTGTGCCGAGCTGGTAACCTACGACCTCATCAAGGATGCCCTCCTGAAGGCCAACCTCATGACAGGTGAGTTAGGGTAGACGGAGCTGGGTCTAGTCCTTCCCCCAACCCAGGATCAGCTGTGGGAACTGGGTTGCCTGAGGAGCACATCTTTTTATCCTGGTCCCCTCTGCTTGTGGAGGGAGTTCTCTCTCTCTCTCTCTCTCTCTCTCTCCAGCTTGAGGCCAGTCGAGATGAAACTCCCACTTTGCACACTGAGGCCCTGAGGCAAGGTGGGCAAAATGTTGCTCAGGTCCTGGGGAGGCATCCCAGCTGGAGCCTCTGTCTCTAAAACCACAAGACCCCAGCTACTTAAGTAATCTCTCTCCTTCTGGAATGATGGGGTGAGGAGTCCTGACTCTTCTGCCTGCTCTTCCTCCTTGACAGATGACCTTCCTTGTCACTTCACTTCTGCCTTTGGGGCAGGCTTCTGCACCACCGTCATCGCCTCCCCTGTGGATGTAGTCAAGACGAGATACATGAACTCTGCCCTGGGCCAGTACAGCAGCGCTGGCCACTGTGCCCTCACCATGCTCCAGAAGGAGGGTCCCCGGGCCTTCTACAAAGGGTAAGCCTGTGGTCCACCCCACCCAGTTCCGGGGTGATCACACAGGTGGGAGAGAGCCACCTGGAACTGAGTAACAACAAAGTGTTTAGCAATTTCTGATCATGGCCCTAGTATTTCACCAGCCTTCTCTCTCATGCTCTTAATTCCTTCCTCAAAGAGTTGCTACCTACTTGAAAGGTATTAAAATGGAGACCCCTAGAGTTCTGGGTCACAGCCACACGGTTGTGAGGCACTGGCCCCCGGGCCCTCCTGACCTCCTTTGGGATAGAGAGGCTAGGTTGGATTGGATGCCAGAGCCCACTGGGGTGAGCAGGAGGTGGAGGTGCCCCCTGTGACCTGTGTTTTCTCCCTTCCAGGTTCATGCCCTCCTTCCTCCGTTTGGGTTCCTGGAACGTGGTGATGTTCGTCACCTATGAGCAGCTGAAACGGGCCCTCACAGCTTCCTGCACTTCCCGGGAGGCCCCGTTTTGAGCCTGTCCTGCTGCCAACCTGGCCACCTCTGGCTTGGCTTCAGCTCCAGCCAGGCCCTGCTTCCCTTTTCCTCCTCCCCTCCTTTCCTTCCCGCACTCCACACCCCTTCTGCTCCCATTTCTACCACCCTCTCCCCTCTCCCCACACTCCGCACCTCTCCTCCCACCTCACCTCCCCATGGCCTCTCAGTCCTGGTGCAGTGGGTCCAGCTGACACTGTGGGAGGCCCGATCCCAAGCCTCTCAGCCTTGCTCTTCAAGATTCTGTCCCCAAGCCCAGAGAGCACATCACCCATAAAACAAGCTCAACCTTGGTGTCTCTTCCCTCTCTCATAGCTGTCACCAGAGATCTTAGTCTAATGGTCCACTGGCACTTGGTGGGCAGGGGAGGAGCCACCCTGACTTGGAAAAGTGGGTGTAACTCAGTTTCTACCTCCAGTGTCCAATCTAGTCCCGCTGGTTCTCTTTCCAAACCAGGCCCCAGGCTGAAGTGGCGAGTAAAGGAGCCCAGAGTCACAGCTGGGACTTTGCCCTCTCCAGGCTACTTGAGCTTTTACTCCCACAGTGCCTTGTACTCTGGCACTGCCTTCCCAGCCCCTCAGCTGGCCTCAGGCATGTTTACCTGTCTGTCTGCAAAATGAGAATGTTCCTATCTGCCCTGCAACTCCAGTGCTTCTCGGAAGATTTAGAGGAACTTGGGAATCTTAGGTGTCGTGGGCTTATTTTACTCCATTTCACAAATGGGAAACCCTACCCTCAAGTCCCAGACCTAGTGAGGGCAAGTTGGGCCGCCTCGCATCCTCCAGGTTCCCATCCATCCGTAGAGACAGTCTTGTACTGGGAGGGCGGGCTGCAGGGCTCACATTTGTCCTTGGCCAGAGAGCTTTCTGGTTGGAGGTTTACCCTGTCCCCAGGCCAGGAGGTCCCAGAGGCTGGAATTGTATTGTGCAGGGCTGGGGCCTTAAGAGTTCAGCCACCCTGGCCCATCTTGTGAATGTCTGAAGGGTGTGAGGGCTGAGAGGTTGTGTGGCCAAGGATACACAGGACATTGTCAGCTGATCTGAGACCAGGACTCCTGCCTCCCAGGGACCTTTGCTGGGGTCCTGCGGGAATCAGGCAGCTGTGGAGCCAGGCAGAGGAAATGACCTCACAGCCTAACACGGTTGGTGCCCCTGCTCCTTCCCCCATTGGTCTAAGCTGGAGGCTAGGCCCCTCGGTGCCTGAGCAAGGGGCCCAGGATATTAGGTTTCTGGATAACAGAGGGCCCAGCTTCTAACAAATTAAGGTGTCTCAGTCCCCAAGAGTGACAGGATTGGGTACCATGAGTCAATTTAAGGTGAAGGCAGACAAATCGTCCAGGCTGTTCAGTGCTGGGCTGCAGGGCATCAGCATAAATGGAGGCTCCTGGCAATAGGTGAACATTAAACTCTAAGGCAGGCCATTCACTGTCACACACTAGAGGAAACCGGCAATCCGTCACACTAGGCAAGTTGGCTGGTTTGTTCAGCAGGCTTATGTCCCAGATGGGCGGACGGGTCCACCAGGCTTCCTCATGGTTTTGGGTGCGATCCTGGGGCTATGACCTGGGATAGGTGTAGAAACCACATAAAATGCTTTGTCCTTACTGCCTATAAAATGGGTGGTAAGCACTGCCTTGCCTGGCTCACAATGTACCACTGAAGATCGCTAGAGCGGAGCCTGGTGCCTGAGCATGAGCTAAACACTGAAGTACAAGTGTCAAAGGTCTTCAGTCTCACTGAGGAGCAGCCTTTCTGGCTGGTCTAGGGGAGACCTGGGTACTAGAATTTCCTGGCACAGGCTCCACACACCCTCACCTGGTCCCCTGCCTCAGGGCAAGTCATCCAGTTTAGGGGTTGACTGCAAAGTGGAGGTTGTGATTTGTATGGATCTAAGGTTCAGAGAAGTGATTTGCCTGAGGGCGCACAGCTGGTAAGTAGCACACCTGCAGTGTACCTGACTCCAGACCCCTCTCCCTGACTGCAGAGATGCTCCCTAGACCCCTGGTCCAGATCCTACACCTCGGGCTGCTGCTCACACTGCTGCTTTCTCCCTGACGGGTTGAAAATGGCTGACGTGCTGCTGAGTACCCATTGAAGGAAAAGGCCATAAGCCAGCGAACATGGTGCTTTACATGGTGGAGTCCAAGCAACACAGGTCCTTTTTTTGACACCCCCTGAGTTCAGGGAAGTGACCACTTTGTCATAAGATTGGGCCACCCTGTACCAAAACCAGACTCTGAAGAGTCTCCTGGCACAGAAGCAGCGTGCACCTCACTTGCTGACTGATGGAAGGCAGACTGTGGGCAGGTGTGGTCTGTGCAGGCCCGGCTGGGCCTGGGGGCTGGGCTCCTAAACAAGTTCACCAAGCACTTTCACACCAGTGACCGGGTCCTCACAAGTAACCTGAGAGGCCTTATGAGCAGTAATATCCAAGGGGGCCAGTGGCTGAGCAGGGAGCAGAACCCAGGTCTGCCTCCCAGGTCACCCTGCCTGGGAGCAGCCCAGAACCACTGCACAGGCAAGGGAGTTGAGGCTGGCAACGTAGAAACCAAAGCCATTTTCAGTGCTCGTGTGCTTTGTGCTGCTGCTAAGCAGGGTGAGTCTGTGGGAGGTGGCCTTCGAGGTTCTGCTGAGTCAGGTGTTTTCTTCCCCTCGTACTTCAGTTTTCTTGAGTACGATGTGACCATATCACACTCTAGAGACTGCCCCCCTCCTACAGATCACGTGTCATGAGAAATGAGTACAGCTGAGGACCTTCTGGCTACACAGCCCTGCCCCAGCTCAGAGCACTGAGGCTCTGATCCCACAAAGCCAGGACAAGGACTCGGGTCCTCGATTCTCCTCTGCTCCACGGAAAGGCTATATGAAGCTCCTCTGTCCTCTCCCAGCACACACTCTCCTGGGTGTAGTTGAAGGATAGGAAACAAATCTTTATTATGTGAGTTTCAAAGTCCATCTCACCCTCTTGCCACATCCGGGCAAGTGGGCTGGCTCACCTGAACACCCAGAGGCCGCGGGAGGCGGGAGTGGGTAAGGCCTGGCGCCCAGCCCTCCAGTTACATCAGCAGTGCCTGGCGCAGCATCTGCTTCTTCTGGGGTGTGAGGCGGGTGGGGAACTGGATGTCAAAGAAGATGAACAGGTCGCCCTTCTTGGTGGGGTCCTCAGGCAACGGCATCCCCTCACCCGGCACCTTCTTGAAGTACTTAGGACTGAGAGGGAGTGAAAGAAAGGAGTTACGAGGGCACCCAGAACAGCGCCTCGTTAGCTCCTGTGCCACCCCAGCTCACGTCACCGCAGGCCCGGGGCAGTCACTGTGGCTTCCACTAAGGGATGGGGGAGAGAAGAGACTCGCTTGTTCCAGATAATTTGCTCCCTGAAAACCTGTTTACACCAAGCCCCTGGTGGAATATTCCAGGAATCTCGTTTTGGAGGTGGGAAACAGGGCGAGGAAGGAGGGAAAGTGAGCAGACCCCGGGTTGGTGCGGGGGCTGGGCTGCTGAGCAAAGCTTCCTAGGCAGAGGGCCTTCCTTAAAAAGGGCTTAGTGGAATTAACTCAGAACTCTAATGAGAGCTGTCGGAGGACTGAAGATAAAGGCAGCAAGGATCGCCTAACATTGGGAGCCTCTACCATGGCTTCTTCGTGAAATTAGAAAAAGGCGCTCCATTTGCCAGGTGAATGCAGCCCACAGCTCAGGCAGAGTAGAAGCTGTATTTCAGTCCTCTCCTGCCCCCTTGTGCTCGGTGCAACCTGAACTACCAGGCCTACCTGTCTGATACTACCCTCTAAGGCCCAGGCCAGCCCTTCTGCCTGAGGGGCCCAAGCAGATGGACTCACTGGATGATGTCATTGATGGGGATGTTGAGCAGACGGTCATCTAGGGTCTTCACCTCCACAGTGCAGCAGGTCAGAGCCTAGGGGAAATTAGGGCCAAAGGTGGGAGTAGAGAAGGTCCCTGTGACCATTCTGTTTACAAGGCCCTTTATGATCGTCTTCAGTACCATATTGTGAGCTGGGCCTCAAGGAGATAAACGGAGATGCAAGGACTAACAGGTGAGTGAACCAGACAATGACCTGCCCTCAAGAATTCACAGTCTGGTTGGTAAGACTGATGATGTTGATTTGCATCTTAACAGAGGGAAATACAGGGCTCGGTGGGAGCCAAGGAGAGGCTCCCGAACCATTCTGGGTGAACAAAAGGCTACACAGTGCTGGCAGCAGTTGATGAGGGCCTTAAAGAATGATCACGTTCTTTCAATGGTTAGTTTGAAGAGGTGGGGAGACAGCACCGCAGGCAGAGGGGCCAGAACAAACGAGAATGAGGAGTGCAAGCGCACCGCATGGGCAGGAGCTCTAAGTGGCACGAGAGCAGCAGGGGCCAGATCCTGTAGGGCCTCAAATTCCACATGGAAATGTTTGAACAGGAGTGTGGCTCGGTCAGATGAGTGCGTGGAAAGACCACCGTGGGCAAGAGGCTAGAGATGAACAGGGAGGCAGGAAGTCCATGGAAGAGACTGCGCTCGGACCCTGACGGCGGGGATGAACAGAAGTGGACCAAGTGGAGAGGGGTTTGCAGGGGAATTGACAGGACTTAGTGACTGACTGCAGGTGGGGTGGGAGGAGAGGCAAAGTTTGGGCTGGTGCCATTTACTGCTTGGCTTGTAAGGGTGTGGAAGAGCCACTTACACTCAGGAGTGAAGTCAGCCACAGAGATCACCACACTCCGAAGGCCCGCTTGCCTCGGGGCCTCCCATGGGCGGGGGAGCTCGTTCTGATCCCGCCCCCACCGCGTTCCACTTCGGTCACTCACCTTACCCAGGGGAACGGAGTGCACAAAAAAAAGGTGGTCGTTCTCCCTTCGGAAGCGAGGGTGTAGCTTCTCCTTTACGATGAAGATGATGTCGGCTGGGATGATGTTGGGGCCCTGGGTGGGAGAGGCCAAGGCGGGACAGGACTAACTGGCTGTGTGACCTCGGCCAAGTTCCTGCCTCTACTGGTCTCCATGTCTTCATCTGAACAATGAGGAGATCAGACCAGGTTTTCTGGGAGGGCCCTTTCCTTTGATCTACTAGCCTCTCTTCTGAGAAGACGACCCAGATGAACCCTGGGCCCCTCACCCATTCCTTCTCTACTGAGCATGCTCAAAGAGACGTGCTCAGCGCTCAGCCTGCGGGAGACCGAGGCCTCCGTAGGCAGTGGGTGGAACACTGAGCCGAGCTCGGTACTCCGCAGTCTCTGTCCTGCTATGCTTCATTAAGTCACCAAAACCCCGCTGAAGTGTCTTCTGACCCCTGGGGACAGAGGAATCAGACTGGCTCCTACCCCGAAGAAGCTTCCAGTCTAGAGGGATAAAAACATGCACAGTGAATCCTCAGCAGGCCCAAGACTGAAAAAGGGAACCCCGAGGCCAGCGTTCTGAGAGGTATGGCCCAGGTGGGGAGGGCAGGGAGGGTAGCCCAGCGGGGGTAACATCGGAGCTGGGTCTTAAAGGACATGCTTTGTAGGTGAGAAAGGAGAGAAGAAGTGTCAGCAGAGAAATTAACCGCTCTTGGCTCTGAAGACACCATCACTGCCTTGGACAGTAATTTTATATTTTTATTTAAATTGGTATTTCAAATCATTGATAAGTGGTTTCTGCACAGTTTTTATAGCTGTAGTTTACTCAGAGAAACACTGAAGAAAAGCCAAGCGCTAGAGTCGGCTCTGGGTTCTCCTTTCAGTTCTTGTGTTCTTGCAAAATGGGGAGAGGCCCTGGGCTGCCCACTGGCCGAGGCGGGAGGCTCTGTCCCTTGGGAGAGACGTTAGCAACCTTCTCGCCCGTTTTGCAGACTGGTCTCCCTGCCAGAGGAGGGCTCATGGGGGCATGGAAAAGCATTGCCCTCTTCCCCTCCCACCTTTCAACCACAGGAGGCCAGGTAACTAACCTGAGGACGGGCCTAAATCAGCTTTCCTCTCTCTCACCTGGTCACCTTCCTTCTCAAAGGTGATCCGTGTGCCCTGCCTCCAACCAGGCTTCACGTCAATTGTGAGGATCTTGTCCTTGATGGTAGAGGAGTACCCATCCTCATTCAGCACCTGCAGCGGAAAGGTCGGGGGAGGACTGCTCGGGGCCTCCCGATGTGAAGGAAGCGCGGAAGGATCGGTGCCCGAGCTCAGTTGTCAGTCAGTGGGGACAACCTGCCTTGAGCCATTTCCTGTCCAGCCCCCTTCCACCAGAACAAGGAAATTAGGGTTCTGGAACGGCCCCACGTCATGGGGCCAGGGCCTAAGATGCCAGGCAGTCATGCCAAGGCTGCCGCTCCAGCCCCAGAAATCATGTGGCCCAGGTCACTAATGCAGTACAGTGAACGAGTACACAGTTCTCTCCCGCCCCAGAGGGTGACACAGAGCTCAACATATCTGAGCCTCGCCTGAAACATTCCCCTATTATGTCATCATCCGCCCAGTCCCCAGTCACATGCCCACATGGGTGTCATCCGTGGAAAGCATGCCCACAAGTGCCATCTCCCCTGCTGGGCAAAGTTTTGAGGGAGCGTTGTTCATGGGCTAGCACAGGTCTGGGCCCTGGGGTTAAGGGTCTTCCTCAACCAGCCCCCTCAGGGACTGGATCCTGCCCCCCCCAATTCCCACAGGGGGCCTTCTTACTCACAGGGCACCCCACTGATGAAGTCCCGAGGGCACAGGCTGGTGACACCAGAGGGCAGAATTCACCGTTCGCTCCTCCCATGCAGAGCCCTCCCACTTCCCGTGAGGGTGTGGTTGACCTGAGAAGGGGAGGGTTCTGTCGGGGTCAGAAAAGCTGCGGAGGGAATTCCTACACTAGGAAGGCACCAGGCCAATACCCCGATGCTCCCTCCCAAACTTCAGATTCTGGAATCTGCAGTGCTGGGCCTCCGAGTCTGAGATGGCACCATTCCACCAGAGACCGCCCCTGCGGTCCCCAGTTGGAGCCAGGGCGACTGTGAGGGTGGCAGGGGACAGATGGCGGCTCCCAGGCAAGTAAGTACTCACCCTGCGGGAGATCTTGATTTTCTTGGTGCAGCCAAAAAATAAGTCCTCAAGGGATAGGTAGAGGTCTCTTTCGATTGGGGGGTCCTGTTTCCGGACCCCTCGGCCCCGGAGGCCCCCAAAGTTCAAATCCGCCTCATTTCCTTTTTCATCAAAAAATTCTACAGGAGGTGGGGAGAGGAGTAAGAGCAACCTGTATACTGAAACTGGATTGACAATACTTCCCCGGCCCACCTCTTCAGCCCCCACGGGTAATACCCAGCACCCCAACCCTTCTCCGAGACTCAGACTTAGGCCGAGAAGCTGAACTCAATTGCAGATCCAATGATTATCATCCCTTACCACACCCAGGGCCTCATCCCCCACTTTGGGCGTGCCCCCTGACTTTGCTGACTTCCTTCCCCCACAACTTGGGGAGGGACCCTCAACCCTGGCTGGAGAGGAGAGGAGAGGATAGTGCCCTGGTGGCAGCACCTGGCAGTGCCAGAAATGACTCAGGCGGTTTTCACTCTTGGGAGGGGAGCACCCTAGCATGGCAGTCCTCCCTACCCTTCCCCAGGCTACCCTCCCCCTCTCTGTCCAGCTCAGCCCAAGGCCACTAGAGACCCCCAGACTCAAGTTTTTATAAAGTCAGGAGGGACAGGGCTAGTCCCTGACAAATCTGAGAGGTCACCAGCATATCCTGTATCCCCAGCTCCTCTTTCCTCAACTCTTCTTGCCCCTGCCCAGCTCTGTACTCGTAACCCCCACCCCGATGCCCGGCCCTTCCATCCTGGTGCAGACAGGGCCTCTGTCCCCTGAAGTCACTGGGGCACCGGTTTCTCTGCCTGTGAGATGGAGAGATAAAGCCCGATGGCCTCCACCATTAGAATTAGGTAACAAGATGATGACAAAGAGCTTAAACTTGCTGAGATCTTACTACGAATTGGGTGCTGTTTTCAGCTTTTTATGCTATTACTGCATAAACTCAGAGGCCAAACAAAAGGCTTAAAGTCCTACAGGTATATGAGTAGTAGAGTTGGGATCGGTCCACGATTTAACTGCAGAACCTGTGCCCTTAACTACTACACTATATGCTAGAGGTGCAGCCCTTTGTAAACTGTGGAGTCAGGAGTGATTATCAAGATCGGATTTTCTGCACTCAGCCTCTCATGGCTGGTGCATTGGAATGAACTTCACACTAGAATGACACGATGACTTTAGGCTCGGGAAGACAAGGCAGTATCATACTATGTCTCCCCTAAGATGCGATGGGCTGGTAACCAAGAGGTCTGTGAACTGCTTGGCCCCCTTTTGCATTGCTGAATTCATTTGTCCACGCAGCACCTCTGGTGTGCCTGGTCTTAAACTCCCCGATAGCCAGGTCACAGCAAGCCTGGCCCCTTGGCTCTGCAGGGAGAGGGGACACAGAACCCCCGGGCAGAAGCACTGTAGCAGTCTAGCCCCTGGGCACTGCCTGTGGGACCCCCAAGCTTTGAGATTGACCTTCCCTAAAGAGCAATGTCCCTGTACATGCCGGGCTCCTCTGAACTGCCTCTTGTCCATGCGCCCCTGACTAGGAGAAACAAGTCCACTGGTCAGGCATTTTTCTGACCGCAAGGCCCATCTTCATAAATATTATCTCCTTTGATAATGGCCTGTGAGCAATGGACTGTTACAGCCATTGAATGGCAAGGAAGCTGAAGTTTCAGAGAGGTGAAGAGATCAGCCCAGGGTCCACACAGCCCCTAAGTGGCAGTGCGCAGATTGAAAAGCCCACCCCCCCCACCCCCCGCAGTCTTGTTTTCCCTGGTCTCACAGGGGGTTTATAATCCCAGGTTCCTCTGGCAGTCGGGGGAGGGGCAGTGGGCTGCAGCCCACTCATCCCAGTAACATGGGAAAGAGTGAATGAGAACCTCTGGAATGCACAAAGGCTGGAGGAGAGGCACAAAGAAGGAAGGGCTGGGGAGCCAGGCAGTGAACACCTGGGCTCTCTTGAGTTGCATAACTGGAGCCAGGAAGACAGGCCTGAAGGTTTACTGTTCTTGCAAGATGATCTGAGCCTCAGAAATCAACTCTTTGTCTGTATGGGACCTGAGATGGCTCACCCATCCATCTACAGATTCATCTACCACACATCTGTACAATGAGACCTTATGCAGCCATAAAAGTTAGTAAAGTAAATCTGTATATAATGTATAATAAGACAAATGGGGGGAAAAAAACCCTGTGTACAGTGTGGTCCTATTTCCTTAGTGAAATAAAAGTCTGTGTAAAAATAAGCATATGCTGCCCCATGGCTCAGTTGGTTGGAGTGTTGTCCTGTACACCAAAAAGGTTGTGGGTTCAATGCGCAGTCAGGGCATATGCCTGGGTTGTGGGTTCAATTCCTCAGTTGGGACACGTACAGGAGGTACCTGGTGTATGTTTATTTTTCACATTGGTGTTTCTCTCTCTCTTTCCTTTTTGCTCTCTCTAAGATCAAACATGTCCTTGGGTGGGAATTAAAAACACTAAAATAGCTCTGGCTGGTGTAGCTCAGTGGATTGAGTGCAGGGCTGGGAACCAAAGGGTCACCAGTTTGATTCCCAGTCAAGGCACATTCCTGGGTTACAGGCCAGATCCCCAGTGGGGGGCATGCGAGAGGCAATCACACAGTGATGTCTCTCTCTCTCTCTTTCTCCTTCCCTTCCCCTCTCTCTAAAAATAAATAAATAAATAAATAATCTTTTAAAATACTAACCAAAAAAAACCACTAAAATAAGTAAAATAAAATAAAATTTTTCTCATACATGCATATATAATTTCTGAAATAATACATAAATTGTTAGCAGTGAGTGGCTGCTTCAGGGAAAGGAATGGAGGCCTGTAAAAGTTAAAAAAAAAAAAAAACCTAGTCAAAGAAAAGCATCTTTACAACACGTCGTTTCTCAGTAAGGCAAGGGGGTAGGTAGGACCTCTTACCACTAAAGGGGTTGTCTCCTCCGAAGAACTCGTGGAAAACCTTTTCAGGGTTGCCGTGGAAGACGTAACCAGTTGTCCATGGTATCTGGGACCCAAATTCCAGAGGAATCCCGCCCTTTAGACCCTCTTCTCCAAACTTGTCATAGATGGCTCTCTTCACAGCTGTGGATATATGCCACCTTAAGGAGGGGTCCAGCCTTGGGGGCTAAGATGGCTGGAAGGCTGGGAAGAGGGGGGATGTGGGAAAGAGCAGGGGCAAAACAGCCTTACTTCTGAGTTATCTGCCGTCTGGCAGTCTTCGGAAGGACACTGTAGAAGTTAGGGGTTGGATTTCATTGTGGGTGGACCAGGGATGGCCCCCCCCAGGAGAGACGGGGAAGACTGAGACTTGCTGGGGATGGATGGGGGGATGGATGGGGACCAGAGTGGGACCAGAGAGACCACAGGTCAGGCTTACCCCATCATAGCTGTTCTCTTATCTTGGGTAAATAAAATCCTAGAACCTTGCTATTTTAGAATCTAGTAATTCTAGCTTTCAAACTCTAAAGCTTTGAAATGTTAGAGCCCGCCCTGACGAGACTGGATGAACACATCATCTTGATGCGGGGGGGGGGGGGGGGGGGGGGGGGGGGGGCTCTCCACACCGTGTCCTCCACCTTAGTATGCGTCTACTGAGAAAGGCAATTCTTCATTCTCCTCTTTCTCAGTTTATTTCGATCCTACTTACTCTGTGTTGGGGCCCCTCAGAAAGCCCAACACTCAAGAGACTTAAGGAACCATCTTGATGGAGGGGCGGGACAGAGGAAGTGGCTTGGAGTCACTGCTCCAGGCACAGCCCGCCACTTAGTCACTCACGGTCGCTCAGCACGTCGTAGGCCTCTGCTATTTGCCTGAATATCTCTGCTGAGGATGGCTCCACGGACTTCAGCGGGTGGTGCTGCAGGGCAAGTTTCCGGTACCTAGAGCGGGGAGCGTTAACAGAAGTCAGAGCCGCTGCCGTGTTCCTGAGCACAGACCACGGGTCAGAGGCGGCCTGGCTACCTGCTGCCTGGTGGCCTCTCAGGGCTTTGAGGTTCCCAGCTATAAATCAGGGCCATGCTGGCCAGGGAGCCACGTTGCTCAGACTGCCTTGAGGAGAACCCAGTGCAGGAAGCATAGCTGACTCACAGCCCCTGGCTGACCCCCTGGGCATTTGTGCTGAGGCCACACCTGCCCCCCACCCCAGCTGCTCCCAGTCAGTGCCCAAGCCTGCTGGGGAGATTAGTCCTGGCCCATTGCTGAAGGACACGGGACTCCTCCAACACTCAGCCTCTGCTTGAGGATCCTGCCAGCCTGACGCAGATGGTCTCCAGACCACACCGCGGCCTTCCGCCCCCAAACCTTCCTTCCCTCTCTCCTTTTACCTGCACTGTGGTCTGAAATCTGTCCCTGAACACTTCTGCTCCCCCTTTGCCCCAGGGGTTTCCCCCAGTACATTTTTTTTGCACATCTAATCCCATCTTGGTGTCTGAACCGACACACATGCTTCCTGGGAAGATTAGATCCAATAAGGCGTCAGAGGGGCTGGTACAGAGAGGCACTCAGCACACGTCAGATTCTCTCATCGACTCCTCCCCCTGCGTTCAGTCTTCTCCCCACTTCTGTGCCTGCCCAAGCCCACCACTCAGTGATGTGCTGCCTACAGCACCTGAGAATCTATCATCAACAACCCCTGGAGGAGGAAGGAGGTGGCCAAACTGGGTGATTTGTAAAGAGTTTAATAAGGGCCCTGGCTGGTGTGGCTCAGTAGATTGAGCGCGGGCTGCGAACCGAAGGGTCTCCAGTTTGATTCCCAGTCAGGGCACATGCCTGGGTTGTGGGCCAGGTCCCCAGTATGGGGGACGTGAGAGGCAACCACACATTGATATTTTTCTTCTTCTCTAAAAATGAATGAATAAATCTTTTTAAAATAAGAGTTTAATAAGGGACCACTCATCGAGTTGATGGAAGTGGGTGGGAAACCACAGGGACAGTGCAGCACCGGAGGCCGGGAGCCCTGGGGCACCCTGACCACTCCTGAGTCTGTAGGGGGGAGGGAGGGAGAGGTTACCTGGAAGCCCCAGAGAGAGTGCAGAGGCAGGGCCCATGGCAGAAGCTGTGATCTTCAGTTAAGGGCCATAGCCAACCTGAAGAGACCCCACAGAAAGGGAACCGGGAGTGAATACCCAGCACCACTCTCCTCCCTCCCAGTCTCCAGCCTCCAGTTCTCTTTAGCAGGACGCGCATCAGGAAGCCTGAGGGCGCAGTTCAGCCTCCAGAGCAGAGAGTGGGTGCAGAAAGGCAGGGAGACGGTCTGGAGGAGCAAAGCAACATCAGCACAGCCTGAGTCGCCCAGTACAAATCTGACCCCTCGTGTCCTCTGCTGGGTCACAGCACAGAGCCTCTGCCCCGCTCACGTTTCCACGCTGGTGTCCCCAGAGCTCTGCCACCTCTCTTCTCCAAACGCTGGCCTGGATAAGCTCACCTGCCCCACACTTTGAGCCCCACCTACTGGCTGATGGCTCCTAAGCTTTTACTGCAAAGCAGGTCCCTTCTCCAAACACCAGCCTCTGCCCAGCTGCCCACTTGGTATCTCCTCTTCATGTCCCACTGACCCCACTACTCCATGAGCCCAATCTCAACAACGTTTTCATTCCTTAAGTCCCCTCCCCCATTTCCCAGGCACCACAGCCAGAACACTAGCTGAGCATTATCTTTGGCTCCAAGTTCTCCTTGGTCCACTCCACCCCCTACCACCATCACTAAGGCATGTCGACTTCTAATATTCTGTTCCCGCCTGTTTATCCCTACGACCATCACAGAACCGTGCCTGCCTCTTTCTGGTTCCCCCTCTCCCCCTCTCCAGTCTGTTCTGTGTGCTGCCACCGATCTGATCTCTCTCTCTCTCTCTCTGTCTTTCATTAATCTGATGTTTCTAAAATGTTCCCTGACCAAGTCACTCTCCTGCCTAAATCCTCCCCTGGTTTCCCTTTGTCTTTAGCATAAGATCCAAATGCCTCTCAGATTCAGGCTCCTGCTTTTCTCTCTGGCCTCCTCCTCACAACTCTCCTGCTCTGCTCCTATGCCCTCTCCTATGCCAACTCCCGACACTGCATTGCTCATGCCTTTAACATTCTACTCCCTTACCTGTAACACTCACCCCTCTGCAGTCCCTCCCATTGCCTCCTGGCAAATTTTTATCCATCCTTCAACATCCAGCACAGGGGGCAATTCCTCCAAGATGCCTTCTTGGATTGCAGCTTCCATTCTAGACACACCCCTTCCTATGTCTCCAGTGCCTCTGGTCCCCGTAACTTTTCATGCAGTGCTCCAGTTGTTTGTTGACTGGCCTGTCTCCCCCACTAGCCTGTGAGTTCCTCGAATTACTGTGTCCAGTTTTCTGTGTCCCCAGTACCTGAGTAGCAGAGTACCAGAGAGTAAATGAACAAAAATGTCTCGCGAGGCAGCCGATCTCACTGTGGGACTGCCCCAAATTTTACGCAACTGCCACTCTTACTGAGCAGGGCCTGCTGTCCTGCAACTCCACCTCTTCATCCACGAGGGTCCGTATGAGCTCCTGGCTCAGCCCTTGGAGGCCTTGCAAAGGGAATCTGCTCTGGAGAGACTTCGACCCCACCCCGAGACTTCGACACCAGCCCTTAACTATGGAGGCCACAGTCTGTATGTGAGGAGAATTGCAAATAAAATCTCTCAATGAGTAAAAGTAGAGATTTGAGAAGAGTTCAGTTTTTCCTACACACTTGAGTTTTAAAATGATCCCTGCAGTAATATCACTCTGCTTCACCTGCCTTGCTGAGTGGGGGAGGGGTGGAGTCCAGGCGCCAGTGTGGCAGCCTGCAGTGAAGGAGTGAGACCGAGGAGGTGAATTGCTGCGTGGTTATGAATTGTTGTTATGTAAGCTTTGTTTTTGGGGGGGCAAAATCTAGACACTCATATAGGACAGTGGGTTATACATGTGACTCATACCTTCAGGGCTGCTGCAGGGAGAAGGGTTCAGCCCTGTTTGAAACATATGCCAGTCCTTTAATCACTATATGGCATGGTTTCGGAAGCAAATATTTGCTGGGCATTTTCATGTTCGTTTTCTCATATAACCCCATTTCAATACCACAACAGAGAGGTGGGAAAAACGGAGGCTCAGAGAGGTTAATTAATTTGCCCGTGTCACACAGCTAGCAAGTAGGAGAATCTGGATTCAGAACTAGGACTGTCCAATGTTTAAGCTGGGTTAGTTTTCTGGATTTCAACTGCCCTCCCTCCTCACGACGTTTCTCCAGACGGGTCCCAGTGCCAGTGAGATGCTCTCACTGGCACTGGGTGAACAGTGGGTGACATAACACATTGCTCTGAATTATTCTTTGTTTCATGAGTTTGTGTCTTGTTTCTCCAGCCTCGCTGGAGACTCCCCACTTATGCCACTTAGATGCTCACACGCACAGGACCTGGCCCTCAGCAGGCAGCTAGAGTGGGCCCGTGTCTGACGCTGGCTCTGCTGCTTAGTAGGCAGTCGGCCTTAAAGTAATGATGGCACCTCCCTCTCAGGGTTGTGAGGACTGAGTGAAATAATGATGGAAGGTTCTCAGAACAGCATCTGGACTATTCAATCAATACAGTTATTATCACTACCTATCCTTAATTGATTGAAATAATCCTAGATTCCTCCTTTTTTTTTTTTACCCTCCAATTATCCAATTAATTATCATATCCTTTCTTTCCCCTCTCAGAAGCCTATTGCCCTACTTCAGGCTTATTCTGTTGCCTTGGTCATCCTGACAGACGCAGCAGGGTTCTCTCTCCTCCCAAAACAGGCTTCCATGGCACCCTGTGCTTCCCCTTTCGTACCACTTATCAAACCTGAAACTCAGTCGACATCTGTAGTCACCAACAAAATTAAACTGTCTCTGAGTCATGTTATCTCTCCTAACCCATTAGGTTGTCGCTCAATAAATATTTGTCTAAAATTGTTTTTCCCCCCAAGAAATGTGCTGATTCCTGTCCTAGGCTTTCTTAGAAATGGACCATAAAGCCCCAAAGACTTGGTGCAGTTTATTCAACACCCAAATCCCATGTGATGGCCGAAAGAAAGTTTGTACCACAGACTTCTGGACAGGCCACTCTCCATAATACTTAGAACAAAGTTCAAATGTCTCCTTTGTTCTCATTTCATTGCTGGGTAAACCAGAGCTCCCAAGAGAGGAGCCAGAGCATGGAGGGGAAAGGATGATGCCCAGGGAAACCTGACCCAGCTCAAAGCCAGGATGAAAGTGCCCAAGAAGAAAGAAGAAACGAGGTTTTCTGTTACTTGCCCTAAACTGTGCAGGAAAGCTCAATCTGAAACAGAGGAAGGTGGAGCCTGCCCCAGCACATGCCTAAAACCCACTCCTGTCCCAACTTACGCCATCTTGATCTGGGCATCCTCTGCATTGTGAGTGACACGGAGAACAGCGTAATAATCCTGGCCCATGGCTGGCAGGCTGGCTGGCAGTCCTGTGGACAGTCTGGACTCCAGCAGGGCTGTTAGTCAGCATTCTTGGTTGCTCCTGGCAACCACACAGGGGCACTCTGGGAGTTGTAGTCCTTCCTGCCTAAGCAAACTACCTTGTCAGCTTGCTCTGCCTTATAGGAAGAGTGAATGAAAGGACTGAGAGAACTGGAGCTGATCTGTGACCTTGATAAAGATCGCTCAACTCAGAAACCAGAGGGTTCAGGGGCATAGCAACTAGTTTTAATTAAAAGTTTTCAGAACAAATGCATTTAGCTGTTTTTGTCTTGTTTTGTTTTGAGAGAGGGGGAAAAGAGGGAGAAAGAGAGGGAGAGAAACATTGATCTATCGCCTCTCATAAGCGCCCTGACCAGGGACTGAACCCACAACCCAGGCCTGTGCCCTGACCTGAAATCAAGCCGGCAACCTCTGCTTTGCAGTGGAAACCAACCGAGTTACACCAATCAGGGCTAGCTGTTTTTGTACATTATTTTTTATTTTAGAAAAGTTTTGGGTTTTCAGACAAGTTGTGAAGATAGTAGAGTTCTCAAAAACCCCACATTCAGTTTGCCCCATTAACATTTTACATGACTGTGATACATTTGTCACAAGTAATAACTAATATCAGTACATCACTTACAACAGAAGGCATTCTTCATTCAGATTTCCCAGTTTTTTTAAATATATTTTACTGACTATGCTATTACAGTTGTCCCATCCCCCCCCCCCCTTTATTCCCCTCTACACTGCACACCCCCCTCCCACCTGCATTTCCCTGCTTTAGTTCATGTCCAGGGGCCATACATATAAGTTCTTTGGCTTCTCCATTTCCTATACTATTCTTGACCTCCCCCTGTCTATCTTCTACCTATCATCTATGCTACTTATTCTCTGTACTTTTTCCCCCTCTCCCCCTCTCTCTTAACCCTTCACGTGATCTCCGTTTCTGTGATTCTGTTCCTGTTCTAGTTGTTTGCTTAGTTTGTTTTTGTTTTTGTCTTTAGGTTTGGTTGTTAATAGCTATGAGTTTCTTGTCATTTTACTGTTCATATTTTTAAAAATAGTTATTTAATTTATTTTTAGAGAGAGGGAAAGGGAAAGAGAAAGAGAGGGAGAGAAACATCAATGTGTGGTTGTCTCTCTCACATGGCCCCCACTGGGGACCTGGCCTGTAACCAAGGCATATGCCCTGACTGGGAATCGAGCCAACGACCCTTTGGTTCACAGTCTGCACTCAATCCACTGAGTTACACCAGCCAGGGCTACTGTTCATATTTTTTATCTTCTTCTTTTTCTTAGGTAAGTCCCTTTAACATTTCATATAATAAGGGCTTGGTGATGATGAATTCCTTGAATTTGATCTTATCTGAGAAGCACTTTATCTGCCCTTCTATTCTAAATGAAAACTTTGCTGGATAGAGCAATCTTGGTTGTAGGTCTTTGGTTTTTATGACTTGGAATACCTCTTTCCAGCCCCTTCTTGCCTGTAAGATGTCTTTTGAGAAATCCGCTGACAGTCTGATGGGAACTCCTTTGTAGGTGACTGTCCCCTTATCTCTTGCTGCTTCTAGAATTCTTTCATTTTAATCTTGGGTAATACAATTATGATGTGCCTTGGTGTGTTCCTTCTTGTGTTCAACTTCTTTGGGACTCTCTGAGCTTCCTGGATTTCCTGGAAGTCTAGTTCCTTTGCCAGATTGGGGAAGTTCTCCTTTATTATTTGTTCAAATAAGCTTTCCACTGGTGGCTGTTCCTCTTCCCCTTCTGGTACCCCTATAATTCGAATGTTGGAACGTTTAGAGATGTCCTAAAGGTTCCTAAGCCTCTCCTCATTTTTTTGAATTCTTGTTTCTTCATCCTTTTCTGTTTGATCATTTTTTTCCTCTTTCTGGTCCACTTCTTTGATTTGAGTCCCAGTTTCCTTTCCATTACTATTGGTTTCCTGCACATTTCCATTCTTTCAATTAGTTTCGCCTTCATATGTTCTAAAATGTGACTAAAAATCAACCAGTTCTGTGAGCATCCTGATCACCAGTGTTTTGAACTGTGCATCTGAAAGTTTGGCTATTTCTTCATCGCTTAGGTTTATCGGCTCTGGGGCTCCGAGTTGTTCTTGAGCCATATTTTGATCTGTTCGTGCCTGTTATGTATGAGGAGCAGAGCCTTAGGTGTTCACCAGGGCGGGGCCACCCAGGTCACCGGTTTGTGACGCTGTGCGTGGGGGCGGGGTCAGAGAGAGGCCACCCAGGTCGCTGGTTTGTGACGCTATATGTGGGGGCGGGGTCAGAGAGGGAAGATGGTGGTCCCCTCTGCCGCTTCCCACCACTGGGGCCTGCACGGTCTGCCTCACTGCTCGCTCCCTCACCAGTTTATCTGCGCGCGAATGTATGACCTCGGTCAGCCCTCAGTCGGTCCGCCTGCTTCTCCACACCTGGGATCCGCCCACGGCTGCCTGCATGACTGGGTCGCGCACTCGGGTGAGTCTGGTGGATCTTTCCTGCCCGACACCGCTCTGCTGCTGGCTCTGCCCTTCTTACTGGTTTGGCTGAAGGGTTCTGAAGGGTTCGTTGTTGTCAGACTTCCATATAGTTCAATTTTCTGTGGTTTGGCTGCATTTTTGTTGCTAAAACTTTGTTATTTTTAAACTTGGTTGTGTGAGAAGGTACAGTGCTTCCACCTGTGCCTCCATCTTGGCGGAAGTCCCAAACTGATTTCCCAGTTTTTAACCTAAGGTCTTGTTGCTGTTCCAGAATCCCACTTAGGATTCTACATCACATTTGGTTTTCCTGTCTCCTCAGGCATCTTGACTACAACTGCTTCTCAAACTCTCCTTTTTTTCAATGACTTTGACAATTTAAGAAGCACTGGTCAGTTACTTTGGATTTTTTTGATGATCTTCTTATGATTAGGATGGGGTTTTGGAAGGAAGATCACAGAGGTAAAGCACCCTTCCTGACACATCAGATTGAAGGTGCGCATCAGCAGTAGGACTCACCACTGGTGATGCTGACCTTGATCGCCTGCTGAGGTGGCGCTTGTTAGCTCTCTCCACTGAAAGGTCACTCCTGTTTTTCCCTTTCTGGATTGCACATTTTGGTGGGAAGTCATTTCAAGGCTACCCTTAGAGTGAGAAGTTCTGTTCTACCTGTTAGGGCAGCAGTGCATGCATGAGCCAAAGGAGCAGAGAAGAGACAGGAACAGAAAGAGAGAGAGAGAGAGAGAGAGAATGACAAAGATAATAAAAAGTTAACAACTGCCCTGGCTGGTGTGGTTCAGTTGGTTGGGGTGACGCCCCTTAATGGGGTGTGGGGGTGTGGGTTCGATCCCCAGGCCAGGTGGGTATAGCCCCTGGTCCAGGTATGTGCAGGCGGGGCAACCAAAAGATGTTTCTCTATCACATTGATGTTTCTTTCTCTTCTATCCCTTCTTCTCTCTCTAAAAGCAATGAAAAAGTGTCCTTGGGTGATGATTTAAAAAAGAAAGAAATTAACAACTGGCACCCTGGCCAGTGTGGCTCAGTTTGTCGGAGCATCGTCCTGTAAACCAAAAGGCCATGGTTTGGATTCCTGGTCAGCACACACACCTGCATTGTGGGTTTGGTCCCCTGATCAGCATGTACGAGAGGCAACTAATCGATGTTTCTCCCTTACATCGAGGCTTCTCTCCCTCTATCCCCCTCCCTTTCCCCTTCTCTAAAATCAACACGCATGCGCTTGGGTGAGGATAAAAAAAGAAGTTAAGTGGGAGGAGATCTGGGTGCGGATACAGTGGAATTCTTTGTACTATTCTTGCAACTTATTTGTGAATTTGAACTTTAAAATAAAGTAGAAAAAATATATAAAAGAGATCTACAAAGACTTGAATTCAAGGAAAAGAAACCTTTACTTTGCAAGGCTGTTCTGAGGTCTGTGCTTGGCAGAGTATTGCCACAGCTGGCTTAAGAAACAGTTAGTACTTCTCACAAGAAGTCACAAGGGGGCACCGGAAAACCAAGAAACAAGGTCTAGCACAGAGCTTCACTGGGCTTCTAGTGCTATGGATGGGGGTTGTCCACCTTTCCTTACCCAGAATGCACTCCTCAACCCAAAAGAAAAAACAGCTTTGCCTGTTGCCAACTAGGGATTTTTCCATTCAAATGGACAAGGCTTTGGGGCACCCGAGAGCTAGTCTTTGTTCCTTCTGTTTGGGTCTGGATTTGCATGGCAGCTGTCATGGGTCGCGGATGCCATCACAGCCAGGATACCAACCCTGGAGCCTGTGAAAAGGGGCTCATGAATGTGACAGCAAAGGGAGAAGAGTGAGCCCTGGAATGTGGACTCACAGCCATAGTTGCCATGTGATGAACCCGAGCCATATCCTGCGTCACCCTGTTTTCTTAATCTGACTTCTTGGAGGTACCCTGCGGACCTCCTAGGAATTGATGATTCTGAGCTCTGAAATGTCTCTTTGGGTCACCTGACCCTGTCACAAATAATGTCTGTAAGTGAAATAGCTCTATTCCCAGAGGACTGGTGACCACCTGGAGAGGTGGAAGCAGTACAGGCCTTGCAGACAGACCGAGCAAGGTCCAAATCAAGGCTCTGGTACTTAATTCCTTGAGCCTCTATTTTCTTTTCTATAAAACAGGATTGTGAGGATTAAAGATATAAATACAGTACCTAGAACAGAGTAGGTAACCAGTAAATGAATTACAGTGTTTTATTTTCACAATTTTGTTTAGCAATAAGCAACAGGTAGGAAAAAATGGGATTTAAAGTTAAAACAGATTGAGCAAAAAGTAAAAAGGACTGATGGACATGGACAACATGTGAGATTGCTGGGGGAAGAGGTATAAGGGGACTAAATGGTAATGGAAAAATATAATAAAGATTTTTTAAAAGTCAAGATAACTGTGTTCAAGTTCCTGTTCTCTATGACCCTTGGCAAATCACATCATCTCGCTGAGTTTCCCTACTAGTGGGTCACAAGGTAGTAATGAAGATTACATGAGCCTTAACTGGTATAGCTCAGTGGATTGAGTGCAGGCTGTGAAGCAAAGGGTTGTCAGTTCGATTCCCAGTCAGATCACATGCCTGGGTTGCGGGCCAGGTCCCCTATAGGGGGTGCACTAGATGCAACCACACACTATGTTTCTGTCCTTCTCTTCCCCAGTCTCTAAGAATAAAGAAAACCTTTTTTGGAAATTTCACTATGTATATTAAAAAAGATTACATGAGAATATATCTCTAAGAATTCTATAAAGCACACTATTACCCTAGACAGGAATTACCTTCTTCCCTTAAATAAATTTCAGAGCTTCACCTACATGGCCCAGCTCAAATGTGGCATGGTCCAAGAAACTTTCTCTTTAATAATCTCTAAAATGTAAATGATACGGTATTCATGTTCTGGAGGTTAAAAAGAATGAGTAAGGTCTAAATGTATTGAGATGAAAAGAACTCAGAATCACTGAGTGAAAATAAGGGAATACATACCTTATAATTTCATTTTTATGTTTAGAGAAAAAAAAGAAGTAACCATGTCACACCCTTGCTTAAAAACTCCTTCACGGTCCCGCACTGCCAACCAAGTGAAGTTCAAACTTCTTACTGGCACGCAAGCCCATTCACTATTTGGGCCCTGCCAGCCTCTCCAGCCTTCTCTCCTACAGGCCAGCCTGGCCATCCCATGAGCCTGGGTTCCATCCATGACTAAAGTGCCCTTTACCATCTCTTCCTGTAGGTCTCAAACTTTGGCATGCATCCGAATCACGGAAGGCTTGTTAAAATATTGATTGTGGGCCCTCCCCATAGAATTTCTGATTTAGGTCTGAACTGGGGCTCAAGGATTTCTAAGTTCCCTGGAGATACTGATACAGTTGTTCCAGGGACCACATTTCGACAGGCCCTGCCTTTACAAGCACCTGTGTACAGGCTGACAGTCCAAGTCGGTTTGCCTGGACAGAAGGTCACAGGTAGCAGAAAACCCCTAAGTCCAAGGGAAACTGGGGTGGTTGGCTTTCTTCCCTGTATAAAAATCTTTCCCAGGTTGCTGCTTATGGGACATTTACTGCTGCTGTCAAGCAGCCCTACTTTATGGCCGGGCCAACAGGAAGCGCCCGAGAAAGGAGTTCCATCAGCTTGACAGAGTTTTTGCTGAACAAGAGTACTTAACAAAGTTTTTCAAATTCAGACTCCTTCAAACATATTCTCTTTATTTCCTTCAGGGAACAGGCTTTAGTCCTCTGGTCCCGTAAACATTTAACACAACTGGTGTGAGATCAAATGGCAAGCAATCCATAACCTCACCCTGTGTTGCAGGGGTGACTTCACACAAGAAGTTGGGACAAATGCAGTGAGCACATCTGAGCTCTTTGCTCAGTTCAAGTTGAGTCTTGTTGTGGAATGACAGTTGCGCAGGGCTGATGGAGTTGGCTTTCTGTGACTTCCAAAGGGTGCCCAAGACAATAAAGGGCATGGCTCTTGGGAAGGACTGATGATGTTTCTGCTCACTGTTGATTGGGGTCAATGGTTTTCGATGACCAGGACTTCTCTTTCCGAGGAATCAGAGGTCAGAGAGCTGATAGCGCCGCACAAGACCATCTCGGCAGCACGTGTAGATCTGCTTCTCCCACGTGGCTACCTGGAACACAAGAGTTCACAGCACAAAGTAAGCCTGGAATTCTTCCATTTCAAGATAGAGCCTAGTCATTCACCCTCTACTAGTACAAGGGAGTCTGAGAAGCTTTAGTGACTCCAAAGACAAGACAAGAATTACATTCATATGCATTTTAAAAATGGCTGGCCAGGGTCAAGTGCACTATGGCTACAGAACAGGGACACTAATTAGTCAAGTGGAGAGCAAACCCACTAGTGTGGCACATGGTTTAGTGCAGAGTCTGTACCTGGGAAGGAGATGGTCCACAGACAGCCCTGGGTATCCTTGAACCTCACAGAATTATATGTAAACCAGTTCTCAGTATATGCCTTTCTTCTGAGAGTTTCATTGACTTCTCAAAGAAGTCTAGGACTTAAAGAGGGTTAAGCACCCCTAAGTAGCGGACATAGCATGAATTCAGGAGGGAGCTTTTTGAATTTCAGGTTGGTCAGTATGCAGCAGCATGACCACAGGCTACTTCCTCAACTTCCTCTGGGTCCCAGTTTCCTTATTTGTACAAAGAAAATGACATTGTCACTCACAATACAGAACACCATGAGGAAACTTTTAGAAATGAAGTGGATCTATATCCATTTGTACAAAAAGAGCTCCAAGATAAGTAAAAAAAAAGTCATAGGACAATATACGAAGCCTATTGGGAAAAAGTCCAGCCATTGTTAATATAGTGAGAATGGTCTGCATGATAAAGTGACAGCCAACAGGAGTGGACTAGAATGCACATGTGCGAACAATGACGGACGTCTCTGTACTAGTCAGTGGGGCTGGTAGATGCTATTGAGTGAGCACTGTGTGGCCGTCAAATTCAAAATGCCTAAATGAGCTGAAATTTTGCGTTAAGCTTGAACATTCCTCAATGAAAACTATTTGGATGATTCACAAGGCTGCAGTTATGGGCAACTGGTGATTGGCAGCTTCATCACAACAACGCAACCGCTCATGCATCACATTTCATGCAGAGATTTTTGTGAAACAGCAAATCACCTGGGTGATTCAGCCCTGCTACAGCCCAGATTTGGTGCCCTGTGACTTCTGGCTTTTCCCCAAACTAAAATCACCTTTGAAAGGGAAGAGATTTCAGACTGTCAATGAGATTCAGGAAAATGTGACAGAGCAGCTGATGGTGACTGGTAGAACTGTGTGAGGTCTGAAGGTGACTACTTTGAAGGGGACTGAGGTGTCATTGTCCTATGTACAATGTTTCTCGTCTCTTGTATCTTCTTTGATAAATGTCTCTGTTTTCATACTACATGGCTGGGTACCTTCTGGACAGACCTCGTATACAGGATGATCCCAATTATATACAAACTAAGATAAAACTATTATTTACATAAATAAATAAACACACAAAAAATAGTCTTCAAAGATATGTGTCAAACTGTTAATGCTGGTTACTTCTAAAAAGAATTGAACTAAAATAGACTTAGAGGGGACTTTTAAGTCTGTATAATTCTGTACTGCTTGAATATTAACTGCATAATTTTTTTAAATTAAAAACAACCAGGGATAATAATACCTATACTTCAAGGAATGATAACATTTAGTCAATAAGATAATATATATAAAACATCCAGCACAGTGTCTGGTCAATAAGTATTATTTCCCCTTTTATTTTTTCTCTTTCCAGTCTAATCAAATAAGACAATCACTCTTGAACTAATAATAATAATAGCTAATATTTAGAGAATATTTTAAATTTACAAGGAGCTTTCATATGCATGATGTCACTACTGTCCTCCTCTTACAGATGAACTGACAGACTGGGGAAGTGAAGTAATTTTTCAAGTTTCTAGATCTGACTCAAAATTTTGATTTCTTTCTATCTTACTCCTAAGTATTTTATCACCCCGAATAATCACAAAATAGCTGAATTCAGTCCCCTCCAAAGCTCTAGATCCCAGGTGAGACTCCCCCAGATTGGTCTCCAGTCAGACCTGTACCTTGTACACAGGGTCGCAGTCAGCCCCAGTGAGGTCAATGACATAGTCTAGGTCTTGCTGGACAACAAAACAGCTTCCGTCACCTAAAAGGCAGAAATAAAATTGAGAAAACTGAGAAGAGGGTTGCATGCAAAGGAGTTTTTTAAAAACCTCAATATTCTAGAAGATAATCCTAAGATCCAGAAGGGCAAACAGGTCTCATTACATAGGTCAAATATGAGGACCTAATGGTGACTGCCCAGAATGCTGAGCTAGAGAGGATTTGCATGCCAAGTGCCTTCTGAGAGAAGGCTTGTCTTTGATTTTCAAACCAATCCAAAGGGCCCCATGGATCATCTATTCCCAACTCCTAAAGTAAATACAGAATTCCCTCTGCAGCACCTTGCAGAGTAGCCAGCCAGTTTTAGCAGGTACTTCTTTGGGTTTCACCAGTCTTTAATGTCCTGGATCCAAACCAGGACACCACACTGACTTAGTTGCCAAGTTTCTTTAATTTCCTCTGTTAACTGTTTTTGAATCACTAAATGAATCTACTCTAAAACCACCATAAACCTGGATTTCTTTTCAAGTGAAGTAGTACAGTTTCCTAATTACTGAAACCATTTTCAACTGGGTCCTGTTCCTAACAGCCACAAACACCCTGATGCACTGAGAGACTCAGGTAAGATGGTCCCTCCAGCCCATACTGTCTCGTCCTCTCACCTGCATCATTCTTGTGAAGATTCACAGTGTCCCTTAGTAAACACCTTGTTCCATGCATTTCCCCTGAACCCACTCCCCAACTCCAGCTCATCCTGGCTACACCAAGGTACTCACTCTACCTAGACTATTTTATGTAAAGCCTCAAACATAGGACCTACTGCACAGTAAGCAACTAGTAAATGACAGATTCCTTCTTTTTGCTCCCTTCCCTCATCTGTGACTTTGTACATACTACAGCTTTGCCTTTCAATGTTCATCTCTACATCTCCAGCTGGTAAGACGTTCATCAGCACACACATCACCTGGTCTGTGAAGACATCCCTGCAGCACATCTACCACTAAAGCTAGTTCTTCTCCATGTTCCCATAGAGTTTTCGGCTGCATATCCACAGCTGTCCATCTTACTAACTGCAAGTTCCTTTAGCGCAGACTGTAACTGATTCATTATTGAAACTCAGTGTTGCACAATAAGGAACAATACATTTACTCTACCAATGTTTATTGAACACCAACTACATAGTGGGTACCAATCTAAATGCTGGGATAGTACAATGAATAAGCCACAGTCACTCCTCTCAAGAAACCTGGACTGGAGGGGCACACGGAAATTACAACGCAGGGCAATAAACACTATGTGATAAGCACACTATGCCAAGCGTTCATGGAGGACCGTGCCCCTAACCCCAAAGACCAGGCACTTAAGCCTGTGTTTAATTGAACTACATGGAACCACCTCTCTCCACTGGCCACCGGACCCACCTTGGCTTGCAATGAATCCATCTCTGAATCTCAGCAGGGACAGAACTGGAGCTCCTGATCTGTGGATGACCTGTACCGGAGCCCTAGGATTCATGGTAAAAGGGGCGATTTTAGATTTTTTCTTCAAAAGCAATGCCTGAATATATAGTACTGACCACGTAACCACAAACAGGACATAGGTGAATAGAGATTAAACATTCACACGGCTTCTTTCCTTCAAGAGCCTTAACTGTTAGACCGAGATAATCCATCCACATCTTCCCGTGCATCTACATATGTCACTGAGCTGACCGAACCTGGTCAGCACCCGCATCTCCAGTTTTCAGGGAGGCCTGACTAGGGTTTAACAGAGCAATGTTAACAATTTGTTAACCTTTTCACTTATAGACAACTAAGAAAGCTGTGAAATATTAAACTTGTCAGAACTCTGTAAAACAAAATGGAAGGTGAGTGAGAAATATATATGTAAGAGTGATTTTATAATAGTAATCAGAGATTCCCTATCTCTGAGGAGACAATAAAGTAACAAATTATGAAAGAAAAGTATAAGCTAGTCACTCTTTAGCTGGAATTTCTTCACTGCTCTTGGAATAAAGTCCAAGCTCCTTAGGAAAGCACAAGCGTTTCCTAAGCAGACTCGCGCTTTCCTGTCTGGCATCACTTCTCACCACTGTGCCACTGCAGGGACACACCTGTCACATCAAACCACTGCCACATGCCCTCGCGCTTCCCTCCACGCTGTTCTACCTGGGGCAGGGCCCTCTCTTCCTGACTCGTAACTTCCTACTGGACAAGGTGCAATGGAAGCCTCCGCTCCCTGGAGACGCACCCTCATCCTCCTGCCTCTCCTCAGTGCTCCCCCCATCCCTGTGCACCCCCGTCAGCCCACTGGTCACAGCACACCGTGACAGTCCGGTGTGACTGTCAGACTCCAAGTGCCTCAAAGGCACAGCCTGTATCTGTCCTGTCTTTCAGTGTCCTGAACAAAGCCAGAAGCTGTTCAATAAGTATCAGTTGGACAAAGGAAGGAAACAGAAGGAGGAAGCAACTGTAGACAGGGACAGATCCTGGGAACGAGGTTGTATGATTTTTCTCTGGATAGCTTTAAGTTCAGAAGGCCTGTTTTAGATAGGTTATTATAAAAGCTAAATAAAGAACCAGAGCTGGCTTATTTGAACTTGAAAAATGATCAGTCTTAGACCAACCCAGATCTAACACCATAGAGAAAATTACTGAGCTCCTCAAAATTAAGTTTTACACAATCACTTTAAGTGAAATATTAGTTTAGTATTTAAGCTTAATTTCCAAAGCAATCACTACATTCAGACAATCATGACAGTATGAGTCAAATTTCCTTTCAATATGATTTCAAGAATAAAGAAAAGAAAATTCACACCAGAAAACCTTCATAAATGAAAAAACATACCCTTGACTCAGTAGTCATCCATATGCTACCCTACAGCCAATAAAAACTCCCACTCTGTAGGTCTACGTCACGCAGACGCATGGTGACTCACCTCGGACTCCTCACATCCAGCTGATAAATGTTTCCATTCTGTGTCCCAGCCAATAGCAAGAAGCCAGAGAGAAAAGTACAGCAGTTGAAGGCATCTGAGCCAATAAAGTGGAATATCTGGGAACAAATAGGAGACAAAAATGCTGTTAAAGCTTAATTTGTTTCCAGGAATAAATAGGCATGAAGAAAATAAAAAGTTTACTATTTTTAGAGATATCTTCTTTCTTCCCCCGTAAAGCATTCTTGATCTAAACTATGCATTCGTTAACTGAGGAGGAAGCGCTCCCAGGATTTCAGGAACCTGAGGCTGGCTGAGGACTTCTTCAGCAGTTTATGTAATAATGTATTCTGAAGCAGCAATTTTCAAACTATTAACCCTCAACATATTGACTCATAGGATCTTCAACACCAAAAATCCTTCCTTTTTCTGTTTTCATTATAACCTTCCATTTGAGAAACAATTGCAACTCACACATTTAAGATTTGCTTCGTGTCACTTCTAATCACTTTTTGAAGGGAGATACTCTGCAGGAAAAGAAACAAGCTTAGCCCTGGTGGGGTGGCTCAGATGGTTGGAGCATTGCCCCATATACCAAAAGGTTACAGGTTTGATTCCCGGTCAGGCCATATACTGAGATTGTGGGTTCAGTCCCCAGTCGGGGCAGCAACCCATTGATGTTTCTCTCTCTCCCCAACCCTCCTCTTGCCCTAATGTCAATAAAGATATCCTTGGGTGAAGATTAAAAAAAAGAAAGAAAAAAATGTTAAATAAAGTGGCAATTTAAGGAACCACAATTTTCCCATGTACTTGAAAAGGAAGTGATCTGATTTTTATTTATTCCTTATTGTTAGCTCAAACTGATCATTTCTCCTTTGAATATTCTAAAAAGGGAAGAAACAAAGTAAAATAAACAAAAATCCCTGATTTCTCTTTTGAAGTAAAAGCCAGCATGAAAATTCAAGAGTGCAAAGGCAATATGATAAAAAAACGGTGATGTTTCTGGAACAAACATTGAAAATGGAAATGTCACCAGCACAATGAAATAGCAAAATAAAATGGAAATACACACCCTATGGCTAAAACCAAATCATTAATGTTATCTGGGTGTTGGCAAGAAATTTAAAAAATCTAATCCGGGGAACTCAGAGAATACACTATACCCAGCAAAACCCCAGAGGATGAAGAAAGAAAACCAACTAATTCTCCTAGAAAAGACAGTTCTGATCATTATTTGATCTAGAGCCCTGAGTGCATGAGTGCTTTACTCAGAATTTCTTCACATTACCTTAGAGGTAGAAAGGGGTCTATAGCACCTCATTTTACATGAGGGTCAAGAAGGAAGGTGAAGAGGGAAAGAGTGGCTTAACAAATAACAAAGGTCGAAAAGCAGTAGAGCATTTAATTCTCATCACATAACCCTATGAGGTGGGTCCTACCAAGACCAGTTGAATAATGAGGAAATCGAGGGTCAGGAGGTTAAGTAACCTGTCCAATGTTATGCATAGCCATTAAATGGAAGAACTGGGATTTAAATGTTGCCCTATAACCAACCCCATGCTTTTAACTGCTACAATGTACTGCCTCTCACTCATGCAGTTTTCTCAAAAGGTGAATACAGCGAGCATGTAGAAATATTTCTTAAAAAGCTTATCAGGAATCAGAGTGATCCAGCGTCCCCAAGAATTCAAAGATCCTAGAGGAACCACTTGCCGGCTGCCTGCTCTGCAGTCCCAAGCACTGAAGCTTCTTATCTTCCTGGGCCAACAGCAGCATTTTCGATTCTGTTCCAACCTCCCGTTCACCTGCATGACAGATGAGCTACATCAGTAATGGGCTAATCAGCTGGCAGTGAGCAGAAAGCACAAACACTGATGGCTGTTTACTGAATTACTTTGTTAGTGATTCACTCGTTAATTTTTTTTAAAGATTTTTGTTTATTTTTAGAGAGAGGGAAAGGGAGAGTGAAAAGAGAGGGAAACATCATTATCAGAGAGAACATCGATCAGCTGCCTTTTGTCTCTGCCCCCAACTGGCAACTGAGACCACAAAGGAGGCATATGCCCCGGTGGGGGGATCAAACCCGCAACCTTTCACTCTGCAGAATTATGTCCAACCGACTGAGCCACCCCAGTCAGGTCCACTCGTGCTTTTAAAAAGCACTTATGTTCTATATCTTGACTGTGGCATTGTTTATATGACTATACACATTTGTCAAAACTGACAGAACTGTGCAATTAAAAAGAGTGACTTTTATATAAAATAAAACCCAACTTAAATATATTATTAATATGAAATATATTTTATATAAAATAAACCCAACTTAAATATATTATTAAGTCCTTTGTTACAAAATGTGACAAGATACCATACTAGGAGCAGAGGTACAATGTTGAACAAAACAGTCTCTGCCCTCAGGTCTCTTAAAGTCTGGAGGAAATAAATTTATTCATTCACTGAATGTTCACTGAGGGATTACAATGTATCAGACACTATTCTGGGTGCTGAGGAAATAGTGATGTACAGACAGATAAGGTCCTTACTCTTTAGGAGTTTAGGGGAATCAGGAACAGTGGCATAGGTAGACAAATAGGATACTTTCAGAGAGTGATGAGTTTTATAAATAAAATAAAACAGGAAAATATGACCAAAAGTGAACAGACAGTTGGAAGATTCAGGGGAAAGGTAACTTTAAATATAAACTTCAACTTTAAAAAGGTTCCATGGAGGCCACTTTTCAACTGAGACCTGAATAGTAAACAGAAGCCAGTCATGTGAAGAGTTTCAAAAAGTACTGGCTGGCAGAAGGTATGTGCTAAAAGAACAAACACCAGGCCTGTGGCCGGAACACAGTGAGCCTGGCAGAGGGTGGTATGATGTGAGGCTGGAGAGGAAAGCAGGGGTCAGAAGGTGTACGGGTTGTGATGAGCCACAGTAAGAGGTTAAGATTTTAATGTATGTATAAAAAGGAGGCCACTGGAAAAGAGTAGAGACAAACAACAGTGACAGGGCTTGATTCGTGCTTTTTAAATGACCACAGTGGATTATAGGAGAATAGTACAAGGAACAGATGATGATGGACTGGACCAGCATGCTGGCAGGAGGGAGAGTGGGAGGGACAAAGTAAAGTGGAAAAATTAGAAACATTTTGAAGGCAGAGATGACAGACTTTGCTGATGTGGGAATGAGGAAAGGTGGGGGTGGAAGGTGAATGAATCTTGGGCTTTGGGCTTGAGCATAGGGGAAGATAGGGAAAAACAGACTGGGGGTGGGGTGGGAAATAAGAAACTCCCTGTTAGACAAGGCAAGTCTGAGCTATTAGACTTCTAAACATGGGCCCATACTTCATATATGCTCAGGCCTATTCTTTAGATATACTTTTGAAAATCACCACCTTAAATACAATACTTAAGTCATCGATCACCTAGGGAGAAGGTGTATTTAGAGCTGAGGGCCCTCTAATATTTAAAAGTAGGACAGGCCCTGACCAGGTGGTTCAGTTGATTAGAGTGTTGTCCTGATAAACCAAGGTCATGGGTTCCATCTCTGGCCAGGGCACATACAAGAATCAACCAACAGATGCATAAATAAGTGGAACAACAAATTGATGTCTCTCTCTCCCCTCTCTCCACTTCCTCTCTCTCTCAAATTAAAAAAAAAAATATATATATATATATATATATATATAGTTTAAATAAATATATATATATATATATATAGTTTAAAGGTAGAATAAAAGAAATCTACAAAAGGAAACTAAGAAGCAGCAGCCAGTGAGGTAGGAAGAAAAAGCAGTATAGTGTGGTACTACAGACACCAAAGAAGAAAAAGCGTCCCAAGAAGAGGAGCTGGTTATGCTGAACCCTGTAGAGAATTCAGAAAGATAAGCACAAAGCAGTAACGCTGGATTAGGCAACATAGAGTAGAGTTCCAGCTGACCCTGTCTTAGCTTCCATTCTCCCATCCTTCCCATGCTTCACCCAGAACCCATCATTCCAGGTTCACCTCAACTTCTTTTGTGACAGCTTTCTCACTGATGACACTAACTTAAAGCACTCTCTTCTTCCAAGAATCACTGTTATTTCAGCTAAAAATTTATTGTTCTGTTTTACAGGCATTAGTCTCAGCTGATATGAAACTGTAACTACTCAAATGTAGGGACTGTAACATAGAGCTTTGCAGATTCCAAAGCAACAGGAACAACAGATTTGCAATAAATATTAACCTAATGGTAAAAATAGAAACATCAGCTACAGAGCAGGAAAGGAAAATAAAGAAAAGGAGAAACTAAAGCAAATACTGAAGGGGCCTAGGGAAACAAAATAAGCTCCCATATCACTAAGAACTCACTGGGCGTCTGCTCAGGCGAGCCGAGGTTGACGGAGTTGTCAGCAGCACCCACAGCCACTCCATTGATGGAAGAACCACAGTCCGCGATGACTCCCAGGCAGGCTGACCGCCCACAGTCCCAAAGTCGTGCTGTTCCATCTCGAGAACCAGATACTACATTCCTCCCCCGCTCAACAATGGCTGTATCTAGGATACCTGGCAAAGGGGAAAAGAAAGACCCTAAGATGGAGTAGGCAGTAAAGAAACTACAAGGGCAGAGAAGACAGATCTGCATAAATGACTCCATTCCTTCACAGACATGTGCTGGATATAATCTACATGCTGGGCATGTTCAAGTGCTAGAAAAACAAACACACAGAACAGAGGGGTCCCTGCTTCCCAATGGTACAAAGACTAGCTGTGCGAGCCCTGGTTGGGTAGCTCGGTTTGTTGGAGTGTTGTCCCAATGTGCCAAAGTTGTAGGTTTGATCCCTGGTCAGGGCACATGCAGGAGTCAACCAATAAGTGCACAGATAGGTAGAACAACAAATCAATGTTTTTTTCCCTCCTCTCTCTCTAAGTAAAAAAAAAAAAAAAACTAGCTATGAGAGACAGACATGGAAAAAGAAGCTTTGGATTTTTTTTTTTAGTGGAGTATTCTAGAGTAGTGGTTTTTGAGATTTTATTTTGGCTTAAAAACCTGTTTTTTAAGCAAAAACAGACACCTTAGAGAGTTCCATATGAAAATCACTGCCTTAAAAAGGTCTGCTGCTTTCATTGAGAACTAAATGGAAGGGGTAGTCTCCCCATCTTAAAAGAAAGGGTATGACTTCTGATCTGGCCAAGATGGAGTAGCCCCACTCCTCCCAGGTCTTTCTTCTTACAACTAAAAAAAAATCTCCAACAAACAAGCACAGGAAGCCTGAAAGAGGGAAAGAAGGCAGACTACCTACGGCCCTCAGGGCTTGAAGAGCAGTGAGTTCCCTAGATTTCCTTATTGCTTCTCACATATCCTGGATGGGACACTGCAGGAGCCTCTATCATGGAACTGATGAAAAAAAAAACAGGGAGTTTAAAAAAAAACAAGCACCAAAAACTCCAAGAAAAGTGTGCTGCCCCAGGCAAAAGCCTCTTGGTGGCCCGTGAGAACAGAAAACCCACCCCACTCAAACAGCAACAGGAAAACTGCTACCTCTCCCTCACCCAAAGTTTCAGTGGGGCTGAATCAGGAATGACCTTCTAGCCCAACCCCAAGGAAGCAAGAGATAGCAGTCTCATCCCTCCACCCAGTGACACTGACCGGGCCCAGCTGGGGACTGTTGGTAGGGTCCAGAGGTGAACTGAGCCTCTACCCCCCACCTGACAGCAACAGATGGAAAGAGGCAGAATGAAGTCGTGGGAATCGGCACTCCACCTTCCCCACCCACCCACCCTGGCGTAATCAGCAGGAAAATGAGCTTACAAGCCCACTTGGAGGCAAGGAGGCAGTACAAGTTGAGGTGGCTGCAAGTCAGGGGCCCACTTTCACCAGGGCCCAGGGGCAGCTGAGCTACCACCTCACCTGTTCACAAAGAGGCACTGTGAACAGTGCTCTGCTTTTGCCAGAGTGGTGTTGAAGGAGCCCAGCGGGAAGCTACTTGACCTATCCTAAGCCCTAGCACCATAGTTTGACAGGGACTACCTGCTAAAAAAAGATCAAATAAGATCCAGAGTGTTATAACATTCAATATATCCAGATCTTATACTTTCTTTTTCAAGAGAGAGGGGAAAGGAGGGAGAAAGAGAGGGAGAGAAACACTGATCAGTTGCCTTCCATACATGCCCTGATCAGGGAGTGAACCTAAGAACTAAGCATGTGCCCTGACTGGGATTTGCACCTATGGCTTTAGATTTGTGGGATGATACACAACCAACAAAGCCACATCAGTCAGGGTAGATTTTATAAATTTTTGGAGTCCTTTTATTACCCACTATCTGAGTTTTGCTTTGGTGTCTGGCCTTAGAAACAAAGAGTGTAAAAGGTTAAAGGTAGTTATAGACACAGAGTTGTAACACAGTGGCATATGTGCGATAACACAGGGCTGTAGAAAGCAGAAAGTAATCCGACCCTATGGTGATACAGGCAGGGCTGGTACTTGTTTTATTAAAACCCATTTACTGATCCTATGTAAATACTTGCAGATTGACTAACAAAAATACCTGACCAAAGGTCACTTAGTCAATCACTGATCTTTGTCTTGCTCCCATTGCTCTCAAGATGAGATGACTTCAGGTATACAAACTTTGATAAAAAAAACTCCGCAGCAACTCAACATAAGGCATAGGTGATAGAGAACCCATGCAACTGATCATATGCCTTAACTATTACTGGAAATTTCACTTTGAAAGACTTCTTCAGAAAAAGATTAATTTATGAAAATGCCACAAATTGAAAAAGCAGCCAACTTAGGGCCTGAGAAAATATGATTAGCGACAACTCAGACGGGAGCTAATCACAGTGGAAGGTTCCAAATATACCCAATTTAAAGTAAAAACTAACTCCAAATTATATAGCTGACTACAGTTGGAAAAATGTAATCCTTGCAATTACTGGATAAAAGCCACTATAAACAAGGTTTTAAAAATAGTCTTCCTCTCAAAAACAGATCCAAGGAAGCAACATGTTATACTGCTATATGATGTTTAGAGAGGGAGAGAAACATCAATATGTGGCTGCCTCTTGCGCACCCCCTACTGGGGACCTGGCCCACAACCCAGGCATGTGCCCTGACTGGGAATGGAACCAGTGACCCTTTGGTTCACAGGCCTGTACTCAATCCACTGAGCTGCACCAGCCAAGGCTAACTGTATTTTATATTAATAATTATAAAGCATTTTGAGTTAAAGAAAGTCCACTTTTTCACTCTATCACCATAACACATTCAGCATAAATCTAACTAGAAAAGGATCTTATTTCTTTTCAGAATCCTATGGAATCACCAGTAGGAACATGAGGAAGGACCTCCAGCTCTCATTAAGCAAAGATCTGTTTATGTCTTTATTGGAAAGTTACAACTATTTAAAAATATTATTGAGTTTCATGGAAGTGATTCAAGCTTTAGAAAATAGAAAAAGTTCTTAAAAGCATGTACCCACGGCTGGCTGCTATAGCTGTGGTTAGGAAGCTGTGAATGGCAATACCTGTGTACAAATTTCAAGCAACACTCACCAAAAACCTGCCATCTAGAAAGGTTTCCTTTTCTACCTCACCCCAGAACTTTCTCATGAGGCCAAAAGAATGGAACAAACTACATGAATAAAAGCTGCAATCAGCCCTGGCTGGTGTGGCTCAGTGGACTGAGCACCAGCTTGCGAACCAAAGGGTTGCCAGTTAGATTCCCAGTCGGGGCACATGTGTGGGTTGCAGGCCAGGTTCCCAGTAGGGGGCGGACGAGAGGCAACCACACATTGATGTTTCTCTCTCTCCCTTCCCCTCCACCCCGTCTAAAAATAAATAAATAAAATCCTAAAAAAACAAAAAACCTACCGAAACCAGATTAAACCAGATTAACAAACATCCTGTAATCCACACTAAGCCAAGTGACACATGTGTATTCTTAAGGGGAAGTGAAGAATGTTGGGAGGCTTAGGATTCATGAGGAGGATTCAAGTGGAGGGCACACTCAGTAATCCAAAGGTATCCTAACTTGAGTAAGTGTGTATTGATGTTGAATGCACGGTTTGTTAAGTTCAATAGCAGAGTCATGCACGGTTCCACTGGGAAGTTCCACCACACCTTAGATGTTCAGAAGCATAGCCAGATCGGAGGTGAATCCCTCCGTTTTCCTCTAGTGTCCTTTGGTTCCTGGACCGTGCAGGCTGCTCTGACTCCTTAGACCTGTCAGCTCTTCAGGCTAAATGTGAGGAAGGCTCCAAATATCCTTTCCATTGCCTCTCCATGTAGCCACGTACTTGCAGTTTTAGAAGTAAACCATTTATTTACTGAGGTTAACATGTGTTTCTAAATGAGTAGCTTGACAAACCATTATAAAGAAATACTAAAATTTAAAGCTCAATCCTTACACACAAGTTATTTATAATACAATCAAGTACACAAGGCAAAAACACTGGGTTAAATGCCCTAAGTATAGAACAATACATAATTAATTATAATTAATTCCCAAATGCATGGTATAGAGGATGTGTATTATAGTTCCAAAGGAGGGATCATGTTAAGGAGTTGAGAATGTTATTACATTTTCAAAAATATCCAAACTTATAAAATAAAAATAACATTATTTATCATTTTTTTACCATTTCAATTAAGGATAAAACATCTCTAAATGTAATGTTTTTCCCAACAAACCAACCAATCAATTACGAAGAGAGTATGTTCTTACTGTCTCTATAATCTGCTATCAGCTGGTTGCATGAATTATCCATTTTTTAAAATGTGAACTGTGATTTAAATCCATGGAAACAACAGTTGGTACCTGCCTATTTCCGGTGTGTAGTGACATAGCCATGTGCCACCTTCTACTATCGCCTCAGCCAAAGGACTAATAATGAGAAAATGTGGGTTCACTCTCTCCCTCTCCTCTCAGCACACAAGGAGATAGATAATCTCCTGGGGAGAGTTTTTTCCATTATCAACTGTGGAAAACAACTATTTGTGTAAGACAGTTAGTTCTAGATAGCAATAACTAGACTGAGTAGCAAAGGAATTTCTAATCTTTGGGGAAACAGCAGCTCATCAAATGGCCAGCTGGATGAATTATCTGTATTTATGCAGAAAACGAGCTTCTCTTTCTATTTTTTTAACGATTTGTTTCTGGGGATGATTAAAGAAGCCTTTAAAAAAAGCATCATTCATACCTCCTTTATGACCTTTGAAGGTCACCACACAGTTAGCATCTTCAGCTGACCAGATCTTCAGCTGGGCATCCATTCCCCCACTCAGAACCACAAGGCCTGATGGGAAAAACCTGCAACAATTCACATCAAACACATGCCCTTCCAATATTCTCTAGAAAAACAAAAGAAAATTTCAGGCTAGTTCTCTTGTCCATCCCTTGATGTTCTCATACCTCTCTTATCCTTGATTCTGTAAATGAAATATCTACATGCTACACTCACATGCCGGGTTTCAAAACTAAGGAGGTCCAATGCATCACTTAGCTTATCTGCCTACCAGGTAGTGTTCTAAGAGCTGCAGGCTCCCTTTCTGGCTTTGGCTACAGATGTGGATTTGAACTCCATGGCTCTAAATCTAGTTCTACATATAAGAGGCTGAGGAGACTTGAGGACTCTTTTTTTTTTTTAAAGATTTAATTTATTTTTTAGAGAGGGAAAAGAAGAAAGAAAGAAACATCAACGTGTGGTTGCCTCTCACACACTCCCTAGTGGGGACCTGACTCACAACCCAGGTATGTGCCTTCGCCTGGAAATTGAACTGGTAACCCTTTGGTTCACAGACTATCACTCAATCCACGGAGCCACACCAGCCAGGGCATCTTGAGGACTCTTACTCACCTCTTCTTAAAATCCTCTGTACACACCGGAGGGCTAAGCCATATAATCAGTATAACAGCCTAGCTACTTTGTCTTAGAAACTGATCACTATAGACAGCTCACTATCTACCTCTACCTGAGGTACCACCCACTTAGACATGCACTGGACTGGCTCCTCCACTCTTCCAGCCCCAATTTGTTGTGGCAAATCACCAACCTCAAAGATGGTTCTCAGATTAACAAATGGGACAAAGATCAATTGAAGTGTGATGGTACTATATTTTTAGAACAAGACACTCTTCTTTCCATGACCCAGTCCACCCTTTCTTAGACTACCTGTCATGTAAAAGCCCCTAAAAATATATCCAAAGCCTTTACTCTGAGCTCTCCATTGGAAGCCTGCCAGACTTTCATGCTCCCATCAGCACTAGAAGACACACCAAGGCCTCCTCCACTGGAAATGTCCAGGCATGTTATCTGTTTCAAAAGACAAAATAACCCGAGTTACAAGTAATAAAATACTCACCTTTTCTTAAAATATGACATAAACTTCCCATTCCACACTCCTCCAAGACTTATCCCAACACAAAGGACATGTGTTTCAGGTAAAGGTTAGCTTGTCATCACAGATTTCCCAACAAGGCTAGAGTCTACAGTGTATCAGAATAGCTCCTTTACAATAAAAAGTTGTCCAGCTCAAAATATCAGTAGTGCCAAGGCTGCCACAGTCGAGACACTCTGACATGTTGTGCTATATCCTCCCGGTTAATGTACTGTCCCTGGAGGCGACATGGATACTGTGTTATTTATCTGTTACATATTTTGGGGGCCCATGTTCCTAGACCTAAAAAGTAATTTTGTCTGAATTATCCATTTCTTTCAAAGTGACCAAACACTGAAGAGCAGACTATAGGTAGTACCAGCTGTTTCCTGCCTCTGAACTTTTATTAAAGAAAAAGGAATGGGGACTAACATTTACTGAATAGGTATTTTATTCCAGACATGCAACAGATACTACCTTCATGTAATTCCCTCAAATATCTGTAACATAGGTATTATATCTGTTTTTCAAATGAAGAATTTGAGGTTTAAAAAGTGATTAAGTAATTTTCCCACCATGACATAGTAGAGCCAGGACAGAAACCCAGGTCAGAGTCCAAGGCTAAAGATCCCTTTGTTAGTCACAGCGCAAGAACAGACAGATGGATGGGACAATCCTAAATACTGGAAAAGATGACTATTCAAACCAGTGAGGTAAAGGATGAGTTATTTTATAGTGCTGACATGCTAATTACTTCAAAAAGAATTAAGTTAGATTCCCTACTTCAAACCAATTAACAAAAGTTAATAATAATCCCCCCAAAATCATCACCATCCAAAAAAACCCCACTATCTTTACAATTTTAATTAACAAACACTTATATTGTACTCACTATGTTCCAGGTCCAATTCTAACTGCTTTAATCCTCATAACAACCCTAAGAGATAAATATTTTTTTCACCCCCATGTTATAGATAAGCACATGGAGTTAATTATGTGACCTAAGGTCACACAGTTACTAAGTGGCAGAACCAAGATTTGAATCAGGGAGTCAAATCCAATGAGTTTGTCTCTGGAGTCAGTGCTCTTACCCACTATGTTATATGCAAGTAAAAGTGATTTTATATATATTCACATGAGATTATATGTATAAAATCATGGACTACCCCAAGCAAGACTCCAAACGCAGTTAACCAAAGGAATAAACTGATAGGTTTTAATATCTAGAAATAATTAATATCTCTATGTCAAAAGACATCATAAACAAACAATAACCTAGAAAAAACAATCTGCAATATATCTGGCAAAGGATCAGTATTCTTATTATAAAAGCTCTTAACAGTAAAGAAAAAATTCACACTTTGGCCTTGGCTGAATAGCTCAGTTAGAGTACTGACCCAATACACCAAGGCTGTGGGATCAATCCCTGGTCAGGGCACATGCAACAAACAACCAACGAATACATACATAAGTGCAAGAACAATCAATGTTTCTCTGTTTCTCTCTCCCCCCACCCTCCCTTCTCTCTCTTTCTCTAAAATGTCAATTAAAAAAAAAGGGCAAATGACATGAAGAGTGGCCAATAAATATATGAAAAAGTGGTCAATTCATGATTAATCAAAAGAATGCAAATTAATATAAAATAGACTACCATCTGTCAAATAGGTAAAACTTAAAAATTTTAATACACAGTACTGACAAAGTATGTTAAGTCAGGCTGGCAGAAAAGCAATAATACAGTCAGAACTTTTTTAGGCAATGGAAAGGGCCCAGTGATAGGTCAATTAATCAACAATTTCAAGCCCTGGCTGGTGTAGCTCAGTGGATAGAGCGCAGGCCTGCGAATCAAAGGATCACGGTTCGATTCCGTCAGGGCACATGCCTGGGTTGCAGACTGCTTCCCTGCAGGCCAGTTTCCGGCAGGGGATGCACAAAAAGGCAACCATACATTGATGTTTCTCTCCCTCTCTCCTTCCCCTCTATAAATAAATAAATAAACAAATAAATAAATAAAATCTAAAAAAAAAATTAATCAACAATGTCAGTTAAAGTGGAAAATAATGAAAATGATATATAATATCTACATTTTAACTCACATATACAAATGTACATTAAAATTCACTAATCTTTTCATTAGTCCACTGATTACTACAAGGAAGCTTTACTTTGACTTTCTTTTAATAAACTATAACCAAAAGGCACAATTTATAATTTCTAGTTTCTTTGAAGTAAGGTAAGAATATTTATACTTACAAAGCAATCTAAAAACAAAAATTCACCTATGGTTTTTTTAAAGATTTATTTTATTTATTTTTAGAGGGAGGGGAAGGAAGGGAGGAAGAGAGGAACATCAATTGGCTGCATCTTGGATGCGCCCTGACTGGAGACTGAACCTGCAACCCAGGCTTGTGCCCAGACCAGGAATCAAACTGCCGACCTTTTGCTTTGTGGGATGAGGCCCAACCAACTGAGCCACACTGGTCAGGGCTAGGTTGTTTTTCTTTTTTTTTTTCCCCTAACATTTTGCATTTATATTGCTCACTCATACTATAATAGCAGTTTAAAAAATCAAGCAAACAAAAAGCCCCTCTTCTTTATCAAGTCTTTACAAAGCAATCAACTTAGTTTTCAGACCATCATTCTCTGCCTTTCCACACTATATCATCATTATGTTAATTAAATATTAACATATTTAATTAATTAACGTAATTTAAAAACCAGTGTAACTGGTACTGCAACTGATTCACGGTAAGCACTCAACTTATCCGGTAGAGTCAGAAGTATGTAGACCTCAAAGAAGAGCTTACAGACTGTGAATATGCTGTGGGCATTAGCCAGGATATTTCAGAGGAAATGCAGAGCAAAAGTTGACTGAATAGGTCAGTTAAGTGGATGTCAATCAGAACATACCAAGTGCCTTATAATCTGTATTCCTTGTGATTCAGCTACTCTACTTTCACCAATGTATTCTAATTCTTCCTATCTTTGTAAGCCAAGGGTTAATTCTATCATCAAAATAGAAATTTAAGAAATTAAAATATTTGAATGTCCATAATGTAAGACTGGTAAAAATTATAGTAAAATCATATAGTGGAATACTATGCAGCTGTTAAAAGAATACATAGAAAGATGATATAATATGATGTACATAATATTTTTTTTAGTTAAAAAATTTTCTGTTATCCTTACCCAAGGACATTCCTTATTGATTTTAGAAAGAGGGGAAGGAAGGGAGAAAGCGAGGGATAGAACACTGATTGGTTGCTTCCCATGCACACCCCAACCAGGGACCAAACCCACAACCTAGGCATGTGCACCGACCAGGAATTGAACCTTCTACTCTTTGGTTTATGAGATGATGCTTCAACCAACTGAGCTACACCCACCAGCGTCATAATATATTATTAAAGACTAAAGAGCAAGTCATAAAATAGCAAGTACTGTAATACCTATTTTGGTAAAATAAGGAAAAAAGATTGGGTAAAATAATGATACACAAAGCTTAGCATGATGCTGGCATGTAGTAGGCAATCAATAAATATTAGCCGTTACTACTGTGATTACTACTAAGAAAGGCTGTATAAAAAAGTTCACAACAGTTATCTTTAGGTTACAGAAACATGAGTGATTCAATTTGTTTGTTCCCTAGATTTTCATCCCTAAACATGTTATTTGTTTCACAGTAAGGAAAAAATAGTTTGTTTTTTTTTAAATCTATGTATCTATCTATCTATCTATCTATCTATCTATCATCTATCTATTTATCTTTAGAGGGGAAGGGAAGAAGAGAAGGAGAGAAATATCAATGTATGGTTGCACCTCATGTGTCCCCTGCTGGAAACTGGCCTGCAACCCAGGCATGTGCCCTGACTGGGAATCGAATCGTGATCCTTTGGTTCGCAGGCCCGCACTCAATCCACTGAGCTACACCAGCCAAGGAAAAAAAAGTTGTTTTAAAAAATGGACCGCACAGTAAGAAGTGGAGGCTTTAAAATAACCAGTTTATCCACCTATTTCTCACTTTTGCTTCCAAAAGCCCACAGTAGTAGAAAGGGCTTTTTCAAAAAGACCTTTGGAAATTATCCCCCAAAAAGCTGTACTTAAGAGTTTTGAGAAAATGTCCCCGTCCTGTAGACAAAGGGGCAAAAATATGAGCAGTGGCAAATTATGCAAGCATCAGCTACTACCACCATTATCCAAAAGCCTGTAAGTAGCTCTGGTAAAACATATAAGTAAATTTCACTTCAAATTTCCTTTCTCTAAGCGTACACCTACTCTAAGTGGCCTAAGTACCATTTTGCCAAACATTATCACACTTCATCAGCTGTTATAATCACAGTATGTGAATGGCACATTGATTATTGTTTATAACAGTCGACAAATACACAAAATAAAAAATTAACATATTATATTTCTCCTCATTTTATCAAAATACTTACACTCTTTGCATGAATTTTGGAAAAAGTAGTATATGGTGCCAAAAACTTTGAAGATGCATTTTCCTTTGGACATGAAACATGAATGCTCTTCTAAGGAGAGAGGGAAAGATGAAATATCAGTAAAGCTGCTCCAACAGAATTAAAGCCTCTTAAAAAGAACATTCGGACAAGAGGAAATTCTCATCCTTTAAGTGTATCCTCTCTAACCCTCCTTCCCCCGCCCATAAAACTATCACTCCCTTGTAGCTGAGCAGTCCTTTCACTGCAGGGCTGCAAGGTAATTTGGTACCACTGAGATGTCACTGTCTTTTTAGGTTAAACTCTCCCATAGAAGACAAGCCAATAATAAGATACAATAGACAAACATAACAGCATTAATTTTTTAGAAGAAAATCTGGTATCAGTATTCTTAATTAGCAGTGGGGCAAGGAACAGGATCACCAGATGTGAGGAAACAGCACCAGCCCTCAAGCCTGGGGCCGAAAGGTCTAGTCTAAAAGTCAATTTGCTGCCTATAAGAACTTTTGGAAAGTGTTGGACCGCTGACAGCCATTCCACAGTTACCAGAGAACACTGGTACCGTAAATAATGGTCCACTCGTACAGTGTGTAGGGCCTGGTCAGGCTGGCTGTACATGTTCGCAGACTGGTCACTGCCACAGGCAAAGCTGTATTATGATTCCCCGAGTGTTTGGCCTAGGCATTATCACAGATCTTTCAGCTACTGTAGCAAGATAACACTAGTGACAACAGTAGGAAGTTACACCTAGAACCAGATGTTAGATTCAGTAAACATGACTTGCTAAAGTCAGCTTTTGTAGCCATTCCAAGTAAGTATGTTGGTATTTCTTTTTTTTTTATATTTCTTTTTTTTTTAAAGATTTTATTTATTTATTTTTAGAGAAGGGAAGGAGAGAGGGAGAGAAATATCAATGTATGGTTGCCTCTCATGAGTCCCCTGCTGGGAACTGGCCTGCAACCCAGGCATGTGTCCTGACTGGGAATCGAACCGTGATCCTTTGATTCGCAGGCCCAAGCTCAATCCACTGAGCTACACCAGCCAGGGCAGTATGTTGGTATTTCAAGGTAGCATGTGTAGAGATATAAAAGGCTTGGTACACAAACCCTTCCTCAAGGATTTCATACGACAATTCCTTCCTCCAACTAGCAAAAAACTAACCCTGTCGTCTCAGTGTAGATCTCGTAATGGAGCTGAGGAGCTACACTCACAAATGGGCCCCTAACCTGTTATGTCTTCCATAAAAGTACTTCCAAGTTTCTGGAAATTCTGTTGGATAATGAAAATATCTTCAATAATCAAGATTTTTCTGGACCTCTTTATAAGACTAATTTATGTACAACAAGCACAGTCCTCATAGTTCATTAGAAAAAAGTTTTATTAGAATAGTCTTATTACTGAAAATCAATATGCTCTTATTATAGGTCGTCTACTCCTTTAAAAAGGCAATTGGAATATCTATACAAACAGTACTTTCTTAGCCAGAATATCCATGCCTGGCTGCCTGCAGGCCTTTCATTAAATGAGTTTTTGCTTCTAACCGCATGACAAAGCCCCTACAGCTGCCAGAGCACTGACCTGGATTTGGAATTGTCTCCTGTACCCAAAACTAAAGTGTCAGCTAAACTCCCCTGGCTAGTATTCATACCAAGCAAGGAGGCAAGGGGTTCTGAAAACTTAGTGTTCGGGTTTCTGTAAGCATTGGTTTACTCCCAGAAGACTTCATTTCTTCAGGGCCAATTATGGGAAAGATTTCAAGAATCAGTGGTTTTCTCCTGCTTATCAATCCTGTAAATTAACCTTTAGTCCATAAACAGACTATGAAGGAAGATAAATGTTGAACTACCTTCCAATGTCAGCAGTAGAGAATCATGCTGTTAATAAAAAAAATTTTAAAGAAAAGCTGCGGGATATATCAACACAGACAGAATTTAGGGTTGGGGGGTTGGAGGAGGGAGTGTGAGTATTCTACACTAAGGTAAAATTCAAAGTGGAACTTTTATCTTTTGGGGTTAGGTTTTTAAGCATATTCACAAATTTGGTTAAAAGAACAATGTAGCAACATCAAATAACAAAGTGACTCATGGCAATTAGAAAACAAATGAATGCTCAACCATAAGCACTTACTGTCTGACCCAGCAGGTACACAGCAGAAATTAGCAATGAAGTTGGAAGGTAAAAATTGTATCAGGGCCTGAGTATGAAGGGAAGAAAGAAGTCAGCACCCAGACTATCGATGGATAGCAGTGAAACACCCGGGACAAATGTAGGCTTGCCAGGCAGTGTTATACCTGAAGTTAATAGAACTCCAGTCTAATTAGCCTTGATTATTAGGGGTTAATAAACCTTTCTGGGTTTATCTGCTTATCTGCAAAATGGAAATTTAAAGTGCCAACCTGAAAAGACTCTTATAATAAACAATAACTCACTTTTGTAATATTTTATAGTTTCATTCATATGCAGTCTCACTCCTCACTAACCAGCCTATGAGGTAGAATATTATCTCTATTTTATAGACGAGACGACTGAGAATCAGGGAACTAAGTTATTTGTCCAAAATAATATTTTGTTCTTTTAAAAAATTTTTTAATTTATTGGTGTGACACTAGCTAATAAAATCATGTAGGTTTCAGGAGTACAATTCTATAATGCATCATCTGTATATTGGAGAGTGTGTTCACCACTCAAGTCAAGTCTCCTTCCATCACCCTTTATCCCACCTATACCCTCTTCTACCTCCCCCAACTCCCCTTTCCCTCTGGTAATCACCATACTGCTGTCTTGTCTATGAGTTTGTCCAAAATCATATTGCTCGTAAGCATCAGAAGATCTGTCCAATTCCACCGACACTTTCTACAATTCCATAGCTGTTCATAAAAGAACAAGCATAAGATATATAATGCACCCCATGTATACTGCACACCCACATTTTTGGCCCAAACTTTCAGGAAAAAAATTTTCTCATTTTAATTTTTAAATTTAATTACATATTTATTTATATTTAGAAACAAAACTGATGATCACACTCCATATCCATTTTGCATATAGATATCATTATTGCTTCCTAGAGTTATACTTTTAACACATAAGCATAAATATAAGAATTAAAAATATTTATACAGATACAGAATTAGTGCTACCCATGTATATTGCTCATCCTTATTTTTCCCTCAAAAATTTGGAGGAAAAAGTATGCATTATACACAGCAATATACAGTGTTAACAGGTAGCCTATCACCTTGCAAAAATGGTAACAAATGAACATTTGCTAAATATGTCATGTAGAAAACAAAATACAGGGTCTGGAAAAGTAAGGCTTGCTTGAGTGTGGTTGGTAGGGTACGCAAATGTCTTGCGTGAGATACACAGCAATGTGAACATTTCACCTAAAATTCATATGGTGTGCTTGAGTGTGATATTGTTATGTTACAGAATTACATGCTTATGATTTTGTAATAAAAAAGGGGCATTATTTGTGCCAGACCTGTATTTTCTATTCTTGTCAGTATACCAGAAATATTTTACAACTGCAACAGTTTAATTACAAAAGAAAAAAGAAAGAAAGGCTAGTTTACCCTTTGGAAATCATCTCACCAGAGTATATTGACTGCAGCCATCAGAATGGGTAAGGAAAGTCAGATCATGAGTTCTGCAACACTTAGCTTGGTTATCTACTCACCGCAAAGACCAATGAGAAAAACTATTAAGTACTTGGTGAAGGCCTAGGTCTTCACAAGGCCCACCCAGACATATTATAGTGCTATGTTGACAACAGGTAGGTACTCACCACATAAAGTTGTTGAGCACTCAAAATATGCCCAATGCAAATGAGGAACTGAATTTTAAATTTTATTTAAAGTTTAATATAAAAATTGATATTTGATTCATTAGGAAACTTTTGAAATATGTAATCTATGTCTTCAATTTTATAAAATCTAAATACATATCAAGTATTTCTAATAACAAAATTAGAGTCTGAATTGAGATGCGCTATAAGTGTAAAACACACATATGATCTCAAAGACTTAATAAGAGAAATGTAAACTATCTCACTAATTTTATTTGGAGTTAGAAATAATATTTGATAAATATAAAAATATATTTACATATTTTATATAAAATTTTAAATATATTTATGTATTATTATATATATATATATATTTTCCAACCACAACCCAAAAGGAAACTTTATGGGATATAAATTAAGGATACTGAGCTTCTGAAAATATTTGCAATATGCATGATACATGAAAGTTAAATAAGATATATTATTAAAATTAATTTCACTGTTTCTTTTTGGAGCTACTAGGAAATTTAAAACGATATATGTGGCTTACATTATTTATCTGTTGGAAAGCATTGGTATAAGGGGAAAGGGAGTCTGATTGCATTTAAAAGTATATGTAACTGCAAAACAAAAACTTTGACATTTGAAGGCAGTACAAACAGTGATTACTGTAAAAATGAGATGGAGATGACACTGATACACACACAACAGGATAAATATTTAAAACAGATATATGGGTATAACCGTATGCACGGGCAGTGCCATCTAGAAGACACAAAAACCTACCTTGTTTATTTCATTCACAATAAATCCTTCCGAAGCTGTAACCTCTGGAACGCCATCAAGGCCAATTCCTTGACAGGTGAGGCTGCCATACAAAGTTGGTTTCCCTATACAGCACAAAAGAAGCATGTCTCAAAAAATAGTAAGAATTTAACATTTTTTCTCCTCGAAGACCCAATTTAGGTATCTGTATAGATGGTAGGAAATTAGTTCATGGAAGAAAACCAGGTACTGGTGTTAAAAATCAGGAGAAGTGGGAAGAATACTAGCCTAAGTGACCCAAATTTGAGAAGGAATACACTGAAGGGCTAAAAACTAGAAACAGAGGTTTAGACACATGATGTAGCATCTGTAGAGAAAGATATTGAAGTGACCTGAACCTGAGTTTTACTGGCTGTGAAACAGAATTCTTCCAGGATGAAAGGTGAAGATCAATGTGAATATAGATGCCTTTATCCACAGTATACTCATATACGTATCAGACGCAGTAGAGAGAGCTAAGCTTTATTAATCTGGAAAATGTACTTAAGTAGAACCATATGGGCTAAATAAGATATTATTCTATACATTAGCACATGCAGATGGTAAAATAGAGTTAAAACCATTCTTTTCTAATCCTCTTCAGCACCTTATATATATACTTCTGTAACAGCCTGTAACATGCTGTTTACATTTCTGATCTCCCATTGGACTGTAAAGTCCTAGAGTTCAGAAACTAGCAGGCTGTTATAAATTATTCAGCAAATAACTGTTGGCACCAAACTGAAGCTCTAGGAGTAAGAGGGAAGTAAAAACCATCCTGGATTCACAGAGTAGGGGGGCTTCACAGAGAGGGGGGGGCCTTGAAAGATAGGTCCTGGCAGGAGATAAAGGAAGGGGCATGCCAGGAACAAAAGAAAGTCAGAAAGAACAAGGGAGGTACCAATTAATACACCAGTTTGGTTACAACAGTCATAGAAATGGAAGTTGAAGGACATTGACAGAGGAACTCACAATCTAGGGTAGAAGTCTGGACTAGAGAAGATCTAGTGAAGAAGCTTTTGGCAAAGAAGTGGCATGAAATGCTAGTGAAGAAAGATGCCACAAAAACAGGCTTGAGGAATTCTGTGCTTGGGCCCAGTCCATGAACCCCTCCTGGCTTCACTAACTGCCCTATGAAGTCTGGCCCTCACGATACATCATTTCAACCGGTCTCCTGCTGGCACCCTCAATGACCTCTCTACATTTGTAAAGTCACTGAAATGATGTGTCTTGGTATTTTTTTGTCTATATAGTAGAATTAGAATTAAACTACCCAGCCACCTTCTAGATTTCTACATGCAGGCTGATGAGTGGTGCTACAAAAAAGCGCACAATTGTGCAGATTAACACCACAATTCATGTTCCCAAACACTGCAGTTTTGCACTCCTTTTGCCCTTTCTATTCCCCACAGCAGCCAATTCTCATGCCGCCTATACTGCCATCAAAACCTTCTTCCTTCATAATAGCCAAAAAGTGGAAACAACTCAAATGTCTACCAATTGATGAATGGATAAAAATGTGGTATATTCATACAATAGAATATTACTTGGCCACAAAAAGGGATGAATGCTACAAAATGGATGGACCTTACACGTCATGCTGAATGAAAGTCAGACAGACACAGAAGGCCATATGTTATAGAATTCTGTTGACATGAAATGTCCATAATGGGCAAATCAACAGGGACAGGAAGTCAATCAGTGGCTAGAAGGAAAGGGAAACGGGAAGTGACTGTTATAAGAATATAGGATTTCTTTTAGGGATGATTAAAATGTTCTGAAATTGGATATTGGCGACAGACATACAACTCTGTGAGTATACTAAAATCCACTGAATTTACACTTCAAAAGGTCGACCTTATGGTTTGTAAATTATATCTCAATAAAGATGTTACAGGACTTCCAGCCAAGATGGTGGCATAGGTAGACACACTGTGCCTCCTTGCAAAACCAAAATAAGGACAACAACAATTTAGAAACAAAATAACATTTAGAAACAAAATAACAACCAGAACTGATGGAAAACTGAACTGTATGAAAGTCCGACAACCAAAGAGTTAAAATACACATTCATCTAGACCGGTAGGAGGGACGGAGTTGTGTGGCCCAGTGTGGAAGGGTCACGGCAAAAAACAGTGGTGGCACCATGTGTGCAAAGCAGCAGATGACAAACCCCAGGTGCCCAGGTCAGCAGCTGGTGGACCCTGGGCGCACAGGTGATGGCTGGCAGACCCCGGGCATGGAGTGGCAACAGGCAGACCCAGCGAGGCGGCAGATTGTGGAGGGGCACAGCGCACAAGGCTGCTGGCTGACCAGGCAGTCCCACATTTGCATGCAGATAAACCAGGTGAAACTGGGAGGTAACCCAGGGTCCCAGTGCCAGGAAATAAAGCCTCAAAACACCGACTGAAAACACCTATGGGGGTTGAGGTGCCAGGAGACACTCCCAGCCTCACAGGAGAGTTCGTTGGAAAGACCCAGAGGGTCCTAGAATGTACACAAGCCCACCCACATGGGAATCAGAACCAAAAATAAAGTCCCAGTTTGCTTGTGGGCAGTGGTGGAAGGGACTGAAATCCAACAGAGAGCGGAGCAAGTGCCATGGTTACCTCTCGGACCCCTCCCCCACATACAGCATCACAACCCAACTATGTGGCTTGTCCCGCCCTGGTGAACACCTAAGGCTCTGCCCTTCATACGTTAACAGGTGCAATAAGACAAAAAAAAAAAAAAATGGCCCAAATGAAAGAACAGATCGAAGCTCCAGAAAAAAATAAAATTAAGCAACGGAGAGATAGCCAACCTATCAGATGCACAGTTCAAAACACTGGTGATCAGGATGCTCACAGAATTGGTTGAATTTGGTCACAAATTAGATGAAAAAATGAAGGCTATGCCAAATGAAATTAAGGAAAATGTACAAAAAACCAACAGTGACAGGTAGGAAACCAGGACTCAAATCAATGGTGTAGACCTGAAGAAAGAAAGAAAGATTCAACCAGAACAGAATGAAGAAATAAGAATTCAAAAATATGAGGAGAGGCTTAGGATCCTCCAGGACATCTTTCAATGTTCCAACATCCAAATCATAGGGTTGCTAGAAGGGGAACAGGAAGAGCAACAAGTGGAAAACTTACTTGAACAAATAATAAAGGAGAACTTTCCCAATCTGGCAAAGAAAATAGACTTCCAGAAAGTCCAGGAAGCTCAGAGAGTCCCAAAGAAGTTGGACCCAAGAAGGAACACAACAAGGCACATCATAATTACATTACCCAAGATTAAAATGAAAGAGAGAATCCTAGAAGCAGAAAAAGATAAGGAGTCAGTAACCTACAAAGGAGTTCCCATCAGATTGTCAGCTGATTTCTCAAAAGAAACTCTGCAGGCAAGAAGGGGCTGGAAAGAAGTATTCCAGGTCATGAAAGGCAAGGACCTACAAGCAAGATTGCCCTATCCAGCAAAGCTTTCATTTAGAATGGAAGAGCAGATAAAGTGCTTCTCAAACAAGGTCAAGTTAAAGGAGTTCATCATCACCAAGCCCTTACTATATGAAACGTTAAAGGGACTTATCTAAGAAAAAGAAGATAAAAAATATGAACAGTGAAAGGATAGCAAACACAATTATTAACAACCACACCCAAAACAAAAACAAAAGCAAACAACTAGAACAGGAAAAGAACCACAGAACTGGAGATCACATGGAGGGTAAGTAACAGGGTAGTGGGAGGAGAGAGGGGGAAAAGGTAGAGAATAAGTAGCATTGATGGTAGGTAGAAAATAGACAGGGGGAGGGCAAGGATAGTATGGGAAATGAAGAAGCTAAAAAACTTATGACACATGGACATGAATTAAAGGGGGAATGTGGGGGAGAGGGTGTGCAGGGTAGAGGGGAATGAAGGAAGGAAAATGGGACAACTGTAATAGCAGAATCAATCAAATATATTAAAAAAATAAAATAAAAATTAAAAAAAGATGTTATAAAAGAATTAGAATAGTAATAGTCCCTACTTCATAGGGTTGTAAGAATAATTAATGTATGTAAAGCACCCAGCACATAGATAGCACACATTTTAATTTGATAAAACTGTTACTTAAAAAACCCCAAACCCTCCTCTTTAAGAGCTGACACCACCTTCAATATCACAAAGAAAACTGAGACTGTAAGATACTCTCACATTTCCATGCCCACGTCTATGTATTTATTTGTATCTGCACTTAATCTCACCTTCTTTTATCTTAGTTTTTTAAACTTAATTCAGTCTCCTTTTCTGGCCTCTAAGACATTGGTTTTTTTAGTTAGTTCTTCTCTTCTCTACCTGTAACCTATACTTTAATTGTTCTCCAATTAGTTCCCATCTTTAAAAGCACAACAATGCCCTTGACTATGAGCCCTTCCAGCTATCATCTATTCTTCTATGCACCAATTTCCTCAAAAGAAAACTTTGTTTAAAACTAGTTCTCATAACACTAGTTCTCATAAACTAGATTATTATATAAAACCATCAAAGATATCTGAAATAAAAAATAATCAATAAAACAAAATGTTCCCACAAATTGAGAGGTTTTTGTTTTATTTTGTTTTTAGTGTTACCACACTAAGTGCAAATGAATGGATGGGAATAACACAGGAGTGTCATTCTGAGGAAAAATTGGTAAGACTTGGGAGCTCTGGATACAGCAGAGTGAAGTGTCTAGGTTTTATACTCTGACGCCTAGAATGATATAACTTAAATGAGAAAATTAAGAAGGAGAACCTGTTTGGTGACAGAAACACTCAGTTTGATCTTAGATGTAATAAACTCAAGATGACAAGAGCTTCAGGCAGAAACAGCTAGCATACAACTGCCTGAAATTGTGAAGAGAGGTCAGGGCTAGAGCTACAGATATAGGAATCATCTTCATGAAGGTCATACTTCAAGTAATAGAACTGCTTAGAATACAATAATATATGGCTAAGAGGCTGATTGATATGTATCAGCAATATCTCTATGAAAAAGTTTATGGCTTCCAAATGGAAAACCAACCTAAAGGCCTTCCCCTAGAATGAAGGAGTTGGGGTGATGTCAATGCAGCACAGAGTAGTCAAGAAGGTTTCAGGACTATGAGCGCTGTGCAAAGAATTTGGGTCAGGAGAAAGCAGGAAGCTTTCTTCTAGGGGTAGTAAATCCTCCTTCTCTAAAGGGAGTAAGTGTAGATTTAAGGACATTACCTGGGGGGTGACAGCTCAGCCAGGCCTCCCCTTCATCCTTCCTATGAAGAGAGACAAAGCCTAATTAGGCTCACTCAACACTGAAAAGGATGCCACTGATGCATATGGAGAAAGATTATATAATTTCCAGTTTGGCCACAGTACTTAAATATAATCTAGTCTAACACCTCACCCAGGCATAAATTATTCCAAGACAAACTTTATTTGTTGAAGAAATATTCGTGGATTATGTGTTTAATGTATATATCTGTTGGTTAAATGAAGCTCAACCAATTCATCAACAGTAACTTCACTATTCATTAACAGCTGCATAGCTTTGAAAAATCAAGAATATATTGAGATATTTTGGGGATTATTGTAAGCCAGGCCCTGTGCTAGACACTTTGCATATAGCATCATTAACCCTCAAAACAATTTAACAAGGTATCTTATTATTTCCATGCTAAAGATTAAAAAACTGAAGCTCAGAGAGGTGACTTGCCCAAGGCCACTGTTATGAAGGAGGAATTGAAACCTGGGACTAGTATACAAGGTCTGTGTTCTACCACCTTACAGACTTTTTTCATGTTTTAGAATGCACTTCCCCAATCATTCAAACCATTATCTCACCACCCTAACACTCTTAGGATATAGAAGTCCCAGGCGTTTAAGTTGTCAGCAACTCTCTATCACTTATTTGCTGCACGGTCTGGGATAATTTACTTCCTCTGAATCTGATGCTCCATTCTCTCATAGGCACCTGGTGGCCCTCAATAAATGTGTTCTTCCTTTATTACTTATCACACATTCCGTGTTGTAGTAAGTGTTATTTTATTTTAGCCTATCTAGTAAGGTGTTTCTTAAATGGCAGAACGTTATTCATCTTTACCAATGTTTCAATTAGAAAAACCCTTATTAGTAGTAATAGTTGCCATTTATGGCACGGCTGTACTCATCCTGGTACCTACAGAAATAAATATGTTAAATAAATGAACTGCTTGCTGTGCATTCCCAATTAAACTGTCAGCTTGAGGGCAGGAACCACCCCTTCAGTTCTGAGTACATACTAACTGCGTCTGAAAAGCGCGGGGCATCTAGGTCGAGTCTGGACATGATAGATGCTACATGGTTTACAGAACACAATAGTCTAAACGACAAACACACTCAAAGACAATGTGGTGGTGGTGAGTACTGGGACTTGAGCAAATAGCTGACAACCAGTAAATATCTACTAAATGACTATAACTACTCCGCCTCCTGCCTCCCAGTTTTCCTGTCCTTTAGCTTCAGGACAGGCCTTCTGGGGATGAAAAAACAATGACCACGTGGGTTTTAAAAGTCTTTTTCTAGACCCAGTGCTCGCTCAACAATTGATGAGTAACCTCTGTGGATATCCTGGATTGGGCATGATTCTCGACGGAAAGGCAATATCCACTACCCGCCTCCTCTGTCCTAGTTCTAGGTCTGGATTCACCTGAGGGCTTGGGCCCAGTCGCTCTGAATCCTCAAAGGCGCCGCCATCTTGACCCCACCGCACCAGCCCACCTCTTCCGCTCTTTTCCGGAAACGAGTCCTCTGAAAGGGCTGCGGGAGGTACGATTGGTGGGATCTACTCGAGAGGCCACCAATACAAATGCGCGGTGACTCCCTTCCTCCTTTTTCCCCACCCAACTTCCTTTCTGCGCGCTACTCTTCACAGAGGCTGGTTGCAGACAGGCTTTTCGGGGGGAGTGCCAACTGCTTACGAAACCGGTGCGCGCTTTCATGCCCATCCTCTTGTCTGCCTGTTCGGTGAGCACTGGGTGCCGCGTTCCTGCTCCGTGAAGCGTGACAAGCAGGACGGGGGCGCGCCTGCGCCCTCTCCTGAAGGTGGGAGGCAGCCTCAGATGATTTGGCCACCTGAATTTCTCCGCTTCCCCATTCGTTCCTTGCCTTCCTGAGTCCAGGCTGGCCACCTAGCTTGCCCTGATCTCTGAGCAAGGGTATTCCTCTTTTTACTCCCAGGGAGACGGAAGCTAGGTGGGAAGAGTACGGTAGCATTTTTTGAGTTCAATGGTGGCCCAAGCATTTGGCATCATTATGTTAAACCTTACAGTAGTCCTGCTAGTTAAATACTATGTCAAGGAGGAAACTGAAAAAGATTGCATGGTAAAGCGTGTGCCGGCATTCAAACCCAGATTCTTGGTTTAGGAATTAAGGCACTGTGCTTTCTAGTGTGCTTGCTTCAAGGTTTGCACCTTGCCTTTGAAGAGCTCACAATGTATTTAGGAAGAGGAAACATGTACAGTAATAGGGACTATCATATATTGAACTCTTTTGGACGTGCCAGGCTGCTTACATGCATTATCTCATTTAGTCTTTAACAATATTGTGGGGTGTATATTCTCTCTATTTTTCAAAAGCGATATGAAGTAATTTGCTCAAGGTCACCCAATATGTCGGTGACAAAGCTAGTTTCCAACACAAGTCTGTTTCAAAGGCCATTTTCTCCTTCCTCAGGTTGTACTGTCCCCAAAGTGAATGAGTTTATGCAGCGCTATGGAGTGCTTGGAACCTTTTTGTCACTTCCCTATTACCCTGTAAACACCCTAACATGGCTAACAAGGCCTGGCTGTAATCAAATACTGTGTCATCTTGCCAGTTTCATTTGTTTTGTTTTCTTCTCATAACTTTATTCTCCAGCCATACAGAACTTTCTGTTGCTCTCAAGTCAAATTCTGTTACCAGCCCCCTCTGCCCCCCACCCCTCCCTGCCATTGACAGGAATATTCTTTCCATCTCTGGCTAACTCCTGTTCATCCTTTAAGGGTCAGTTTAGAAATCAGTTCCTCCAGGAAACCTTCCCTGCCTGTTTCTACCCTTGTCAGGATTAGATATCACTCCACTGTGTTCCCAGTCTGAGCTATCTGTACACAGTGTATAGTAGGCTGCCTGTTTACTTGATTATAAATTCTGTGTAGGCAGAAATTGCATCTCTCCTGGTTACTTCTGTATCCTCAACTGTAGAATAGTGTCTGGTATATGATCGGTACTCAGTGATCATTTGTTGAATAAGTCAGAGACATGGGAAAGGCATTCACAAGTTCTAGTTCCTGTACAGTCTCATGGTGAATTTTGTACAAAGGCGGAGATCATTTCTCTTAAAGCCTTTCTTAGTTCCTTCTGTATGCTACCTTTTGTTCAGTGTTCCAAAGCAAATGATCTCTGGAAGAAGTTTGGGCAAATACACTTCACGTCAAGTACTCTCAATTACCTCACAGACTCATTTCTTGTGTGGCCACTAAGTTACAGCCACACAACTCTTTCCATTCCTCCCATATGTCAAACTATACCCATTCTTGGATTCTCTCCCTAGTGTTAAACTTTGTTCTCCAGCTGTAGAATAAGGCCATATTAGAAGAGAGATTCTTTGTTTCTTTAGTTTTTTAATGTTCACCCAACGATATGTTCATTGCTTCTACAGAAAGAGGAAGAGATAGAGAGATAGAAACATCGATTGGTTGCCTCCCATATGTACCCTGGCTGGGAATTGAACCTACAACCTTGTGGTGTATGGAACAGTGCTCCAACTGAGCCACTCAGCCAGGATGAGATTAATTCTTGGCTTGTGAATCAGAGATAGCTTCTTCAGAAAGGTGACATTTCACCTAATTCAAATTCTATTAGCAGAATCCATTTGAGTGTATTTAGTGTTGTTCTAAGTATTCTCACATACTTTATCTCATTTTAGTTCAAACCATTTTGTAGGCCTGCTGTCTTCCAGGCCTAGTGCTGAAGACACCAAGTTGAATGAGGCCCATTATCTGTCCTCAATAGCTTAGTCTCCAGACACATATGCATAAATAAGCTATAATAGTGCAGTGATCAGTATTATTTATAATAGAGGAACCCCATATATAATCATGTTCCTATTCTAACCTTGCTTCCATTGATGTCTAGAGACTCCCAAAGATGTCAGCTCAAGGCCATACCTGGGCCCAACAGGTGAAGAAGGAGGGTGAGGAAGAGGACCCACTGGACCAGTTGATCTCGCGCTCTGGCTGTGCTGCTTCCCACTATGCAGTGCAGGAGTGCATGGCCCAGCACCAGGACTGGCGACAGTGCCAGCCACAGGTGCAGGCCTTCAGGGACTGCATGAGTGAACAGCAGGCAAGGCGGCGGGAGGAGCTGCAAAGGAGGAAAGAGCAAGGCAGTGTCCACAGCTGAGACCCCAAACCATCTATCCCCAGAAGTTGGCTTGCAGAAACTAGCACCCAGAGAAATCCTGAACAGTGGACATGTGGGCCAAAGGGGTATAAAACTCGGGGATGGTCATTGGAATTGGAGTTGAAAGCCAAGAAGCCATGAGTTTAGACATGACTGTCATAGAAAGAGCTGTCGTATTTTCATGATGAGACCCAAACATCCTCTCTCATCTTGTTCCACAAATATTAAATATTGATCAATATTTGCAATGTAATATGAAGAATGGGGTTAAGGCATGCTCTTCTACTGTGTACCTTGGGTCAGTGTGCCAAGTACTCAGCTGATTACATGGACATTGAATATTAGAATTTCCAATCTAAAGGTAAATTAGTTACCTGTTCATGTCTTCATTTATTCAGTCAGTGGTTCAACAACAGGTTTTTCTCAGACCTTCTCTAGTGCTGGCACTGTTGGAAACTGATGTGATAAATAATATGATCTCTGCCTTCATATTTAGTGTAGTCTGAGAGAAATAAAACCACACTGGAACAACTAAATCCTGGCAGTGATATAAATGACTTTATCTTTCAGAAGTTGTTTTGGATGTTTCATTGTATGATTAAACAAATGAGAAAACAAAAACATGGAGGGACTCTGATTTAGAGTCTTTAATTGACAGATACGGAGTTTGACCTCATCACACTCCCAACCCAACAAACACAATGTTAGCTTGACATTTAAAAAGTACATTTAACATAAAATACAAATTTTCGCTTTTGAAAAATAGAGATGCTATCAACATGAAGTTGAACATATTGTTACTTGACAATTTGCTAGGAGCTGAATACGGTTTCTTTTTTAGGTGGTTGTGTTCTCTGGCTCATAAATTGCCACCACTTCTCATTTTCTTCCATGGAATTACATTACCCATTCTATTACTTTCTGCCTAGCCCTGTAAGGCATTGGGAGTGGGAAGGGAGTTGGGAGAGTGACCCCTGTCATAGAAGCTGGAATGCAAAGGGACATATGCTGTCATCACCAGTAATATTTCTTGTATGTTTGTATCGTACACATCTTATGTTGGTATTTGGGGTGGAGAGAAAGCAAAGAGGGAAGAAGACAGGAAGAATACCAGTTTAAAGAACAATAAAATGCAATTTCAGCCTCCAAGCGGAAGGGGCAGACTGGGTATATGAGTGTATATATAAAGATGAATGTGTGTTCAGTGCTGGGGGTCATTGGAGTAGTGTGGACTGGAGCTTTCAGGAAGAATCTCAGAAGGGATTCGAGTTGAACCTTTATTTTTAGAGAGAGGAAGAAGGGGAGAAAGGGAGAGAAACATCAATTGGTTGCTTCTTGCACCTGCCTCAAACAGGGACTAGCCTTTAATCCAGGAATGTGCCATGACAGAATCAATCAAACCAGTGACTCCCAGTCAGGACACATGCCAGGATTGGAGACCAGGTCCCCAGGAGGGGGCACGTGAGAGGCAACCACACGTTGATGTTTCCCTCTCCCCTTCCCCTCTAAAAAGAAAGAAAATCTTTTAAAAAAGTTTAATTAGCTGATCCTCTTGACAAAAATCAATGACCAGTATTGGTGGGGATAGAGAGAAACAGACATGTTCACACTTTGAAGGATTATAATTTAGTAAAGCTTTTGGAGGGCAATTTGGTGGGATCTATAAATATTTAAACAGCAATTCCTCTAGTAGGAATCCTCTTAAATATACAGTGTCTGGCACAAATAACGCCCTTTATTATGACTAAATTATTAAAGTCATAAACATGTAATTCTGAAACAACAATATCACACTCAAGCACACCATATAACATTTTAGGGGAAATGTTCAAGTTAAAACTATAAATTATTACACCCATACTACCCTGCCAACCACACTCAAGCAGGTATTACTTCTGCCAGACCCTGTATTTTACAAGATGTATATACTATTAATGCTTATTATAGCATTGTTTATAATAGTGAATAAATTGTCACAATGTGATCATCATTCCATTAGTAAGGGGAGATTCTAGCAGAGAGGCTAAGTAAAAAGAGCTCCAAACCAGCTCTGGAGGTAGCAGGTTTTGGAGGGCTCCAGCTCTAACGGAGCTAACACTGGGTGGGTAAACAATGTATTTAGGCAAAGCTTGCTCTATTGGCACCCAAGCCTCTTCTGTCAATTAAATAAAGATGAATCCTATTTAATAGGCATACTAAAGGAATTAAATGAGATATATAATAAATGAAAAATTGTTAGCATTTATTGAACTATTAACTAGTATTTATGGAGCATATAAACCAGGCTGTCTGGTTCCAGAGTCTGTGCTCTTATTCCCTGTGATATGCTCTTTTTTATTTTTATTTTATTTTTTAACATTTAAAAAAATTGTTCAAGTACAGTTGTATCCATCCCCCCTCCCCATCCCCCCCGCCCCTGACAATATGCTTTCAAATCCTACTATGCTACTTACTAGTTAGGTGATTTGGGGCAAATTAACATCTCAGGTGTTTTTTTTTCTTTTGTAAAAATATAGTGCCTATCTCATAGGCTTTACAACTAATAAATAAATGTAGACCTTCCTCATAGGGTTGTAGAAAGAATGAGTTAATATTGGTACAGCAGGCCTTTGAATAATGTCTTTTCTTTCAGTGTAATTTTATAATGATGAGAAATGTAGGACCTTAACTCCGCTTATATCAATTAGCTTATATAGTAAAATTGGTTTCATTATGCATAGTTTTTCTTAAAGCCGCAGAACCTATGGATGACGTTAGTGAGTACTTACTATAAAAGAGCTTAGAAACAGTGTCAGGCACTTAGTAAGTAGTCACTAAATGCTGGCTATTATTGTCATTATTCTTTTGTGCTAAGTCACTATCCTGTGTTATTAAACTGATAAGAACAGATACTACACTTGATCTTAGCCAAATGGCCGAGAAGCGATAATATCCTGTGTTATGTTACATCATTTAATCTCTCATAACACTCCATTAACTCACCTTTACAGAGGAGGAAATAAAGGTCAGATTGAGGATTAGACTCCAAGTGTGTCTTCTAAAGCATGTGCTATCATCTGCTCTCTCACAAGCATCTGGTGCCTAGTATGATGCTTAATACAGGAAGTAATCATAATTACTATTTAAATAGTACTTTTTAAAAAGCGGTTTACAAAAAGGAAATTAGTGTTACATTGCCTAGTTTTTTAGATTTTTTTTTTTTTTTTTTTGTCTACAGCTATGTAGCTGGTGTTTAAGTTGGTCCATGCCTGTTCCTATACAATCTATGCCTACCTCTGCAGAGAGGCGCAGTGTGAGGGATGAGTAGAGACTTCTTGGCTGGCTGTTCCCCCTTGGCTAGGCCCAGGGCAGACTCATGATTTGACTCTTCTTTGCAAGGTCCTTAGCTAGGGACTTGGCCTGTGTTCAGTGCAAAGCTGCACTGTAATGTGTTTTACTAGATGAGTAATAAGATACTGCTCACACTCTCCCTCCCTCAGAGGGAGACAAAGTTGCCAGACTAAGTCCTGGGCTGCTGACTTTAGAAATCTAAAGAGCTGGAGCAAGTCCAGGTTGAAACCTTACACTTTCCTGTTGTACTGAATGCTAGGGCTCCCTGCTCCAGCAGGGACTTCAAGCAAGTAGAGGAAGTGGGAAGGATTCTTTTCTTCTGAAAAGTTTTCTTCTGAAAAGCTATCATTCCTCAGAGCCTGTGTATTTTGTTTAAATGTTGAGCTGATTTCCCTAAACCTGAAATGTTAGAGAATGAAAGTTATTCTGGGGATTCATAAGAACTACATGAATCATTTCAGACTTTCCAGGGAGATCAGACATTTGAAGATAAAAACAGCACAAAGAGATCAAAGTACATATGAAACAAGCACAAGGTACATGGGCACCTCCATCCGCAGCACCTTTCCAGCAGGTCTAGTTTTAGACGTGCCCAGTTGCCTGCTCAGAGAGCTTTCCCTCCTTAAATACACCGTGCATCCTAGAAACAGTGGGAACCGGGACCTCAGCATTGCTACAGTGGCGAAAATATCCAGATTTAATTTGTCTCTCTGCAACTAAAACATACTCTTTCAGAATCCACAGCTGGCCATTTCCAGCTGTGTGGTGTGGAAATCGGAATCCTCAGCCAGAGGAAAGGGACTAACATGAAGCTGAGGAATCTACTAGCTGTAACTAGTAAAACTCACCATTTGACCCCAGGTCCTTCTTAAAAATTACTGCTCTACATAAAAATCCATTTCAGAAAAATCTCAGTAATATGTAGCAAACTAGGAATTGAGTGACCTGGAGCTATCCCTGGCTGTCATTGGTTAACTGGGTGACCTTGGACAAGTCTCTTTCCTTCCCAGACCAGTTAGCTCATCTGTACAATGAAGACCAAAACAGATTATCACAAAGGTTATGTGTTGATAGAGCCAAAACTAGCACCCGGTTATCCTCATTCCTAATCCATTGACCTTCCCTCTCTGTGGCCTATTTTTCTTGTCTTTATAGTGGTAATAGGTATAGTTTAACCTTGACTGAGGTATTCAAAACAAAGTATGCTGATGGAGTGAACTGCTGATACATGCAACAGATAAAACTAGGGTAAATGAACGCAGTCAGACACAAAAGGTTACATACTGTGTGACACTTACTATACAGTACTAAAGTACTATATAGTACTATACAGGCAAAACTAATATGGAAACACAAGTGAGATTGGTGGTTGCTTCTGGGAGAAAAATTAATGTAAGGGAACTTCCTTGAATTCTCAAGGGGTGATGGAAGTATTATTTTGATAGAAGTATACAGATTTCATGGGTGGCTGTATTTCGGGACTGATCAAATATACACTTAAAATCTCTTTCACTGTATGTAAATTATACCTCAATGGGGAAAAAAATCTTTCAAAAAAGTATGCTGAAGTTTAGAAGGAAAGGTAATATAACATTTCCTGAGCACTTGCTAGCCCATTATATACATTATCTCCATCTCAAATTTCTAAAAGAGAATTATCCCCATTAACAGATTAGAAAACTAGTTTAATGAGATTAAAGTGATTCACCTGAGTCCTCAAAACTAATACTTGTAGAAATTTAGGAATGGCCCAGGTTTGTCAGCCTCTTTAAAATAGGTTGTCCCAGGGAGGGAGACTTCAACCTAGAGCCGGGAGACTTGCATCCCATTTGATTTCACTGCCATTGGGTCCTAGGGAAGTCCATTTCCCCCTGGGCCTCACTGTAGAAAGTCAAGTGAAGCCTGTAACTACTTTACAGTTACAGGAACTGTAAAGAACTGGAACAGAATAGAGCCCAGAAATAAACCCACACCTTTCTGGTCAATTAATATTTGACAAAGGAGGCAAGAATATACAATGGGGTAAAGATAGTCTGTTCAATAAATGATGTTGGGGAAAATTGGACAGACGTGTGCAAAAAATGAAACTAGACCACCTTCTTACACACAAGAATAAACTCAAAATGGATTAAAGACTTAAAAGTAAGACTTGAAACCAAAAAATCCTGGAAGAAAACACAGACAATAAAATCTTGGACATTTCTCATAGCAATACTTTTTTTTTTTTTGCTATATTTCCTAAAGCAAAAGAAACAAATGGTGCTACATCAAAATAAAAAGTTTTGCACAACAAAGGAGACCATCAACAAAATGAAAAGAGAATCCATTGAATGGGAGAATGTATTCACCAATAATGCATCTAATAAGGGGTTAATATCCAAAATACATAAAGAACTTACACAATTCAACCCCCAAAGAAACAATTCAACCTCCCATTTGCCTACTTGGCTGGCAGGGAAGGAAAAGAACTTGCATGTTAGTGAAGGAAGAAACTGGTGGACAACAGTGAAATCTAGAGTAAAAGCCAAGCTGTTCCAAGGTGCCTTGTAGACTGTAAAATGCAGTTTAATCGGGAGTGCCATTTTTTTGTTAAAATGATTTTAATTATTGGGATGCACATTTTTTAAATATGCAAATAAAAAGCTTTAAAACCTGAAAAAAGTGGGCAAAGAACCTGAATAGACATTTCTCCAAAGAGGACATACAGATGGCCAATAGACATATGAAAAGATGTGCAAAGTCATTAATCATCAAAGAAATGCAAATAAAAACCACAGTGAGATATCATCTCACACCAGTCAGAATGGCTATCATCAATAAACCAATAAACAAGTGCTAGTGAGGATGTGGAGAAAAGGGAATTCTTGTGCACTGTTGGTGGGAATGCAGATTGGTGCAACCACTATGGAAAACAGTATGGAGTTTCCTCAAAAAATAAAAAATGAAACTGCCTTATGACTCAGCAGTTCTACTTCTGGGAATATATCCAGAGAAACCCAAAACACTAATTTGAAATGATATATGCACCTTTGTGTTCACTGCAGTGTTATTTACAATAGCCAAGATTTGGAAGCAGATCAACTGCCTATTAGTAGATGAGTGGATAGAAAACTGTGATGCATTTACACAGTGGAATACTACTCGGCTGTAAAAAGGAAATCTTACCTTTTGCTACAGCATGGATGGACCTGGAGAATATTATGCTAAATGAAATAAACCAGTCAGAGAAAGACAAATATCACATGATTTTACTTATATGTGGAATCTGATGAACAAGATAAACTAACAAAATAGAAAAAGATTCATAGATACAGAGAACAAACTGACAGCTGTCAGAGAGGATGGGGGGGGTAAGAGGCTGGGTGAAATTGTTGAAGGAATTAAGTGCAAAAAAAAAAAACCCTTATAGACATAGACAACAGTATAGTGATTACCAGAGGGAAAGGGAGGTAGGAGCAGGTAGAAGAGGATAAAGGGCGGGTAAATGGTGACAGAAGGAGACTTGACTTTGGTGAATGCACAATACAATACACACATGATGTATTAATAGAATTATCCACTTGAAATACATAATTAACCAATGTCACCCCAATACATTCAATAAATATTTTTAAAAATAGTAAAATGCTCTGAGCTCCCCCAAACTTGTAGGAGTATCTCAGAGAAGCAATGGGGTACAAGGGAGAAAGTTCTGCCACTATCAGCTGTGTCACCCTAGGAAGTCATTTCATCTTTCTGAACCTCAGTTCTTCCATCTCTTGAATTGGGATAATACCACCAACCTCAAGGATAATCTGTATATAGTACACAGCATTTATGAGGGCTCAGTGAATGTGAGATATACTCACACACTCAAGACACTCAAGTGTACTTACACATAGATACTGATCCACCTGCACACTCATACACACCCTAAAAATATGGTAGAGTTTTAGAGCTAACGCAGTACCTGACACAGGGTCTAGCCCAATAAAATGATAGTTTTTCTGTACAAAAGTATGAATGCATTAATACTCAGAACAGGAAAAACACTAAGAGTCACTTCGCATCAGTACCACCTAGAAACTTGTAAAAAGTGCAAATTCTGGGCCCTCACTCAGAATTACTAAATCAGAAAATCTGGAGGTAGAGTCTAGCAATTTGTGTTTTAAAAAGCTCTTCAGGTGATCCTGATGCATCTGAGCACTAATGACTTAGATCAGGGTTTGACTGTTTTTATAAAGGGCCACATACTAAATGTTTTAGCTTTATAGTCTCTGTTACAGCTACTCAACTCTGCCATTGGAGTGTGAAAGCAGCCATAAATGATATGTGAATGAATGAGCATGGCTCTGTTCCAATAAACCTTTATTACGAAAACAGGCTATGAGGTTTTAGAACCAGAGAGAGGTCATGGTTGCACAACACTGTGAATGTATTAAATACCACTGAATTATTCACTTTAAAATGGTTAGTTTTATGGTATGTGAATTTTACCTCAATAATTATTTAAAAAAAAAAACACACCCATCATCAGCAGATTTTTATTAGATGGAGGATACCTAGGGTTGGCTCCAAGGAAAGTGGCAAGTACTTCTCCACAGAGGAGAGGACATATGCCTGACTGTGAAGATTCATATTTGTATCTAAGGGTCTGGGTCCCCTGCTTAACTTTGACCACCCAGCAAGCTCTTCTCCTTGGTACTCAATATCACCAGTGCTGGCACAAAAGAGTCTGTGATGAGCTAGTTCAACTTGGCTAACAATTCTTCTAATTCTGGTCGAGCTTTGAACCTTCCCTTGAAGTCTTCTTCAGAGTGCTAGAGAGAAGAAAAATAAGTGGGAATTACTGCAGAGTTTTCAGTTATTCAAATATGCACAGCATCATAAAAGGATCCACCAGTCACTCTGTAGAGAATAAATCAAATTCAGCTAACTTTTATTGAGTGTCTACTATACTAGACTTGTATTAGGTACCAAAGATTCAAAGCTGAATCGGACTTCCTCTCTGCCTTACATGAACATATGGTCTGGTGAGAGAAGACAGACTTATAACTAGTATGTCACAATTCTGTAAGTATCAGCTCTGACTGATGTGGCTCAGTTGGTTGGGGGTGTCCTGCAAAGCGAAGGGTCACTGGTTTGATTTCCAGTCAGGGCCCATGCATGGGTTGTATGTTCAGTCCCTGGTCTGGGTGCACACTAGGGACAACTGATTGATCTTTCTCCCTCCTTTCCCCTCTCTCAAAATAAACAAACAAATAAATGAATAAAATCTTTGACCCCCCCAAAAAAATCTGTATCACAATAGAAACACTAAAAATAAAAAACAGGAAAGTGGGTTGGCTGGTGGGCGGGAGTTGTGGGGGGAAAAGGCAAACAACTGTAATTGAACAACAACAAAATGATTTTTAAAAAAAGAATACCAAAATCCTCCATTCACAATAGGAAATAACAGACATAGAGACTAGTCAAGTCATCACGACCAGTACATTTTCTCCCTATATACAGATCTAAAATAATAAGCAGAGGCTTAACAAGCATGGGCTCAGAACAGGAGAGCTGCATGCAGCAAATCGCATAAGTTTAAGATAACCTGATGGATCTGTGTCGTAATAAGGATCATGTTGGCAACAAGACCCAAATACTCAATATTTAGGCTAAAGTTCCTAATGTATTCCAAGTTTTCCTCACTGGTATTCTATGCCAAACTTCCTCCTTACTGATATTCTTTATTAAATGTATTCAGTCAGAGTACAGTCAAGCCCCAAAGATCCAAGAAACTTTTCTCTAACGTACATTTCCCTATTTGTGCTCTGATTAGTTATACTGTATGTGATCTTAAAGCATGCTCTTGCTGTACAGCTGTCTGAGGGAGAGAATTGTGAGGTGAGATGGGCTCACCCCTACCATCAGGATGCCGGGTGGATTTTCGCTAGTAGTCTATAACGTATCATCTCTGAAAAGCCAGAATAATGACCACAATAATTCCAGCCTGCACACCTCTCCTGATTATTGTCTGGGCTAAATTATCCACATTTCTTTGTTGTTTCTAAAGCCAGGCAGTCTAGATATTTTGAACACAGGTGAACCACCAGAGGGCCCCTTCTCAAACTAGCACCTACCTCCTTCACTGACAATTTAACTCCTTCAGGAAGATTGCTTTGGATTATTTCCAAGAAAATCTCTGCAAATGTAGCACTCAAACCACTTATCTGCAAAAGGAAAGAAAATGCTCTAAAAGAGGTGCTGAAAGCTAGGCGATTGGGAGACATGACCTGGGTGCAAATATCAGCTCCAGCAGAGTTAGACGACCCTTAGGTGAAGGATTTTCCAGAGCTGGTTTTGGAGCCCAGTCTCTACAGGATTTCTCTTCCTGTCTGCCAGTGTGTCTGCTCGTCAAGAAGGTCATGGCCTATATCTGCTCCTGTAGGCAATGGATGTCATAAGTGGACCAAAGCACTTATCAAGTCCAAGATGACTTTCTGATTCAACTCAAGCTAACCCACATAGACCATGACCTGATTGGTGTCAGACCTTGTGCTGAGAATCCAGGGGTGAATCAGTGTGTGGTAGAAGGGTATGAAGGGCCTGCAGAAAACCACCAGAGAAATACCTACCTAAATTAATCGGGGGAGGTCAAAGAAAGCTTCCAAAAGAGGTAACATCTGAGTGGAGTCTTGAAGAAAAACAAGAGTAAACTGGGAGAATTCAACAGTAGTGGGAGTTTTCAAAACAGAAGAAGCAATATTCAGTAAAATGTGGTGGCACAGCACAATACTGGGGAATTAAAACTAGTTCCATGAGTAGCTTGGATGAATGGGGTGTGGGGAAAATGCAGGAGAATCATGAAGGCAGTTGGGTGCAAATCTAGAGTCCAGACTTGATTCTATGAGCCTCAGTAGTAAGTTAGACCTGTCATTAGATGTATCTCAATTTTTTCCTGATAATATTTAAGAATCAAAGATTTTAAGTGCTTTAGTTATTTTAAAAATTAACATAGATTTCAAGTGTTACTACCTTAACATTCATTACCTTGCTGATATGGTTCTTTTGATATGAATCAAAAAGGGGTGATATCTATTGGAATGTTAGTTCACAATAAAGAGGAATGAAGTACTGATACATGCTACAACATGATAAACCTTGAAAACATGATGCTAAGTGAAAAAAGCTAGACGTAAAAGGCCATATATTGATTGTATAATTCTACTTAAATGAAAGCTCCAGAAGGGGTAAAACCATAGAGGCAGAAAGTAGATTAGTGGTTGCTAGGAGTCAGGAGGACGGGGAAAGAGGAATGATTGCAAATGGATAGAGTTTATTTCAGGGGTGATACAAATGTTCTAACATTGCTGTGATGGTTGCATAACTGACTGTACTAAAACCCATTTAACTGTACAGTTCAGGTGGGTAAATTGTATTGCATGGGAATAAAACTCTCAATAAAGCTGTTATTAAAAAAAGGGAGGTGATGTTAACTGTGAATTTTTTAATAGCTCTGAGCACTCTCATGGTGGTGTGGTTGCAACCACCCATCTGCAGTGCAAAGACAGAGAACCACTGTGAGAGCTTTTAAAGGGAAGCTGCTGAAGGCTTTTAAGCAGGAAAATGACATGATCACAGTGGTATGAGGGTAAAGCAAAGTTGATGGATCTAAAAGATTTTTAGGGGTAGAAACTTTAGAATTTGGTAAATAAATAAATATCAGAGAGCAAAGAAGGATCAAGCATTAGTCTCAAAGGTGTGGAGGAGTCTAGAAAAAAAGGGACATCAGTTCCTCTAAAATTAGTTTTGTAAGCCCTGAGTGTAGGGCACCTGTGGAACACACCAGTGGAGAAGCCAGGAGACAACTGGATATTAGATCAGGACTGGAGATCCAGACATTACCAATATATAATGACAGTTACTGAGCCAGGTGAATGAATGAGATTGTGTAGAGGACAGGTATTACATAAGGAGAGGTAGAGAGACCAAGGACTGAGACCTGGAGAACATCATCATTCAAGGGACAGGCAAGAGGAGGAGACAGGCGTGGCAGAAGAAGGAAAAATGACAGAGAGAACCAGGAAAGGCAAGCACATTTCAGGTTTCTCCCAGAGTGCCTACCTGAACCACTCGCTCATGGGTGGTAAGAACCGCATCCAGGAACATTTTGCTGCCTTGGTCCTGCAGCCGCAACACCTCCATGGTCTTGGTGGGCATCGCATAACTGAGGAAAGGAAGAGTCAGCTATGGGGAGGGCTCCCTTAAGCCAGCAGCACCACTTCAGTCAGGGTAGTCCCTGATACAGCCACTGCTGCGTGCACAGGTCCTGGAATCCAGGGCTAAGTACTCAGATCCTCTCAAACCTCCTCCCGAAGTCTCCAACCCCCCTGAGGGCACAGGTGATGTCTAACACTTTTCTACATCCCTAACCTCACCGAATATAACAATCTGAATAAAGCTTGGTGATTAATAAGTATTTGCTGCTACTACAGAATAGCCAGTTCTAAAAGAATCAAGCACACAGGTATGATTTGGAGGCTAACTTTGGGTATTTCACCTCTTCTACAGAAATAAGGCCTGAAACCTAATTGTTTCAGAGAAAGATTTCTCAACCTCAGCACTACTGACATTTTAGATCAGACAGTTCTTGGTTGTGGGAGGCTGGCCTACACATCCCTAACCTCTACCCCCCACATGCCAGCAGTACCTGCAAGTGGTGGCACTCAAAATTATCTCTAGACATTGTTAAATGTCCCCTGATTGAGAACCACTGCTATAGAATCAGTGCCCACTATACTCAGCTCCAGCGGATCTATGTGCCACAGTGGGAAGAACACTGGACCTGGGGTCTAGTCTTGGCTTTGCCACTCATTAGCAATATTTACTACAGCAGGTCGCTGCTCCCTCAGAAGAGGATTCCAATCTAGGCCCATAAATAGAGTACTGTGGGGGCTAGGTCTGATGGATGGCTACACAGAAATATGGCAGTAGTGTTCATCTTATAAAAAGGTCCATCAAACTGAAGACAAATAGAGTCATAATAACAGCAGAATTCCTGAATTTTCATGCCATGAAAAGCTTCACTAATCAGGAGCAGGGGGACATGCCCTCTACAGACGAACTGCTACCAAAGGAATTTTGGTGCGATGGAACATGGCTTAGAGGCATGACAGTCAGTCTTGGATTTAAATGTCGGCTCTGCTACTTATTGCCCATTTGACCTTGGACAAATCAGCTTTCTGAGTCTCAGACTTTTCAGCTATAAAATGAAGATAATAATATCTAGTTATAGGGTTGTTGCAATGATTACTTGAGATTACATAATAATTTGCCTGGCCCAAATGCCAGTTCCCTTGCTCCTGTGAACAGTAAGTAAATGCTAGGTATTGCAAACTCTTCCAGGTAGCCTCCCTAAATAACATTCCCTGCTTTTCAGCACAATCTCTGATCTCTTCCAATTCAAATTTGATAGTAGTTTCTCTATATTACAAAAACATTCATAGCCTTGTAATGGGAGATCAAGTAAAACAACTATGTAAAAGCTTTCAAGAAAGTAAAAAGCACTATAAAATGGTATTTTTTCCTTTTTGACATTCTGCACATAAGTCTGACTAATTAAAGGGAGTTGTTCATTCCTGCCACTGAGTATACATTTTATTCTTATGTACTTTATAAATATTTCATTGATTTGTTCATTCATAATATTCAATAAACATTTACTGAGAGCCTCTTCTGTCCTAAGCACTCTGGTGGGCGATATATGTAGCCCTTGCTTTCAAGGAGTTCACTAAGAGTGTTTTAGAGAAACAGGTAAGTACATGAACATCTTCAATTCAAAGACAATAATAGGTATGTACCAAATATTATAGGGACAATAGGGAGAGAAGAGGGGTTCCGGGAAGGCTTCATAGGTGAAGTAGTGCTTTATCAAGATCTAAAGAATGGATAGATAGATGTGTTTGCCCCCAAAAGTGTAGCAGTTACTACAAAGGCAAGGAGGCATGAGAGACTCTCAGACAACCAACAGAAAAACCAGACATAGTTTGATAGGGGAATACTGGGAACTCTGGTCATTTCAAAGTAGAATAGACCTTTGAGTTGTAAGAGTACAGGTAATTTTCCATTAATGTCTATCCTTTTCCATACCTTCCAAATTTTCTTCAATAAACATTACTTGGATGATCACAGTAAAGACAGATGGGAAGAAATGAAATAAATGAATTTCAAGAGTCAATCTAACATGACAAAATAATGCTACCTTTTGGGAGTACTGCCTGAGACATGACAGATGGGGAGCTGGCTGGAGTGCTAGGGAACTTAAGAATCTATGGACTCTGCAACATATAAATTATACCTTCATTTTAAATAATGTAAGGGGACTTAAAGAACAAACAAATGGAAAGAGTAGCCTTACAGACAGTGATGCTGAGTGATGATGTTTCTCTCCACAGAGCACAGGGGCTACATCAGCTTCAGGCTTGGAAGCTGCTCCCAGCTGAGTAAGATTTCCATCTCTCCAGGCAACTGCTCAGCAAGGGAGGCAGGCAAATTAAGGGACCTGCATGAGAGGCCCCTTCCTCTCCTCTCCTAGGTGAGTAGCAGCTACAGCAAAGCAGACCATTTATAGAACAAAGGCCTGTGCACTGCTCCCCCACTCAATTCCTTCTCAAGGTCAAAGCCCTACCCCACCCCCCTCAGAGGAAAAATGGATTATAATGAAATGAAAATCAGGATAAAAAATGATTTCATCTCTGAAAAGCTGGGCAGTGAGAATGCCAAACAATTTGGTAGTCTGAAAACCTCAATCAATGCAGAGAAATGAGTTGCTGAAAATAAACATCTCTTTATGCTCTGTGCTATTTGGAACAAAGAGCCACCAAAAAACAGCACATCATTCATTCTGCTGTTCTAGGAATCATGTCCATGTCTAGTGGATCTCGGTCCAAGTCAATGGATATTTATTCATTGCCTACTATATGTCAGGTACTGGGCAAGGTCTTAGGGTTAGACTGCTGAGGGAGGCAGAAACAGTCCTTGCCTTAACGATCTTAGAGTCTAATAAGGAAGACCAGTAAAAGTCAATTAACTACAAGGGTAAGGAATGCCGCTATGAAAGGGAAGTTATGCAACCTTCACTTGTACTAAATATGTAACATAGGACCTAATTTAATGAGGTTCTCTGAAGTGACATTCAAGATGAAACCTAAGGAGAAAACAGGAGTTAGTTAGGTGATGGGGAAAGAGTATTATAAGCTCTAGAGAGCAAATGCAACGTGTGTGGGTGGGAAGTGACAAAAACAAAGCCAGTATAATGGGAGGAAGAGGGAGAAGAAAGTATGAGTTAGGTGAAGAGAAGCAAGCCCAGGCGATGGGACACCTAGTAAGCCATATGAGGACTTTCAATTTGATCCTAAAGGAATTTAAACATGAGAGTGACATGATCTTACTTCCATTCTGGAAAGATCGCACTGAAATCTGTGTGATGAACCAGTTAGGAGGAATTGAGAATTTGAAAACAAAAAGTGGGTGGAAATCCAGACCTTGCCATTTATTAGGTATGTGACTATAGGCAAATAATAGTAATAATAATAATAATAATAATGGCAGCCAAGAGATGCTGGAAGTGTTGTAAGCACTTTAAATATATTAACTCCCTAATTTTTACTATAGTCTTTTTAGGTAAGTACTTTAATTAACCCTATTTTACAGATGCGGAAACTAAGTAAACTGCCCAATGTCACACAATAAGAATGCAGCAGAGCACATGTAAAACCTAGGTGGCCTGGCTCCAGAGTTGAGCTTTGATTCATTATGTGCAACATGCTTGTTTGAATTAAGTAACAATATACAAAAAATCAGCACAGTGGCTGGTTGACAGGAGGTGCTCAACAAATGCAGCCAGAGCTTTTTACAGTTGGGTTTTATTTTTTTAAATATATTTTATTGATTATGCCATTACAGTTGTTCTATTCCCCCCCTTAATTCCCCTCCACCCTGCACATCGCCTCCCCCACCATTCCCCCCTTTAGTTTATGACCACGTGTCTCAAATTCTTTAGATTCTATATCTCCCCTACTATTCTTGCCCTCCCCCTATCTATTTTCTACCTACCATCTATGCTACTTATTTTCTGTACCTTCTCCCCTCTTCTCCTTCTCCCAATCCCCTGTTGCTAACCCTCCATGTGATCTTCATTTCTATGGTTCTGCTCCTGATCTAGCTGTCCTCTTAGTTTGCTTTTGTTTTAGGTGTGGTTGTTAATAACTGTGAGGTTGCTGTCCTTTCACTGTTCATCTTTTTTATCTTCTTTTTCTTAGGTAAGCCCCTTTAACATTTCATATAATAAGGGCTTGGTGATGAGGAACTCCTTGAATTTGATCTTATCTGAGAAGCACTTTATCTGCCCTTCCATTCTAAATGAAAGCTTTGCTGGATAGAGCGATCTTGGATGTAGGTCTTTGGATTTCATGACTCGGAATACCTCTTTCCAGCCCCTTCTTGCCTGTAAGATGTCTTTTGAGAAATCAGCTGACAGTCTGATGGGAACTCCTTTGTAGGTGACTGTCCCCTTATGTCTTGCTGATTCTAGAATTCTCTCCTTCATTTTAATCTTGGCTAATGTAATTATGATGTGTCTTGGTGTGTTCCTCCTTGGGTCCAACTTCTTTGGGACTCTCTGAGCTTCCTGGATTTCCTGGAAGTCTACTTCCTTTGCCAGATTGGGGAAGTTCTCTCTTATTATTTGTTCAAATAAGGTTTCCACTAGTACCCAAAATACCCAAAATAATTTTAAAAAAGAACAAAGCTGTAGTTTCAATAGTCAAGCTACAGTAATCAAGACAGTGTAGTACTGGTGTAAGCACAGATATATAGATCAGTGTAATGGAATAGAGTACAGAAATGGATCTATATATACATGGTTAATTGACTTTCAGAAGGTGCTAAGATAATTCAATGGAAGAACAAAATCTTTTTAACATATGGCACAAGAGCAATTGGTTAGGTACCTTTTTAAAAAGATTTTATTTATTTATTTTAGACATAGGGGAAACATCAATCAGGTTCCTCTCATAAGCGCCCAGATCGGGGACCAAACCTGAAATGTGCCCTGACCAGGAATCAAACTGGCGACCTTCTGCTTTGCAGGATGATGCCCAACTAACTAAGCCACACTGGTCAGAGCTCGAAGTTATTTTTTGAAAATGTACCTAACCAGCCCTGACTGGCATGGCTCAGTGGACTGAGAGCCAGACTGTGAAGCAAAAAGTTGCTGGTTAGATTCCCAGTCAGGGCACATGCCTGGGTTGTGCACCAGGTCCCTAGTAGGGGCATGTGAGAGGCAAACACACATTGATGTTTCTCTCCCTCTCTTTCTCCCCTCTCTCTAAAATTAAATAAATAAAATCTTTAAAAAAAAAAGAAGATGGCAAGATAAGTCATAGACAGGGAGAAAATATTTGCAAAACTCATACTGAAAAATAACTGGTATTCAAAAATAGGTTGCAAGAACTTGCATAATTCAGCAATAAAAAACAACCCAATTTATGAAACAGGAGATTTAAACATGCCATCAAAGATACACAGAAGGTAAATAAAGACACAAAAAGATGCTCAACATCATTTATTTACTAGGAAAGTGAAAATTAAAACCACTATGAGATACCACTATGTATGCATTAGAATACCTTAAAAAAAAAACTGACAATACCAAGTGCCAACTAGGATAAGGACATACTGGAACACTCATATGTTGCTGGTGGGAATACAAATGGTAAAGCCAATTTGGGAAACAGTTTGGTGGTTTCTTATAAAGTTAAACATACATTCTCTATACAATCACAAAAGTGCAGTCTTAGGTAGTTATCCAGGAGAAAAGAAGACAAATGACCCACAAAACCTATACAAGAATGATTATGGCAGCTTTGTTCATTATTACAAATAAATTGGAAACAATGCAAATGTATATCAACTGATGAGTGAATGGATAAGCCAATTAAAGCTGTTTAATGGAACATGGCACACTAATACAATACTTAAAAAAACATGGAAGAGTCTTAAACACAGTACGCTAAATGAAAGAGGCCAGATGAAGAGCTACATATTGTATGGTTCTACTTACGTGATGTTTCTGGAGAACTTAAAACACCATGGGCAGAAAATCAGTTCATGGTTGCAAGGGACTTGAGGGAAAAAGGGGAGGAGACGTACTACACTACACTGGGGCATCAGGGAACTTCTAGGGTTAAATAAAAACGGTTCTATATCTTGATTGTAGCAAACTATATACCTAAAAAGGGTGAATTTTACTACATGTAAGTTATATCTCAAAACCTCAATTAACAAAAACGAAGCACAGCATGCTACCCACACAAAGAATAATTCATGCGAAGGCATCCTTCATACCTTTCCTCCACTTTAATGGAGAGATGGTTGCAGAGGTTGTGAACATACTGGGCATAACTCTCTGCCAGGGCCATGTCATACGCAGTCAGGTGAATGTTCAGAACCCCGTACTCATAATCTGTCCCCACATTAATGGGTGTCACTTCCACTTTTCCCCTCTTCTTCTTGGGCTGAACAGAAAACAAAGAAAGAAAGATAAATCAAACTTATATAAGATATTCTAATCATACCATATGATTATTTTTAAAAATTAATCTTTCATATAAATTTGTTTACCACTTTTCTCTCAGGTTACCATGCCTACAAAATAAAGTTTTGGAAACAAATGGGTAGCTTCCCTTGCCAGTCTGGGCTGTGAAATCGGCCAAGGAAGGAAATGGAATATTCCTGGCATTATTGTAAGATGAACACAGGTGTCTTCTACAATTAACTTGTTTTGAGACTCACCTCCCATATCTGGCCCTTAGTTTCCCAATTTTTAAACTGATGGGCTTATGCTAGGTAACAGAATCTTAATCTAGAACCCATAGAGGAATTTCAAGGAGTCCATCAACCCCAAAATTTATGTGCAAAATTTTACACATGTGCACATTTTTGAGAGAATCCTTTGCTTTCACCAGAATCTTAGAGAAATCAGTTGCAAGGAAACTCAGCATTAGTTCTCTTCTAGTCCCCCTAGCTTTAAAATTCTATTTAAAATATGATTATTTACACAGTCTTCCTTTTAAGAATTGAGAGATGGGAAACTTTTTCTACTTTTCCCTTTCATGTAAAGTGTTGCTTCGCTGCATATGAGCTTGTGCAAGCTGCTGTTAAAAAGTTAAAATGAAGCCTGGGAACGTATATCAGGATCAGCAAAATTTCTCAACTGTAAATAATCAAACTTAAATGCCCATCAAGATGGGGGCTTGTTAAATAAATCATGGAACATCCATACAATAGTACACTATGGAGCTATAAGAAGGAATAAGGAACTTCTTTATGTATTGATATGGAAAGGCCTTTGAAGTAGACTAGATGAGAAAAGCAAACTGTAGAATAATGTATTCACATTATCGTCATACACATTAAAAAAGGGTAGGTGTGTGTGTGTATTACATACATATTTATTTGCTTGTATATCCAAAAAGCCTGTAAATATCTTTGCTCTCTCAGTAACTTCCCTTTTCACTTTTTAATGGTGTATTTTGATGAGCAATTCTTTTAATGCAGTTCAATTTACTCACCCTTTTATGGTTATAGTGACTTTTTAAAATTCCTCACCTGAGGATATGTTTATTGATTTTAGAGATAAGAGGAAGGGGGAGGGGGAGAGACAGAGAGTGATAGAGACAGACAGAGACAGAGACAGACAGAGATCGTTTGGATGCCTTCTGTACACACCCTGACCAGGGATGGAAACTGCAACCTAGTTATGTGCTGTGACCCAGAATTGAACCTGCAGTCTTTTGGTGTAGGGGACAGATCTATAGCTCATTTTCTTAAAAAGATTTTATTTATTTATTTTTAGAGAAAGGGGAAGGGAGGGAGAAAGAGGGAGAGAACATCAGATGAGAGATACATCTATTGGTTGTGTTTTGCATGCTCCCAACAGGGGACATGGACCCACAACCCAGGCATGTTTCCTGACTGGGAACTGAACCAGCGACCTTTCAGTTTGCAGGCTAGCACTCAATCCACTGAGCCACACCAGCCAGGGCACTATAGTCTATTTCTAAGTAATTTCGTGTACGGTGTGAAATAGGAGTCAGGAGCCATTTTTTCCCCACACGATCACCAGCCCAGTTAATCCAGCACCGCTGCAGTGTCATCTTGATCATCTAAGTGTCCACAGACACACAGGTCTGTCCCTGTGCTTCTTATTCTGTTCCATTGGGCTACTTGTCTGTCCTTGAGCCAAAACCACACAGTCCTAATTATTGGAGATTTATAATAAGTCTAAATAGTTGATAGAGCGACTCTCTCACATCACTGCTCCCCAGGGCAGTCTAGGAGCCGGGACCCAATGGGGGGAAGCCAGGGGAGGACTAAGAAACAGTCCTTCACAAGGCCGGTAGGACTGATGACAGGCCTGATCTCATGAGGGTGTTTTGAAGAACACACTGTATGCAAGGTAGTTAAAACAGTCTGTAGCACACATTTAAGCACTCAATAAATATGAAATTTTAGTACTATTTTTATTTTTATATTCCTCATATCTAGCACAGGGCCTGGCAGAAAAGAACATACAATGAATCACTATTTTAGAATTTTAGAACAGGACAGCATTTAGAGATAATTTTGTCCTAGTTCTTCATCTGTGCAGGGTGAGTAAGTATATGAAGCCGAGAGATTAAGTCTCCCAAAGTCACACAGCCAGACAGCGCAGAGGCTGAGAACTAAAACCCAGACTTCCTGACCACCCCCATACCCCACCGCCCCCATGCAGGGATTTTTCTACTGCAGCCTCTGCGTTCCTGAAGTTCTTAACAGTGGTGTCCACCCCAGGATCCTAGAGTTTGCAGTGAGTGAGACACCATCCTCCAGAGACCAACTGTCTTGGGTCAGGGGCTTGGCTCTCTCTTCCTCAGAGCCCCCCACACCCGAGGCCAACAGCACCAATCCAGGCTTTCCGTCCTGACGGTCAGCACTGCAGTCAGAGCTGTGGTGAATGCTAACGTCAGAATGCAATGGGGAGAGGCTGAAATTTTCCAGCAGTGAGGGGAGGAGCTTCTCAGAAGCCTTTTCTTAACCAGACAAAATGCCAGGGCTTTTCAAAGGTGTTGCTTTGGGGAATAAAAAAAGAAAGCTGAGTCCAGTATCCCTCTTGGCAACTTGCTTGCTTTTCCTTGTTGGCCTAGATATGCCTGGAGTGATCCACACCCACCGTCAGGAGCCCATTGTGATATTATATTTTAGTTCTGAGCCAGGGCACAGAATATCCAGCAGAGCTTGACTGCACAGAAGCTCAGTCCCTAGTTCCTATAATTTCATCTGCACAATCTTTCTCACATCTTTCCCTGCTTTTCTATTATGACTGTCTGAGTTCAGGCATTTGTGACTGCTGTGAGAGTTACTAAAGATACCTGTGCTGGGATGTACCTGACTTGAGCTGTGTCTGGGGGTCCACCATGACTGCACAGGAAGGAGAGCCAGGCAGGAAGAAAAGGGAGGGTGGGAGGAAGGTCCAGGCCAGATGAACTGCTGTCCACCGTCAAACTCTGGCACTCCTGTGAGTGACCTGGATTCACTGTGGGGTGGCCCAGGGTGGCCATTCTGAGATCCCTGTAGGAATGCACTATGATCCCCCAAATGGATGGTGGAATAAATTTCTAAACCATTCTTGTACAGAAATGGCCACATTATTACCCTGTTTTACAGATAGAAAACTGAGATCCTCTGAAGGCACACTGCTTGCCCAAGGTTACTGGGAAACTTTGCTGGGAAAGAGCAGATAGGAAGGAATCCAATTAGAATCACAGGCTGCTGCAGCTGGAAGGGACTTAAGAGATAAATAATTTGGTCTCTCCTTCCTACCCTCCCTCATTTTACACAAAGGAGAAGTTGAGGCCCAGGAAGGGGAAATGACTTGTTTAAGGTTATAACAGTAAGGGAGGAAATGGCAAATGCTAACTACTTTTTGTCTAGCAGCCCAGGGTCTCCCCTCTAGCTTCTGCTAATAGTATCACTATAGATGGCATTGAACAGGGTGGGAAAGTTGGGAAGGAATTGTATCGTCCTAATCCTCAAATGAGAACACTGATATAATTAAAGTACATTTAGCTTCCAGAAATTCTGGTGATGGAAACTCTAAGATTTACACTTGGGGTCTTGAGTAATTTGGTGATGGCACTCTGAACAGCCCACAATGAGCTGTAAGGTACACAGAAATCAAGTGATTATGTTTATAACTCCATGTGGCACATTCAAGGGACATACACCAGACAGTAGACCTGGACCCGATGGGGGTGGCACAGGCAAAGCCTGGTGCTGCGTAAAGAGCATGAGACTTAGATGGAAGCCAAAACAAACCTGGACCCAAATCGTGTTTGCTGAGTCACTACATGACATTGAGTATTCTTTCTGGGTGTCAGTTTGTTCGTCTTTAACACCTAAGGTTCTTGTAAAGCTGAAAATAGTGAATTTATAGGAAATGGAAATAGCATGGATATGAGATAAAATTTGACCATCCTCAGTTCAAATAATGGCTCTGGAAATTACTAGCTATTTGGGCAAGTCATTTACTCTCTCAGAGTTTTATATTCCTCAAATGAGTTCTTTCATGACCATAGGATATCTGAGGATTAAATAAAATATACTATTTGGGTTTTTTTTGAAGGTTTAATTTATTTATTTTTAGAGAGAGAGGACAGGATGGAGAAAGAGATGGAGAGAAACATCAGTGTGTGAGAGATACACATCTATTGGCTGCCTCTTTCATGCCACCAATTGGGGACCTAGGCCCGCAACCTAGGCCTGTGCCCTGACTGGGAATCAAATTAGTGACCAATTGGTTTGCAGGCCAGTGCTTAATGCACTGAGCCCTATCACCCAGGTCAAAAGATACCATTTATAAATGAGATGTTTTTTAAAGCCTGACATGTGTCAATAGTAGTTATATCATCTAGTATATAGTAGTTAATAAATGGAATCTTTTAAAATTTGACTAATGTACCCAGATAGGACATTTTAATTACTTTAAATTAGAGGTAAGCATGCTCCTGGTATCCTACTGGTATGCTTTACAGAATGAAGCACTTATTAAGCACCTCCTATGTGCAAAGTGCTGATTCAACCATTCTAAGGAGAGACACCAAAGAAATAGAGAACATAGTCCCAGGCCTCAGAGAGTTTACAATTCAGAGAGAGAGAGAGAACAGACATGTGTGAAAGAACAGATCCTCTCAGTTCAATCATGGCGAGCAGCCCACTTCCCATGGCAAGTCCAACACAAACCAACTTGTGCCACACCGATCACGTCCCTAAGGGGAACCCAAGAACCGCCACCGCAGATACGTACAGCTAAAAGGGCAGTGAGCGGAGACACACGAGGGTCTGTAGGAGCTACTCAGTAAATGGTATCTTTAAAAAGATTGGATCAGATGGATCCAAATGGTATCTTTAAAAAGACTGATCCAATCCAAGCAGATTGATCCTGCTTCTCAGATTTCATGTCCCCTCATCCCCTAGGGTCCACTGGAAACACCAGGATTAACGAACTGTTAAGTTTCCTAACTGCATCTCCAGAAGCAGTGTCCTTCCACCTTTGCCCAGAATGCTTCCCCTCCCTCCAAAATGTTTGACTCTTTACCCAGTTTCTTAATGTGAGTAAATTCTTGCCCAGTTTTTAAGACTTAGCTCAAGCTCTTCTAGAAGGCCATTTCCTGATTTCTCAGGCTAAGTTAGACACTATTCTGCTGTGTTCCCACAGCAGCCCCCCAATACACTTCTGTTGCTTACCATGTATATTCATTCATTCAACAAATATTTACTGACCACTAGTGATGTGACAGACCAGGGTTAGCATTAGGGGTAGAACAGTAAATAAAACAGCCATAGTCTCTGCTCACTGAAGTTCCCAATCTGAGTACTATCTTCCCTAGCCCACTGTACACCTTTTGTAGAAAGAGACTGTGGCTCTCAGGTGATGTGTCCCATCACCTGAGAGCCGTCTGTGCTCAGCACAGTGCTTGGCACGTAGTAGATGCCCAATGACGGTTTTTCTTTTTAACGGGTTACAAGAGGTATAGTTGAGGGAAAACACGGATGTTGATTTAAAACAACACTTCCTAAGCCAGGCCTATAATCCATGTCTAGCCCTGCAGTCCCTGGGCTGGCAAAGCCAATCTTTCTGGTCTCAGGAAGCTAGGACTGTCACCATAAAGTGATTCTGGGCTGCTGATATTTCCAGGAAGGCGGCCACGGTCTCCTCGCGAAGCTAAGGGTGCTACAGCAAAATAAATAGGTGTCAGAAATGGCAGATGTCAACAGTAAAAGCAGCATTAAGTTTCCAAGAATAAAGGTACCGGAGTCTGAAGAGCCATTCTATAAAAAGGAAGTAAATGATCAATGGTGCAAAAGATACACTTTACTCTCTTGCCCCAGGGCCTAGAAGACAGAAAATATAACAACTACAAATTGACAGCAACTTATGTGGCCTCTGTTTCATCTTCCTCCATCTTCCTCTTCACAATTCTCTGATTCTTCTCTCTTATTACCCCAAGGCTGAAGCAGGACAACAACTGAGGGCACATAAGGAAGTCGTCTTAGGAGAAATGACCCAGCACTATACAAATATGAAGGACTATACCATTTCCATTTCTGTCCAGTAAAAATCACTCAAACACTCTGAGGCCTTTTAATTTTAACAGAATAGTGTAGGGCCATTGAGAGGATAATGAGACATAAACATTGAGGCACAGTACTAGGTGTGCTCCAAAATGTGATCCCTCACTGCCTCCAGTCAACCTGGGACTTAGAGATGAGAGAAGAAAGGTATCATCCCATAAAGAGGAAGGAGCACGTGCAAAGGCACAGAGGCCTGAGACAGCATGGGTGCACGCGGCCCACCTCTGAAGCACAGGGTGCAAAAAGAGAAATCACTGAGGAGGAGGTTGGGTTCACGTCCTGAGAGACCCGGAATCCCATGGTTTGCTGTCACCCCCACGTTGCCACACAAGAGGAAGCTTCATTTTCATCTCCCCCATCACTCACTCCTCAGAGTAGTAACAAGGACAAGGGCATAGGATGGAGGAGTGGGAACCCACCAGGCCATTCAAGAAAGAAAGGGGTAAGACCAGTACTGCCAGGGAAAGCTGAGGTGAAGTTGGTGCTCATTTTCCTGCCCAAGATGAGTCTGAAGACTGCGTATGAGACCTTTGAAAGGAGGAATGAAGAGAAATGGGACCAACAGAAATGGGACAAGGGCTGGGAACTTAGTACATGAAAATTAATTCTCATCTCAGGGATTTGGGGCTCAAAAAAATAGAGGGCCCAGCCTGAGACCCACAGAGGCAAAAAATGGGAATCTGGCTGATGAGTGTTTTTTCTAGGCTCTAGGTTTCAGGAGAGAAAGGGAACCACAAGATGCCTTCTAGCTTTTCCAGCCTGGTTCTCCAGTGGGGGAAGGAGACAGGAACTCGGGACAGAGACTCTGCAAGCTGGCAGAAAGAGCTTTCCTTGTGTTGTCCCATCCAGGAGGCGAGGAGCCTGCAGCAGCTTCCACCCCTATCCAGCTACTGTGCTCGCAACCCCAGGACAATGAATAACATCAGAAAAAAGCTGGTAACACTAACAAAGGGAGCTTTGCTCCCCTCAAGCAACTAAGGTCATCTGGAGCCAGCTGTTTGCAGATAGTGGGCTGTATTTGCAGTTCTGATTTATAAAACCTCAGGGCAGCTTCAGTAACCACATTTCAGTTCAGCTCAATCAATATTTACTGTGCTCTATTTGATGCCAGGCCCTGCACTGGACACTGAGAATACAGAAAAAATGAGACATGGCTTCTACTCTGGAGAGCTCATCATCTAGAAGGGGAGATGGCCATCAAAACAGATGGTTAAAACAGACCACTAGGTCCCAAGACAGGAAGTCATGGTAGGACAAGTGACCCAGTGCAGGGAATCTAGGAAGGTTCCTCAGAAGGGCAGATCTATTTCCTCCATCCTTACCCTGCTTCTCACCGAAAGTTAAAGGTTGAGGATGTATTAACAAGTGAAAAGGGAGAGAAGGTCTTCCAAGTAGAGAGAACAGCATGTGACAGGCCTTGGAACAGTACAGCCATCTGGATGAAAAGCAAGAGGCCCACTGCAGCTGAAGCACGGAGTCCATGAGATGGGAGCAGAGGCTAGAGAGAAAGATGGGGACAGGTGGATGGCACTAGACTGCCTTTAATACCAAGCTAAGGAGTGTGTCGGAGCATGGCATATGCAAAAAATTATCTTAAGACGGAGGATCCCAAAACATTAAAAAAAAACCCACATGTACCCCAACAAAACCAATTTAATTTCCTGCTAATTTATGTGAGACTTTTAGAAGAAGGATGTCCTAAAATTAAATGACTCCAAAGATTACTCTAAGGTGTCACAACTCAGAAAGGGTGTAAATCACTCCTTCTGAATTTTAATGGCACTTTGTCTTCCTGTTAGCACTTGTCACTTTCTGCTTGCCGCATAATCATCTGTGTCTTATCTCAAATTGTTTACCAGCTCCCTCTGAGCATAAACCAGCTGTTGTTCATTCATCCTATAAAATTTTATTGCAACCCAGTCTGAATAAATAAGTCACCCCCAACAGTGCCTAGCACATACATACGTTCAATTAATATTTCATGGCATCATGGAGATACATAATATTGAAGCAGAAAGACTCTTAAAGATATTCTAATCCAGAGTTTCTCAGCCTTTTTGAAGAGGCTGAAAAAAGCTAGGAACTCTCTTCTCAGAAAAATTCACACATAGAAAACATTTTCCATAGAATTTCAGACCCTACCATGCCCAGAGGAGAAAGGTTAACTTATCCAAAGTCACAGCTAATGAGTTGCAGAACCAAGCCTAGAACACAAGTTTCCTGGTTCCCAATTGCATAGTCTTCCCACCACAAACAAACCATTTTAACTGAGCTGTTTCCTGCTAGGAAGCTGCCTGATACAGGCCTCAGACGTAGCAATGTTCTTGTAGTGAAATGCCTTGACATAAGGATGTGCTCAAGAGAACATGGCAAGTTTAGTGGCCTCTGAGGCCCAAGTACAGTGGTATTGAACTTCTGCCAAGGAGAGAGAGGCAGAGGGAGATGAGCATGGTTACATGGGAGCATTACAATAAGCCCAGGAGAGAAGACTCCTCAGGTAGAACAACAAAATCTTCTTAACTGTACTGTTTATAGGAAGTGACAGAGTCATGACTCAAAGCCAGACATTCTGACATTCTGGCCAGTGTTGTGTTTGCCCCACCAGAAAATCCTCAGCACATGCACAGAAATCTAAGCAATCCAGCAGCTGGAGCCAGAGAAATGGGCTAATCTTTCTTTAAAAATCATTGTTGTTCAATTACAGTTGTCTGCATTTTCCCCTCACTGTTCCACCCACCCAGACAAATCCACCTCCCTCCCCTGCTTCCACCCTCCCCCTTGGTTTTGTCCATGTGTCCTTTACAGTAGTTGAAAACCCTTCTCCCCACTGTCCCCTCCCCACCACCCCTCTGGCTATTGTTAGATTGTTCTTAATTTCAATGTCTCTGGTTATATTTTGTTTGATTTTTTTCTTTTGTTGATTATGTTCCAGTTAAAGGTGAGATCATATGGTATTTGTCCCTCACCGCCTGGCTTATTTCATTTAGCATAGTGCTCTCCAGTTCCATCCATGCTGTCGTAAAGGGTAGGAGCTCCTTCTTTCTCTCTGCTGCATAGAATTCCATTATGTAAATGTACCACACTTTTTTGATCCACTCATTTACTGATGGGCACTTAGGTTGCATCCAGCACTTGGCTACTATAAATTGTGCCGCTGTGAACATTGGAGTGCATAGGTTCTTTTGGATTGGTATTTCAAGGCTCTTAGGGTATAATCCCAGCAGTGGAATTGCTGGGTCAAAAGGCAGTTCCATTTTTGGTAGGCTAAATAATCTTATAATGCTTAGAACTAACTTCCAATAATCTGTGATAACAGATTCTAGGAACACATAAAATTTTAAATCCGTAAGACTATAAAGCTCACCTGGTTGGCTAAAGAAGTCAATCCACCTCTACTACTCACCACTCACTCAGCTAAACTGAACGTACCATTCCACACTGCACCACGTACTAGGAACACATTTTAAAGTATCACAGATCATACAAACAAATCATTTGCTTTTTACTGTGATAACCTGGCCTAGGGATAAGATTGCGAGCTGGCAGAAGCATCTCCATCATGGATAATATCTAAGTTAAGTAAATAGAGAGGACTGAGGGATGACCCCGTATTCTTTCCAGCTCCAATACTAGCCAGCCTGTGCAGATCTGATCTTTGGGTGTCGTAAAAGCTGCACACTCTCCCTTTTCTAAAGGATCACTGCCCCCTTTACCTCTTGTTCTTTAATTAGGTGCTTGTATCTTCCAATGCCATGGGTGGGCTTTGTCTTGTAGTGCCGACTGGTACTTAGCAAAATGCCACCTAAAAGAGAAAATGACACAAACCTGTTTCAAAACTCCTCCAGGGACAGATCACATGTGAGGAGACAAATTCTCCATTGCAAGACTGGGACTACTTTGGGGTAGCAGGTATCTTATTGGTTTAAAGAACCAGAGCTATATATACATATATATTTTTATCCAGGGCTGACTCTCAGTTTAGTCCCCATTTCTATCCTTTTGGCCACTGGACTCTATCGAGTCCCCACTCCGTATCCTAGAGAAATTCTCTCCTGCTAGAGCCACTGGTGGTATAGGGACAAAATACATTCTCATAGGGTTCTCATTTTCTCTTTCCCCTCAACAGGCAATAATTCCTTTGAAGTTTTCTGTGAATCGTATAGAGAAAGTTAACATGTGGCAAGTATAACCAGGTAAGAGAACAATCACGGATTTCCACAAAGTCTTTAAAACTGCCTAATTTGATTAATTTGTGCTGATGAGGAACAATCTCTAACACACACTGTTAAGTGACTAACAGTAAAAACAAAAGCCTGATGTACAAACTGTGCGTGTGTACTACCACTAAGTATACAATAGAATCTCCATGTGCATCTTCATGGTGTAGCCCAGAGACGTGCCTCCCAGATGCCCCTTCAAGGAAGGACTTGTTAGTATATAAGTGTTCTCCTTTAATCTTCATTATTTTTATTCCCATTAACAAATAAAAGAAACTACAGCTCAAAAATCATGGTGAAGTGGCCAAAATCATCCAGCAAATAAAAGGCAGAACTGCATTTTAAACCCAGGTCATTCCGATTAAGCAGTTTATGCTCAGCTATGGTATGCCCCTGAATTTCTGGAATATAAAAATCTAGCTAGATCTGATCTTTTTTAGCTCAGGTCTCAGTTCCTTATCTCCATGCTTTCACTGGAGCCAACATGACACAGCTCTGCTATGTCCGTCTGTCTCTCTTGCTTGGTGTCCACCTTCTGGATTAGTCCTAGTCCTACTCCCTTTCCTCCCAGCTCCTGTGGTCCTCTCGTCATTGTCCCAGGGTCATCACGCTGTGGGGGGCTAAACACAACATGGTGGGAGAAGTCTAAAGGCATCTCGAGGAATGTTTCCTTTTTAAAAAATATATTTTATTGATTACGCTGTTACAGTTGACCCAATTTTCCCCCTTTGCCCTCCTCCATCCAGTGCCCTACACTGCCTCCAGCAATCCCTCCCCTCAGTTCATGTCCATGGGTCATGCATATAAGTTCTTTACGTACTACATTTCATATACTGTTCTTAACATCCCCGTCTATTCTGTATCTACCAATTTGTACTTCTTAATCCCTGTACCTTTCCCCTCCTTCTCCTCCTTCACCCTTCCAGCTGATAACCCTCCAAATAATTTCTATATCTATGATTTCTGTTTCTGTTCTTCTTATTTGCTTAGTTTGTATTTTGGATTCAGTTGTTGATAGTTGTGAATTTATTGTCATTTTAATGTTCATAGTTTTGATCTTCTTTTTCTTAAAAAAGTCCCTTTAACATTTCATTTAATAATGGCTTGGTGATAATGAACTCCTTTAGCTTTACCTTGTCTGCAAAGCACTTTGTCTGACGTTCCATTCTAAATGATAGCTTTGCTGCATAGAATAATCTACGTTGTAGGTCCTCGCTTTTCTTCACTTGGAATACTTCTTGTCAGTCCCTTGTTGCCTGACAAGTTTCTTTCGAGCAATCAGCTCACAGTCTTAAGGGAACTCCTTTGTAAGTAACTATCTACTTTTCTTTTGCTGCTTTTAAATTCTCTCCTTATCTTTAACCTTTGGCAGTTTAATTATGATGCATCTTGGTGTGGCCCTCTTTGTATCCTTCTTGTTTGTGACTCTCTGTGCTTCCTGGACTTGTATGTCTATTTCCTTCACCAAATTAGGGAAGTTTCTTTTTCATTATTTCTTCAAATAAGTTTTCAATTTCTTGCTCTTTCTCTTCTCTTTCTGGCACCCCATGATTCAAATGTTGATACACCTGAAGTTGTCCCAGAGGCTCCTTAGCCTATCCTTGTTTTTTGGATTCTTTTTTCTTCTTGCTGTTCTGATGAAATGTTTTTTTCTTCCTTATGTTCCAAATCATCAACTCAATTCTTGGCTTCATCTACTCCACTGTAGGTTCCCTGTACATTTTTCTTTATTTCACTTAGTATAACCTTCATTTCTGCCTGGGTCTCTTTTATGCTATTGAAGTACCCAATGAGTTCCCTAAGCATCCTAATAACCAGTGTTTTGAACTCTGCATCTGATAGATATCTTCATTTTGTTTAGTTCTCTTTCTGGAGTTTTGTTCTGTTCTTTCATCTGGGCAATATTTCTTTGCCTCTTCAATTTGGCAGCCTCTCTCCCTGTGTTTCTATGTATTTGGTAGAGCTGCACTGACTCCTTTTCTTAGTAGCATGTCCTACTGTAGAAAAGTGTATCTTTAAGTGGATGGGGCAGAGCCTTAGGTAATTGTCAGGATGTGGCAAATCATGTAAACCAAGTTGATGGAGTCTCCAATATGGTATTGCCACTCTGTTGCTCTGTGTTGGGGAGGGCTCAGAAAGGGGACAATGCCTGGTGTCTGGAGTTTTGTCCAGGAGGAAGCTGTCCCCAGCACTCGTCCTGATGTCAGGCACTTCGGTTTCTCCGGGTATGCTGCTGGTGCCCTTCCAGCTGCTGCCCCGTTGCTGAAGTCCAGAGGGAATGACCCTGTGTAAGTCCTAAGTCTGTTGTGGGCTCTTTAAGAGGAGACTTCTGAGGATCCTCCAGTTTCTTCCACCATCCCAACCCCCATTGGTTTTTGCAGTGAGAAGTTATGGGGACTTATCTTCCTGGCACTGGAACCCTGGGCTGGGTGGTCTGGTATAGGGCTGGGATTCCCTCACTCCCAAGGTATCCCTTCCAATTTTTATCCATCACACGTGGGTGTGGGACCACCCGTTCTGTGCCTCTGTATCTCTGCACCTCTCTACTCATCTCCCCATCTCCCCATCTCCCCCACTCCAACCTGTCTGGATGAATGTGACTTCTTTAATTCCTTGGTTGTCAGATTTTCATACAGCTCTATTTTCTGATGATCCTGGATGATATTTTTTGGTAGTCTAGTTGTAATTTTTACTGTGGTTGTGCAAGGAGGCAAGCTGTGTTAACCCACACCTCCATCTTGACCAGAAGTCTCCAGAGGAATGTTTCTTAAGCTTCTCTTTCTAAAATGGGTTCCCACACAAGTCGGGTCTGTGCCAGGCCAATCAAAGATTGGCTTCAGAGTCAATCCTATATTTACAATCACACTGTTTCATCCAGACAATCCTGGGATATGTATTAGTCCCATAATATGCATTATTCCACATCTACTATTACATGCCAACAACTGCAAAGAAACTGGGACAAAGATAACTAAAATATGCTACTTTCCCAGATACTCACTCGGTGTGTCCTGGGCAAGGATGATGGGAAGACAGATAATTATCTTATGTTGTACAAAATACTTCAGTGGAGATGAGAGCAAGGTAGTAAGTGCCTAGAGGAAGAAACAACTAACTCTGCCTTATGGGTTGGGAGTGGGGAAGGGTACAGGGGACTAGGTTCAGAAGAGGTAAAAGCTGCATTCTTGAAAGGGTAAGAGTATACTACTCAAGGAACAAGGAGGTATTTTTGGTACTCGTTCCCAAAGAGCATTGAACATAACTGAGGTGTGTTCTTGGCCCCTGCCCCAAAATTGTCTCTCTGAATCTAAGACTTTTTACCCTTTGAGTCTCTGAGTTTCAACTCTGCAACTTGGGACCCCACCCAAGGAGCTCATATCTAAATTCGCCTGATGGGTACACAATGATCCTCAGATCAGAGCCTTGCAAATTAATCTTATCCAACAAGATCAACAAGATTTTATCATGACCTCAGAAATATGACTTTGAAAAAAGCACTGAATCCTTCAAACCATGTTCATTCACTTAATAAATATTTATCAATTCCCATCAGGGTAGCCAGTGACAATTATACCCTCATAGCCATGTGAATAGCACACACTACAGTTGTGCAGTGTATAACCAACCCATTATCTATGGCACGACTATTGGTACCACGCAATGCCCTAGAAGCTGGGGCTATAACAATGGACAGAGACAGAGTCCCTACAATAAAGAGCCTATGATCTACTGAGGAAACAGTAATACCAATGCAGAGTGATAAGGGAGGGGAACTGAAGCTGGTCTTGAGGTGTTGGGAAAGGATTCTTAGGGCAAGTGGCTTTTAAGTAAAACTTGAAGGATTCTAAGAGTGATGAGAGAACAGGGTACGGGGAGAGGAAGAGCCACACAGAATTTCAAGGCAGAACATGAGGAGCAGGGTGGCAAGAAATGAGTTTACAGAAACAGGCAAAGCTCAGGAAGGGCTTAATTACTGAACACTTATGATGTGCTAGGCACTATGCTAAAAATCGGGGATACAAAAGTTCTCAAGGCCAACAAAACTCCACTTATGGAGCTGACGCTCTAGTGGGAGGAAGGCACAAAATAAATATAAAATTACAAATTGAGATAAATAATTTTTTAAAAGCACAAGAGGGCTATGGCGGTACAATTGGTGTATCTATTTTAGATTGGAGTCTCAGGGAAGGCCTGTCTGAAAAAAATGACGTGTGAACTGTGATCAGAATTCAGAGGGAAACAGTAACAGTGGTTATCCCCAGGGAGGGGAAGTGGCTAGAAGACAGGAGAGGGACATTTACTGTTCTATACTGTTTTGTACCTTTTAAAACTTGTTCCATACATGCATTACCTATTCAAAAAATAAATAATAAAATAAATTGAAACCTGAAAGGCAAATAGGAGTTTATTAAGTGAAAAGACAGAGGATGCATGTTCCAGGCAGAGGAAATAGCATGTGTGAAGGCTCCAATGTGCGACACAGCTTTGGTATGTTCAAGGACAAAAAGGCTGTCAGTGTGACTGGCACAAAGCAAGAGGGGCACACAGAGAGTACCAGAAACTCGAACAGTGCGTTGGAACACACCACACTGGGCCTTATTAAGGGTGTGGATTTCTGACTGAACAACCATAAGCAGGGAAATTATATGTCTATTACATTTTCAAAAGATTACACTTTGGTTGTCCTGGGGAGAGGGAGTGTGGACAGAAGGAGGAGGAGATACAAGTGGTAGCCTTGGTTAAGTTATTGTCAGTGATCCCAGAGTATCCACATCCCTCTCTCTCGTTCCATCTTCCAGAATTTACAAATTAATCCTTCTAAAACACAGACCTCGTCAAATTACTTTCTTTCATTAACTCAACTATTTATTTATTGCACACACACACACTTTTTTAAAAAGTACTTACTATGTGCAAAGCACCATACTGATCACTACAGACACACCAATGAATGAGACAGGAAAGGTCTTTTGCCATATTTTAAAATGTTTGATGGTTTTCTACTGCACAAAGTTAACCCTTCTTAGGTGAGCATTGAAGAACCTTGATTTCATAATCTAGTTCCAACTACTTCATCTCCTCATTCTCCCCTCCTCCAGGCCTTTAAAACCTTGCTCCTCAGCAATGGCTACACTTGCCACTCTGTAGAAACCATGCAGTTTTCACCCCCCGTCACCCTGGATACTCGCCCTGCTGGGACTGCACCCCTCTGCCTGGTGAAACCCTGTAAGCCTTCAGGGCCAGCTCCAACGTCACTCTCTGGGACACTCTTCTGCTGCCCTAAACATACAAAGATCACCGAGAGTTTATTTCATCACTCTCCATGCCACCATTACAGGGGTGGGCAAAAGCAGGTTTACAGTGGTTCATGTGAAAATAATACAATAATTAATAAAGAATAATACAAGAATAAACTGTTTGGCGTGCTCATGACTGTAAATCTACTTTTGCTCACCCCTGTATACAGTAAAACTTTGTATACAGTAAAACCTTTGTGTAAATAAAACTCAGACACCAGTCACCATCTTGAAATATACAGAACTCAGTAACCCTCCAGTGGTTTTAAAAAGTAGGACCACAGTGACATCGCAGGTGAGTATCACGAATGCTCGCCTTGCCTCGGCCTCACATACTGGAATTCCTTGGCAAGGAGGCATTCAAATTCAGTTCGGGGCAATTCCTATAATTAGAGCAGCTGGTTAATTAAGAAGCCAATTCAAACTACTGTTAAATTAACCATTTTCTTCCTTAAATGAAAGGTTTTGGTTAAATTACCAGTGGTTAACCTGCTTAATTAGCCAGTTGTTTTAATTATAAAATTTACAACTTTGAAAGCCTCTGATTTCTGATAAGTTCAACTGAATTTTCCTCACGGCTGTGTGTCATTAAGCTAGGTTTCCTGCTGTCACACTGACACTGCAGCCTCCTAAGAGAAAAGGCAACTCTCTTCTCTTAGACACGAAACCCCAGGGTTTCGAAAGGAGGCTTTGAAAATCTTTCAGTTAGCACAACTCTAGGATGTGATCACACCCGGGCTGCTTCCACCTCGCACTCCTGCCTGTACGTGTGCCAGAGCCAGCTGTCCTTCGGTGTCCTTGTTACTAAACTGAGCACTCGACCCATCAATCCAGGGTGGGGGTAAACAAATTCACTTTAATTACTTCTCCTGCAAAATTGGAACAAGTATTTTTAGCACAGCTATGCGGAAGAAAACGAGAAAAACACTGGCGTAGCCACGGCCAAGAATTAATCACAAGATATTCTCTTCATTCAACAGACTGCTAGTCCCTGACACACCCTACCCAGCACCTGGCAAATAGTATGTGCTCACAAAATGTGTGTGTGTGTGTGTGTGTATTTTTAAGGTTCTTGAGATAGTTTACCAAGATTCTGCAATGGTTTGGCCCTGGCAGCTACCTACTTTTTTTTCAAAATCTATTTTCAGACATTTTTCAGGTTTTCTAATTGCACTGAACTACTCGGACTACAGTATACCGTGCTTCTCTGACTCCACCTTTTTGCCCATGCTGTAATGAGAGGACTCCAAGTACCCTTTACTTAACTTCTTTAGACCTCTATCTACTTCTACCTCCCTGTGTATGCTTCAGTCAGTGAGAAAAAGGTGTTCACTACCACTCGGCCCATGCCTTGGACAGCAGCTGGGATGGCGCCCGGGGCCCACGGCCAGTGTGAAGGGTAAAGGCAGGAATGCGACACTGCCCCTGCTCTTTCTTCCCAAGCATCATTACAATTCAACTGTGAAATTTCCCACTTTAAAGATTTCTCAAAGAACCCATGAAAAAATGCCAAGTTTTCAAGTAGAATTATGTTGGCATGCTGACACTGGTGAGTTACCCTGGGCCTTGGAGCCTCCCAAACATTGGGATTCCTTAACAACAATTGAACAATGGGCACAGGAAAATGTAAATGAACGGTATGAAAATATGTTCAAGCAACTGCTAATCAAACACATGGAAATTAAAAATACAAGGGGCAGCATTTTTTATTATTAGCAAATATTTAAAAAATAATAATATTGATGAATGTATAAAAAAGGGGATTCTGAAATACCAAAGAAATATAAAATGGTGCAGTCTTCTGGACAGCAATCTTGTAATACACATCAGTAACTTAAAAAATGTGCATTTCCTCTGACCTAACATTTTCATGTTTTCTAAGTAAATAATCAGACAAGGGAACAAATACTAATGTACAAGGATCTTCACCATAGTATTGTTTACACTGGAAATTCTTGGAGACAACTTAAATTTTGCCAAATAGGAAACTGAGTAAATTACGTTATTATCCCCCACCTAGCTCTTCAAAAGGATCCCTACTGGGTCTTTTCCAATAGCATTTAACATGCTCTATTTGATCCCAACTTTAAAAACAAAATAAAACAAACAAACAAAAAACCCCCTCAGAATTAGATAGTTATCAAATACTGAAATATACTCCAAAACTATATGTCACCAGTAGTATTAAAACAGCTTGCTTGGTCTGGCATCAAATTGTCTATACAGACAGATCAATGAAATAAAATAAAGTTAAAATAGTTCTATATCAGCCCTGGCTGGTGTAGCTCAGTGGATTGAGCACAGGCCTGTAAAGCAAAGGGTCCCCGGTTCAATTCCCGGTCAGGGCACATGCCTCGGTTGCAGGCCAGGTCCCCAGTAGGGGACACATGAGAGGCAACCACACATTGGTGTTTCTCTCCCTCTCTTTCTCCTTTCCTTCCCCTCTCTCTAAAAACAAATAAGTAAAATATTTTATAATAAAAAAATAGTTCTGTATCTATGTGGAAATTTAGTATATGATAAAGGTAACATTTTCAAACCTATGGAGCAAAGACAGATTTTTTTGTATTTTTGGTTTTTTTAAATATGGACACTTCACGATTTGGCGTGTCATCCTGGCTCGGGAGCCACGCTAACCTTCTCTGCGTTGCTCCAATTTTAGCAGATGTGCTGCTGAAGCGAGCACAGAAAGATGGAGGTTTTAGTGCCGAAACAACTGGCTACTCATTCTGGGGATAAAATTGCATTCCCACCCAACTCTAATTCCATATGGAACACATATTTAAAGGAAAGAAAATAAAGAAGATAACATGAAGGATTAAAAAAAATAATCTTGGTGTACAGAAGATTTTTCTCTCTAAGCATGAAAGAATATCTGGAAATAAAAAACTAACAAACATATCTGTATAAAAATGTAAAACTTCTATTTAACAAAAAACACAAACAAAATCAAGGGACAGATGACTGAAAACCATACAAAACACATATAACAGAAAAATGCCAATTTCCTTATTATTTAAAACCTAGATAAAAGTTTCTTATTGATCAAAAATGAGCAACAATCTAATAGAAAAATGGACAAAAAATATAAACAGTTCACAAGGAAAGAAACACAAATGGCTAATAAAAATATGAAAAAGTGACAAACTCAAGAAATGCAAATTACAAGGAGACATAATTTTCGACTAACAAAAAATAAGATGTTTTATAATATCCAGTTCTGGCCAGAAAACAGAAACGTAAATTAACACTTCTTTGAAGGGCAATTTGACAACACTTACCATAATTTTAATTCACAATCCACTGACTCAGCAATTTCAATTCTAGGAATTAATCTTACAAATGTACGGGAACAAGTTTACAATGAAGTATAAAAATGATTGCTGCAGCATTTTTTTGAAATAGCAAAAACTAAATATCACCTAAATGTCCAGCTTTAAGATACAGTCACACATACACATTATATATATGTTCTTATATGCACAAAACTTTCCTGAAAAATATCTAAGAAACTGCTATCAGTTGATACCACTAGGGAGTAAGACTAGGAAATAGAAGAAAATTCAATTTTTTTTATCACACACCTTTTGTACAGTTTATTTTTACCATATGCATTCATATGAATATTTACATTGAAACCTTTTTAACAGTTGATAATTTCAATACTAATTTTTTAAAAAACTTCCTCAGAATACACAGTAGTTCAAAATGAATTTTGGCTCTGGCCAGGTAGCTCAGTTGGCTAGAGTGTCGTCCTGACAAGCTAAGGTCACAGGTTCGATCCCCTGTCAGGGCACAAACAAGAAGCAACCAATGCATGCATGGATGGGTGGAATAACAAATCAGTGTTTCTCTCCCTCATTTTCTCTCTCTCTCTCTCTTTCAAATTAATAAGTAAAAAAGAAAAAAATTTAAACGAGAAAACCAAGCTATGGAGATGTAGCCCAAGGTCACACAATAAGTATGTAGTAGAGTTGGAATCCAAACTAAGTGCAGAGCTCTTGCTGTGAACCACTACTTCATGTTTTTGCCTAATGTCCTATTCCCTGTGAGGGCTGGGATTTGGTCCCAGCCACTGTTCTCAAAGATATGTTAGGCATCCTTTTAGACAAAATTATTACAGGGTGTTAAAGAGTCACTTAAAGCAGGCACATTACACCAGGAAAGAAATGCTTACCTGCAGAACAGATGGGATTCTCTCCTGAAGCTTTGAATCTGAAATGAGGGAGAGCGTATGCAGAATACAATCAGATACCCACTATTCACTTGCCCAGTTATCCAAACTTGTAAAATCCTCATTAAGGATAAGTCAATGGGAACAACAATTAAAAAAAAAAAAAAAGGATATGTCAATGCTAGATATGTCCTGATTCCCTCCCTTTCACAAATATTTGTAGGTACCTATTGTACTATGTGTCAGACAGTGTGCTAGGTCTTGAGGATACAAAACTAAGTAACTGTCTCCATCAGTGTTCTAGTAGGGAGAGAGATACTACATGTGCACACATGTGAGCCACAGTATAGTACTGGTCCAGAGCAAAAACAGGTACAATATTTGGTGGAACGCAAAGGAAAGTGTGATCGTTTCCACCAGGGAGTTGAAACTGTCTGATCTGAGCTTTAAAAATGAACTGTTCTCAATTGTTTACTCTTACAGGTAGAGCATTCTAAGCAGAGGGATAAAAGTGGTTATGTTTGGGGAACAGCAAGCAGCTGGATACAAGGGGAACTCAAGCAGCAGGAAAGGATACAGGTGAAAGAGGTAATCAGGGGCCAGGTTATGAAGAAACTCGTGTACTGTGCTAAGCAGTTTGGTCTTTACTCTGTGTAGGTAGTGGGAAGCTTCCAGCAGAGTTTAAGCATGGGAGTGACATGGTCAAGTTTTTGGAAAATTGCCCTGGCTGAGTAGCTCAGTTGGTCAGAGTATAGTCCCCATATGCCAAGGATGTGGGTTCAGTTCCTGGTCAGGGCACATGCAAGAATCAACCAATGAATGCATAAACAGTGGAACAGATTGATGTTTCTCTCTCTCTCTCCCTCTCTCTCTTCAGTCAATAAATAAAATAAGTTTTTGAAAGTTAACCCTGGCAGTAGGTGAGAAATGAATGCAAAGAGGTGAGGAAAGAGAACCGGTGAGGTGGTTCTTGCAGTAGCCTCGCATTATTAGAACAAGCCCATGGAGGATGGAGAGGAAGGGACAGCAGTGAGAGCCAGACTGGATACAGAAGCCAGAGAACATGGAGGAGGCTAAAACGGTTCTGTTTGGCTAACTTGGTAATCAGAGTATTTTAGTTAAACATCCTGCAAAGCTCTGACACTATACTGTGGAACAAGTTAGAGACAAGTAGACCCGTGATTAAATGCTGACTCTACCATTTCTAAACTGTGACCTTGAGCAAGTTCTCTTCTATCTCTGTAACTCAGTTATCTCCCTTTAAAATGCAGACAATGAGAGTATAATCTCATTGAACTAAAAATCTATCTTAAACTCTCTGAGCCAGCTTCCTCTTCTGTAAAATGACAATATTTACATTTGTCCTGTAGTATTTTTTTTTGTTGATTAGAGAGAAGATATAAAATGCCTAGCATGGTGCCATAGTAAGTGCATATTGAATAGCTGACTGACTAATGGAAAAATAGATTAAGATGGAAAGGGAATAACAGGGAAAAGACATCAATAAATGTAAAGGATTAAAGAAATCATCCAGGCTCATGAGCATCATGTGGTCCAGGAAGATATTCAGTTCATTGTTTTATATCGTGTGGCTGCCACACATAAGCCACTCAGTGGCTATCTGCTGAATAGAGAAATAAATAAACTACTAAATGCTCTTCATTACCGTCTAGAGAAAAACCAGTGGAGAGGTAGCATACTGTATATGCAGAAGAGTGAAAAAACAACTTGGGTTTGAATCCTAACTCCAACTCATATTAGCTATGTCATCTTAGAGCTATCAATTAACCATTCTGATCCTCAGTTATTTATGCATAAAATTGAGATAACATCATCAGTTTCACCAGATCGCGATTAACACACTAAAAATTATTTATTAAATGCCCACTATGTGTCAAGACACCATTCTAAGTGCTAGGGATATAGCAGTAAGCAAAACTAGAAAGTCTTTATCTATATGATGCTGATATTCTAGTGGGCAGGGTGAGGAAGACAGACAATTTAAATATATACACATACATATATATAATGTGTCAGGTGGTGATACCTGCTATGCAAAATAAATCAAGGTAAGGAGATAGACTGACGGAGGGATAGTCAGGGAAGGCCTCTCTAATGAGATGACTTTTGGGCGCAAATCTAAATGAAGTCAGAGGGCAAACCACATGGATGTCTGAGGGGAGGACATGCAAAGATCTTTAGGTGGGAGGGCACTTAGATCATCGAAGAATAGAAAGGGAGCCAGTGTGGCTAAAGCTGAGTGAGCAGTAGTACACAATGAGGAAATGGGTTATATAAAGACTTGAAAGCCATGGTAAGGACTGTAGCTCTTATTTGGATGGGAGAGTTCTGAGAGAGAAGTAACATGAGCTAACTTGATTTTAAAGGAGTTACTCTGATTTTATTGCTAAGGATAGAAATAGAAGACAAAATTAAAAGTAAGAAGACCAATTAGAAAGAAGGATGATGGTAGTTAAAAAGATAAGAAGCTGTCCCTGGACAGGTGGCTCAGTTGGTTGGAGCATCAACCTATTCACCAAAAGTTTCCAGGTTCAATCCTGTGTCAGGGCACATACCTAGGTCACAGGTTCGATTCCTGGTCAGGGTGCCTATGGGAGGCAACTAATTGGTATTTCTCTCCTACATCGATGTTTCTCTCTCTTTCTTCCTCCTCCTTCCTCCCTCTCTAAAATCAGTAACCGTATCCTTGGGTAAGGATAAAGAAGAAAATTTTCATACATCAAAAAAAAAAAAAGTGTTTTTTTTAAAGATAAGGAGCTGGTCCCTAGAAGTTTAGCAAAACAGAAAGTATGAGACCTGAAACTGGGGGTGAGAAATGGTTTAAGTCTGTAATATTTCAAAAGGTGAGCCAACAGGATTGGTTAAAGAATTGGATGTAGAGACTTCCGCCAAGATGGAGGCATAGGTGGAAGCACTGCACATTCTCACACAACTAAGTTTAAAAACAACAAAGTTTTAGCAACAAAAACACAGCCAAACCACAGAAAATTGAACTACACGGAAGTCTGACAATAACAAACCCTTCAGCCAAACTGGCACAAACAGATCAAAACATGGATCAAGAACAACTCAGAGCCCCAGAGCCAATAAATCTAAGCGATGAATAAATAGCTAAACTTTCAGATGCACAGTTTAAAACACTGGTGATCAGGATCCTCACAGACCTGGTTGATTTTAGTCACAAATTAGAGGAACATATGAAGGCTAAACTAATTGAAATGAATGGAAATACACAGGAAACCAACAGTAATGGAAAGGAAACTGGGACTCAAATCAATGGAGTGGACCAGAAGGAGGAAAAAAATGACCAAACAAAAGGATGAAGAAACAAGAATTCAAAAAAATGAGGAGAGGCTTAGGAACCTTCAGGACATCTCTAAACGTTCCAACATCCGAGTTATAGGGGTACCAGGAGGGGAAGAGGAATAGCCCGAGTGGAAAACTTATCTGGACAAATAATAAAGGAGAACTTCCCTAATCTGGCAAAGGAAATAGACTTCCAGGAAATCCAGGAAGCTCAAGAGAGTCCCAAAGAAGTTGCACCCAAGAAGGAATACACAAAGGCACATCATAATTACATTACCCAAGATTAAAATGAAGGAGAGAATCCTAGAAGCAGCAAGAGATAAGGGGACAGTCACCTACACAGGAGTTCCCATCAGACTGTCAGCTGATTTCTCAAAAGAGACCTTACAGGCAAGAAGGGGCTGGAAAGAAATATTCCAAGTCATGAAAACCAAAGACCTACATCCAAGATTGCTCTATCCAGCAAAACTTTCATTTAGAATGGAAGGACAGATAAAGTGCTTCTCAGATAAGACCAAATTCAAGGAGTTCATCATCACCAAGCCCTTATTATATGAAATGGTAAAGGGACTTACCTAAGAAAAAGAAGATAAAAAAGATGAACAGTGAAAGGACAGCAACCTCACAGTTATTAATGACCACACCTAAAACAAAAGCAAACTAAGTGGACAGCTAGATCAGGAGCAGAACCATAGAAATGAAGATCTCATGGAGGGTTAGCAACAGGGGAGTGGGAGGAGGAGAAGAGGGGAGAAGGTACAGAAAATAAGTAGCATAGATGGTAGGTAGAAAATAGATAGGGGGGAGGGCAAGAATAGTATGGGAAATACAGAATCTAAAGAATTTGAGACACGTGGTCATAAACTAAAGGGGGGAATGGTGGGGGAGGGGGTGTGCAGGGTGGAGGGGAATTAAGGGGGGAAATAGAACAACTGTAATGGCATAATTAATAAAATATATTTTAAAAAAGAATTGGATGCAGAATGAGAGAAATAACAATGTCAAGACTGACTCCAAGGAGTTTGGTCCAAGCAACTAGATGAAGGGAGCTGTCATTCTCTAAGAATGGGGAGAGAGCAAGATGGCAGAGGAGTCCACACTTGAGATACTTGGCAGGCGTGCAGGTGGAGATGATGAAAGAAAAATGCTGTGTGAACTACCTAGCAGAATGCAAATATGAACTATATTTAAGTACTGTTATCAGTATACTTACCTTAAGAGGGGAAAGACTTGCTTAAAAATGACATCGTTCTTCAAACACAGCACCTAGAGCAGAACAGCCATGTTAGGAAAATCTTAGAAACTGATAAACTAGCGCCCTTCACAGAGAGGCTAGACACCCTTGAACACAAACAAAAGGACGCAAGGGCTCTTGTCTAGCAAAGAGGCTGTCCGTAGTTAATACCAAAGGCAGGCAGACCAAGGTCATCTTCTTTTTCTTATTCTATCCACTACAGAAAATGCTTAAAAAACAAAAGCCCCCCCACCCACTTCCATGCTGCCTTCTTAAAAAACAAAACAAAAACTATTTCCCCTTTCCAATTTGTTCCATTTTTTTTCTAACGTCAGTCAACAACTATTATGCTTCTGCCAAGCACAGGCACCATGCAACAGACTTTCTTAACTCCTTCCTTAATTCTCAAAACATTGCAAAGCAATTTTATAGGTGAGGCAAGTAAGGCCCATGGAGGTGATAGTCCAAGAAATTATAGTCAGTAAGTAGCTAAGAGAACTGTTTTACTCCAAAGGTTATTTGGTCTATTACAACACACTGTCTCTCTCAATAGTAATAACAGTGTTATAATATCAACAAAACAATAATAATGAGAGAGACAGTAGCAAGAGAAGCTTCTCTCCCTGAGGGTCCCCCTCCCCAGTTATTTCAATCTCAGTCTGTCCTGTTCGGCACCCACTCAAAAGATGACCAATATAGCTCTACTAAGGGAGTGTTTAACAGAGAGGAAGTCTATTTTTATAAAGTAACTAGATAATAAATACTAAATGTCCTTAGGTCCCCTAACATAAAGAGAAAATCCTGTCCATTCTAGGTAACAATTTCAATTCCTTCAACAGGTATGTGTTAAAAGCCTTTTACACAAAAACAAAGTCTGAGAAACTGTCACAAACAATAGGTGCCTAAGGAGATCGGACAACTAAATGTAACAAAATAACCTGGATGGGACTCTGGAAAAGAAAAAGGACATTCATTTAAAAAAAGAAAGAAATATGAATAAAGAAATGTACTTTAATTAATAATAATATATCAACACTAGTTCATGAATTATGAAAAATATACCATACTAATATAAGATAATAGGGAAAACTAGATGTGAGGTATATGGGAATTCTCTGTATCATCTTTGCCACTTTTCTATACTTCTAAAACTATTTTAAAATAAAGTTTATTTTAAAAAAGACTCTTACATGCCAACTACTGTGCTGAATATTAAAGGGAATATAAAAACAAAAATGGGAAAACATGAACTGTGAAAACATTATGCTAAGTGAAAGAAATTAATCACAAGGGCCAAATATATGACTACATTTATATGAAATACTGGGAATAGGCAAATCTGAAGGGAAAGAAAGGGGATCAGTGGTTGGCTAGTACGGAGGGTTGGAGGAGCTGGGGATGACAGCCAAGAGACAGGTTTCTTTTTGGAGGGATGAATGTTCTAAAATTGATTGTAGCGATGGTCGCACAACTCTGAATATATTAAAAGCCACTGAATTGTACACTTTAAATGGGTGAATTGTGTGGTACTTGAACTATATCTCAATAAAGCTGTTACAAAATGTAATAAGCACAACCCTTAATTTCTAGTTCAAAAGATTAGAGATATAGGTATACATTTCTGTCAAAGAGGTAAGCAATGGTATAAGCATTATATGATTAAGTTGGTACGAACAACTTAATCATATACGAACAACCAGCACTTCTGGCAGGAAATCCAGGTGAAGATGGCCAGAAGTTCTTAGCTTTTGGGCTGTTACAGACATTGCTGAGAATCTGCTCAAAGTCATGAACCTTCTCCCCAGACAAACACACATAGGCACGGATATACAAAAGTTTGCATGCTACTTCAAAAGATTGACTGAAACTCCTAACATCACCCATAGACCACTATGCTAAACCAAGAGATCCTCACAGGCAAGAGTCATGTCATTTTCCTCCTGGGCATTGTAGACATTCAATCAAGGTTTGTTTTGCTGAATAAATAAATGATTGGAAAGAAGTGAACGAGTGATAATTGATGCTACCACCTGTTATGCACCCACATCTTTTTATTTTAAGATTTTATTTATTTACTTTAGAAAGAGGGGAAGGGGGAGAGAGAGGGAGAGAAACATAGATGTGCAAGAGATACATCAATTGGGGACAACCTATGGATGTTTCTCTCACACATGGATGTTTCTCTCCCTTCTCCTTCTCCCTCCCTTCTCCTTCTCCCTCCCTTCTCCTGCTCCCTCTCTTCTCCTTTCTCTAAAAAATAAATAAAATTTAAAAAATAAAAAGAAAATCAGTGAACAGAATATAGTCTTAAATGGGTCACTTCAAACGGAGGAGGTACTGGATGGGAAGAAAGATCTAGATGAGACTAATTTTTCCTCACTTTAATTGTTCAGATTTTTGAGTCTCTACAATAGCAAAGTATTTAATTATGTAAAGGCCAGACTTAAAGGTTGACAACTTTCTGGAAGACATTCAGACTGTGATGTGCACACTACCTTTCAGTTCTGGGAAATGTGCTTCCTCTCCCTGCAATGCTCAGCAGTATTTATCAGGACCAAAGGAATCTATTTTGGGACTGTACCCACAAATACTGGCTCCTCCCAGTCAGCAAAGGAAGAGCAGCTCCAGCTCTGCAGCAAATGGAAGAGGAGGCCAGTGCCGCTAGTGAATGAATGAATGAGGACGCAGCTGCTACAATGGGTTGCAAAAATACTTGTCCCAGGAACTTGGGAGCCAAGAACTGGGAAAGGACTTCACAGCTACCAAAGCTAAGTCACGGGGCAAAACCTACAGTTCCTGAGTAGCCTCCGACACCAGAGTCCAGAGTGGGGGCTGCCAGCATTGGGTCAGGAGCCCAAAAAGCAAGCAACTGAGAACTGTTTTAGGGAGGTTAACAGAATATATTTGTATATTAACAATTATTATTTAAAATGCCTTTTTTACTATTATTTGTGAGTACATCCTTTGTGCTAAGCACTTTACACATACTATTTCAGTTCATCTTTATACCAATCCTTTGATAAAGCATTATTAACATAACTGCCTCTGTTTTATAGAGGAAAATACAGAGGCTTAGGTAAATTGCCTGAATTTACCTAAGGCTTGGTAAGAGGTACCTAGAATTTTAACCCAAGTCTGACTGAATACAAATTTTCCATTCTGCTACACTACCTCTTGAAGGAGTAATACCAGTTTATATTAGTGAAATTCATATGCTAATAATAGCCTAAATAATCCTACTATTTGTTGAGCACCTGTTATTTACCAAACATCATCTCCTTTAATGCTCACAACCATTCTGTTAGGTAAATATTTTTGCTCCCATTTTACTGTGAGGAAACCAAAGCTCAGAAAGGTGAATTAATTTGTCCAACGCGCAGAGCTAGTAAATGTGTTCTAGCTGATCTTTTCTTAAGTTCATTCAAAACTGCTTTTGTTTAGTTTTCCTTTAGTCATTCTCTTCTGAAGATGTTTAATACATTGACAATCAAAGTCTGTCTTTGGCCCTGGCTGGTGTAGCTCAGTGGATTAAGTGCTGGCCTGTAAATCAAAGGGTACCTGGTTCGATTCCCAGTCAGGGCACACCCGTGGGTTATGGGCCAGGTCCCCAGTAGGGGGTGTGTGAGAGGCAACCACACATTGATGTTTCTCTTTCTCTCTCCCTTCCCCTCTCTAAAAATATATAAATAAAATTCTTTTAACAAAACCTGTCTTTGCACTGAGTCTTTATGGCAGTTAGGAGCACAGGTTAAAGATCTCCAGAGATGTGGGTGTGAATATCAGATCAGCACTTGCATTTCACTGTATGATCTCTGGTGAGTCAGTGAAAGAATTACCTGACCTCAGGTACTGGGTGCTTTCATTTATATGAAATGACCAGAACAGACCATTCCACAGAGACAGAAAGTAGATTAGTGCCTACTAGAGGACAGACATGGGAATTGGGTAATAAGTGACTTGTTATGGGCACAGGGTTTCTTTTTTGAGTGATGAAAATGTTCTGGAATTAAGATAGTGGAAATGGCTGTACAACTTTGTGAATATACTAAAAACCACAGGACTTTGTACTTTTAAAGGGTGAATATTATGGTATGTGAATTATATCTCAATATTTTTTGTTTATCTATTTTTATATTTTAAGAGGGGAAGGGAGGCAGAGAGGGAGAGAAACATCAATGTGTAGTTGCCTCTGGTGCAACTACTGGGGACCTGGCCTGCAAACCAGGCACGTGCCCTGACTGGGGATTGAACTGGCGACCCTTTGGTTTGCAGGCTGGCACTCAATCCACTCAGCCACACCAGCCAGAGCTCAATTTAAAAATAAAGAAATAAATAAATATCTGGTCTTACATCATAACCTCTAGATCGCACTTCTAAGCCACAGCTGAGCTCTGTTGAACTCAATTCCCTAACTTCATCCAGGACTAAATTCAGTTTCAAAATACCTGTGGTCATCTCCTGAAATATAAGTCTACTACCCTACTACCTCCCCAACTCTCATCTTGATCCTTCCCTGCACACTGTTCCTTGATCCAAGCCCCAGAGCTTCTTTCCCTCCCAGTTTCCTCTGGGCCTTCTGAAACTCCCAGTGTGTTCTCATTTCTGGGTTTTGCATATCCTATCCCTGTCTAAATGCTATCATTCTTTAAGTCTTAGTCGCATAACAACCTCAAGAATATGTTTCTGACTATGCAGACTTGCTTGGATTCTGCTGTTACACATTCACACAGCACTCAGAAACTTTCTTTTGTGGCATTTATCACAATGAGTTACAATTAATTAGTCTGTCTCTTTTGCTAGGAATACAAGCTCCATGAAAACAGAAAACTACTACATGCCAGCATCTAGCACACTCTCTAAATATATCAAGTGCTCAATAATTATTTACTGATTGAATTAATAAATGCCTTCAAACCTTACTTTCTTATCTCTATGGAAGTTATAAAAATATTTACTTCAGAGTTGTTGACATGAATAAATTAGATAATATATAAAAACGGCTTAGCAAGTGCAAGGCACAGTGTTAAAGGTCAAATAATAGTAATGATGGTGGTGGTGATGGTTCAGTTCCTCATTTATTAAACAATATATACATTAGTGTGTGACAAGTGCTGAAGACAAAACCATGAACAAAATAGAAAAATGTCCTTGTCTTCCTCTTAAAGTCTAGTAGTGACCAGGACACAGTGAACTTTTTGACAATTTTACTGGGATTTTGGACTCCCTGCCCTCCTAGACACTGTAAATTTGTTTCCCATTTCCATCCCCTTATGTCCTCCTAATTCATATCTGTTGGTCTGTCATTTGTTCGTATGAACTCTGCTCCATGTTATTTTTCACTTGAACTATGAGATTTGTCCCCAGAGTTGCTCTTTCTGGGCTGTCATCTTGATCGGTCAATATGTTTTCTGGGGTTTGATGAAAATTAGCATTAGTGTCTCAGTCAGCTCTACCCTGCTCTACTACTTCTGTTGACCCAAAGAGATACATGATTCTAGCCAGTTTTATTCCAGTAGAGCAGAGCTTCTCACTCACCTAAAATCTGAGATGATTATAAGCTGAAAACATCTTAGGGTCCCAAAGAAAGAGAACTAGAGGTTTGAAATATTAGTATCCACTCTACCATGTACGTACCATGTAATGTCAACATTTGTTCGTTCACTTATTCATTAAATATTTATCAGGTAACTACTTTAAGTAAAGTACACTGTAGATCAAGTACATACAGATGTGAAGAAAATACAATTGACTATCCCCATATATTTCTAGTGAGAGTAGTAGATTTGCAAATTACTGATTATATTGCAATGTGAGAGCAGTATGATGGACTCCAGAAGTCACAAAAAAGGAAGAACTGACACTCTGGCTGAGAGGCTCAGTTGGTTGGAGCATTGTCCGGACACCAAAAGGTTGTAGGTTCAATCCCTGGTCAGGACACATACCTAGTTGAGGGTTTGACCCCTGGCCAGGGCACATATAGGAGGCAATGGGTCAGTGTTTCTTTCTCTCTCTCTTCCTCTTCCTGTCTCTAAAATCAATAAACATATCCTGGTTACAACTGGAAAGGTCAAGGAAGGCTTTCATTCTTCATTTCACAGATGAGGAAAACCAAGATTATGATCAAATTAGGAAGATGTGAAATACTCAGAAAAGGAAAGGCAGTGATGTCTTAGGAAATCTAGGCTGTAGTGTCAGCACTACCACTTAAGCAGCTATTGCCCTATAAGCAAGGTGTTCATTCATTCAGGCACTCGGGAGAACATTTGAGAACCTATTGGGTACCAGATACTGCCAGTAGCTTCCATTTCCTCATCTTGCATCTGCCAGGATCATCTCAGAATATCATGATGATCAAATTAAATTATACAAATGAAGCATTTTATTAACTATAGAATATCAATATTCTCATGTGTATAGTACTTCATACTTTACAAAGTACTCTTACATTGTCTTCTATAATTTTTTAAAGTATAAACAACAATTTCCTGTAGTGAGCATCATGATCTGCATTTTACAGATGAGAAACTGAAAGAGGTTTCAGAGAGAGGGCAAATAACCTGCCTATGGTCATACAGGTAGCAAGAGATAGAACCTAGGTCTGACACAAATCCCACTGGTTTTCCTTATAACTGTAAAGTACTAACACTTCCAGATAGGCAGAGACAAGGGTGGCCATAAAACTGCACATGATTAGGTACCAAAACATAATACCAGTGGGAAGTTCAGAAAATAAACAGGCACATTAGCTGGAATAGTCAGAAACATTTTCTGGAAAAGATGAAATGAGCTGGGCCTTGAAGGAAGGAGCATTTGGATAAGTGGTGAGAAGGGTGAGAGCACTCCATGAGAAGATTGCACAAGATCAAGAATCAGGAAGTCAGCGTTTGGAAAATAAATGAGAAACTATCTGGACAAAGCAGCAGAGCAGTGGAAGAGTGGTCTACAAAGGAGTGTAGAAGGGGGAAATGGCATCAGACTCAGAAGGGCCCTCTCTGCCTTTATATCTTCAGGTAACAGCCTAATGACATATTTCCATGGGCTCTCCTGGAGTATGGAATGGTTAAAAGAAAAAAAAGCATTCCTTGAAAAACTATCCCTCTCTTTCAGCATTCTTCAGAATCAAAGGCAAATAAAGCAGAATTGTGGAGTCACCAATCTGACCATCTTTAACAATAAATTTTTGAAACCTGCTTATTTTTTTCCTATTATTCTTTCACCAGATCTGGCTCAATGCTCAAAATTTGGCTAAGGTGAACAACAGTGAGTTATTTCATACAGAATGATAGGAAGTTTGGGCCCTTAAGGAAACAAAGCTACAGAAATTCAGGGGCTGCCAGAAGACAACTACTAGTAGATCATGAGCATGCTAATCTATGCATCATGGAGATACAGTCTCTACAATTAACATATAAAATAAAATTTTAACATAAATTGCTAAGTCATTAATTTACCAAGCAGCATAATACAACTGAAAGAGCAGAACTGAAATCTGTTCAATCTGTTGGGAGAAGAAGGGAAGGCCAAGGAATGCATTATTGGTGGTTTGTACGGTTTTACTGAAGTCATTTAAAAAAGGTTTTATAAGTAAAATGTATTTTATCACCACCCTTTCCTCATCGCCAAGTAGCCTCTCACATCACAATCAGTTCAGCAAGTCAAAACGGTATTCTTAGAAAAAAAAAAATCGAAATTGATGAGTTAGCGCAAAAATCAAGTGACCTGCTCAAGGTCGTACTGGGATCGGGATTTCTCCTGGTGTCCTGACCCCCACAGTAGGAATCTTCTATTTCAAGGTCATTGAAGACGAGGAGGGTGGCTAGCGGCAGGTGCGTGGCGTGCGGGAATGTGATGCTGAGTGTGCCCGGAGTGGAGAAGAGAGAGCACAACCCTTTGATTACAGCCTGTGCTGCCGGAAAGAGCCAGGTTCTCGCCAGTGTCTACATCCGGATGTCTGCAGAGGCGGCGATGGCCCGGACCATCTCCCAGCTCTGCTCTGCACTCCAAACCCTTGCGCCTGGCTTGCGAACCCACGTTACCTTTCCCAGAGCTCCGTTCATCCTTTGCTGGGCGGCCTGTTACTGTGTAAGCTGAAGATCCGTGCAAACCGCTGCACTCTCGGGTCGGCTGACAAAATGGGAAGGAAGGCCTGGGTCGGGTCCAGTAACAATATCCGACCGAGACTCACTCCACTCCCGCAGCACCTTGGTTCCGGCAGTTTCTGAGACTCATTTGTCCGAAAATCCCCCGCAGATTCCGCCCTCACTACAGCTCAAGTGTCACCCTCGCGGCTTTCTCCAGGCAAAATTAATTGCCATCTCTTGTTGCCCAGACACGTGGCACACAATTCTGCTGTTTCATCTACCATACTATATATTGTTACTATCTCTTTCCCATATTTAATTGTGAATTCCTCAAGGACTGAGATCCTGTCTGATTAATTCATTCTAGCATCTAGCACAGAGCATGGAAATCCGACTTCTAACCACTATTTAAAAGCTGAATGGGTGGGAAGGGAATCGGATTGATACTAAGTGAACTTTTCTGACATTCAATTGCCCCATAATAATCGGTAGTAACTATTTTTTATTGTGTGACCACTGTGTGCAATGCATTATGCTCAGTGCACCGCTTAACTGTGAATTTGTCTCTTTAGATGGTGTCTTAGCAACTCTGCCCCGATTTACCTACATAGCCCTTTGTAACTCCTTAGAACTTCATCATAGGAAGGACTGATAAAACAATAGGCTAAAAAAATCTTGGCAAGGTTTCTGACAATAAAGCAAACTCCCTATCTCTGAAGCCCCATTCATATTTACCAATTTTCACACCTTTTTCCTGCTAACAACAACAATAATAACAAAAACAGTAACAGTAGCAGCAATAATAATAATAATTGCATATATGTTATTTCACTTGATGTTGACTTCACGTGACCAGGTACTCCCTTCACACATGGAGTCTTTGTACCTCTGATTGGAATTCTGCATAGCTTTATTGTTGTCTGTTTATGACTCAGTCTCTCCACTAATTTTTGTGAGCCACTTTTTAAACATATATACATTTAAGGTTTACAATATGATGATTTGATATACATACTGGAATTATTGCTTCAGTCAAGCTAGTTAAGATATCATCTCACAAAAAAGTTACCTTTTTTGTGATGCAAGCACCTAAAATCTACTCTCTCCACGTTTTCATTATTCAGTATGGTATTTTAAATTATAGACATCACATTGTACATTAGACTCTAAACTTATTCACCCTGGATAACTGGAACTTTGTACCCTTTGAACATCTCCCATTCTCCCCTTCCACACCTCCCACCCAAAACCCTGGTGACTACCATTCCATACTCTGCCACACTCTGTGAGTGTGACTATATTACGTTCTACACATAGGTGAGATCATGGAGTATTTATCTTTCTGTGCATGGCTTATTTCATTTAGCATAATGTCCTCAGGTTCATCTATGTTGTCCCAAATGACAGATTCTCCTTCTTTTTAAAGGCTGGTAAATCTACCATTATTTATATGTACTGTTTATACTGTTTTCCTTAATGGCTGTACTAATTTACATTCCCACCAATAGTGTGCAAGGGTTTCCTCCTTTCCCCACATGCTTGACAACATTTATAAATGTTACCTCTTCTATTTAGCCTCTTACACCCACCTTACAGGAATGGCGTAGTGCAGTCCTTCTACTGTTATCTGCACAGATCATTATTCATGCTCTTAACGCTGTGTCTTGTAACTATTTGTTTACATTAACTTGATGAAACTTTATCAAAAGATGGATGATGGGTATGTTTTCTCACTTTGTAGTTGAAGGAGAGATGATAGATGGCTTTGCTAAGCTTAAATGACTTGTACATGACCAGGCCAAGGGCAATAGATTTTTCACTCTAGAAGTCCCTTCTTATGGTCAACGATACCAAAAGCACTCTAGAAGCTTTGGTATCCTTCCAGTGCCAACTTTAAATCTCAAATCAGTGAATTGGCACTTACACAGCACACATGAATTTGGGCTACTAGCAATTTTACTGAGCAATTGACAATGAAATCAGCCTTTCCTAGATAAGAATGGAAACTTAATGCACCGAAGCACCAAATTCTTTTTCTTTTTCAAAATATATTTTATTGATCATGCCATTACTGTTGTTCTATTTCCCCCTTCATTCCCCTCCACCCTGCACACCCCCTCCCCCATCATTCCCCCCTTTAGTTCATGTCCATGTGTCATACGTTCTTTAGATTCTGTATTTCCCATACTATTCTTGTCCTCCCCCCTATCTATTTTCTACCTACTGTCAATGCTTCTTATTTTCTGTACTTTCTCCCCCTTCTCCTCCTCCCACTCCCCTGCTGCTAAATCTCCATGTGATCTTCATTTCTGTGGTTCTGCTCCTCATCTAGCTGTCCTCTTAGTTTGCTTTTGTTTTAGGTGTGGTTGTTAATAACTGTGAGGTTGCTGTCCTTTCACTGTTCATCTTTTTTATCTTCTTTTTCTTAGGTAAGTCCCTTTAACGTTTCATATAATAAGGGCTTGGTGATGATGAACTTCTTGAATTTGGTCTTATCTGAGAGGCACTTTATCTGCCCTTCCATTCTAAATGAAAGCTTTGGCCCTGGCTGGCATAGCTTAGTGGATTGAGCAGGGGCCTGCTAACCACACGATTGTGGTTTGATTCCCAGTCAGGGCAGATGCCTGAGTTGCAGGCCAGTTCCCAGCAGGGGACTCACGAGAGGCAACCACACATTGATGTTTCTCTCCTTCTCTCCTTCTCTTCCTCTCTAATAATAAATAAATAAATCTTTAAAAAAATAAATGAAAGCTTTGCTGGATAGATCAATCTTGGATGTAGGTCTTTGGATTTCATGACTTGGAATACCTCTTTCCAGCCCCTTCTTGCCTGTAAGGTCTCTTTTGAGAAATCAGCTGACAGTCTGATGGGAACTCCTTTGTAGGTGACTGTCCCCTTAGCTCTTGCTGCTTCTAGGATTCTCTCCTTCATTTTAATCTTGGGTAATATAATTATGATGTGCCTTGGTGTGTTCCTTCTTGGGTCCAACTTCTTTGGGACTCTCTGAGCTTCCTGGATTTCCTGGAAGTCTATTGCCTTTGCCAGATTGGGGAAGTTCTCCTATATTATTTGTTCAAATAAGTTTTCCACTTGTGGCTATTCCTCTTCCCCTTCTGGTACCCCTATAAGTTGGATGTTGGAACGTTTAAAGATGTCCTGGAGGTTCCTAAGCCTTTCCTCATTTTTTTGAATTCTTGTTTTTTCATATTTTTCTGTTTGGTCATTTTTTTCTACCTTCTGGTCCACTCCATTGATTTGAGTCCCAGTTTCCTTTCCATCACTATTGGTTTCCTGTGTATTTCCCTTCATTTCAATTAGTTTCGCCTTCATATGTTCCTCTAATTTGTGTCTAAAATCAACCAGTTCTGTGAGCATCCTGATCACCAGTGTTTTGAACTGTGCATCTGATAGGTTGGCTATTTCTTGGTTGCTTAGAGTTATGGGCTCTGGGGCTTTGAGTTCTTCTTGAGCCTTGTTTTGGTCTGTTTGTGCCTGTTACGTATGAGGAGCGGAGCCTTAAGTGTTCATCACCAGGGCGGGGCCACTCGGGTCGCTGGTTTGTGACGCTGTATGTGGGCGCATGGTCAAAGAGGGGCAATGGAGGTCCCCTCTGCTACTTCCCGCTGCTGGGGCCTGCGCAGTTTGTCTCACTGCTCGCTCCTTTGCTGGTTTATCTGCGTGCAAATGTATGAACGCGGTCAGACTGCCGCCTGTGCCCTCGCTGGGTCTGCCCATTGCTACCCTGCAATTGGGATCCACGAACAGTTGCTTGAGCACCTGGGTGGGGTCTTGTGGATCTGTCCTGCCCAACCTGCTCTGCTGCTGGCTCCACCCCTCTTACCAGTCTGGTTGAATAGTTTGTTGTTGTTGGACTCTTGTATAGTTCAATTTTCTGTGTTTTGGCTGCATTTTTATTACTAAAACTTTGTTGTCTTTAAACTTGTTTGTGTGAGGAGGTACAGTGTTCCCACCTACGCCTCCATCTTGGCTGGAAGTCTCTTTTTCAATCCTATAAATTTCTTCTCCATTTCCAGACAGCTATCTCCCAATCTTTGCTTATTTTAGACTTAGTCCTGGTAGCATATTCTTAAAGAAGTATTCTTCCCGTCCTCGCCCAGTAGATCAGTTGGTTAGAGCATCATCCCCATACGCTAAGGCTGCTGGTTCAGTCTCTGGCCAGGATACATACAAGAATCAATTAATAAATGCATAAATAAGTGGAACAAATCTCACGCTCTCTCCTCTCCCTCCCTTCTTCTTGCTAACATCAATAAATAAATTTTGAAAAAGGAGTATTCTTCCTTTTTCTATGTGTCCTCAGCATTTGGCACAGGTAATAGAACACAATGGGGCTTTAATAAACATTGAATGGGCCCTGGCCTGGTAGCTCAGCTGGTTAGAACATTGGCCCAATACGCCAAAGTTGCAGGTTCTATGTCTGGTCACAGGGCACACACAAGGAGTAACCAATGAATGCACATATAAGGGGAACAATAAATCAATGTTTCTATCTCTCTGCCTCCCTCTCTATCAAGTCAGTAAAAAATAAAATAACTAAATGTTGAACAAAATAATGAATAGTTAAAAGTTCTTAGATGTTATTACGGAATTTAGATTCTCCAAGATCTTGACCCACAGATAAAAGCATGGAGGAGCTCTGCCTTTCTGGCTTTATTTTGCAGGCCCATTTTCTTTAAAAAGATTTTTAAAAATCCTGTTTCAGTTTTCAGTACAACCACATCAGAGAAAGCTTTAGGAAACAAGGGAGAATAAAGGGAGGCCCTTTAGAAGAATATGTTTGATCCCAGTTAAACTTCCTTTAAAGTAATCCTTCTTTGGTACCTATTATATTATAAAAAGTTTCCCAAGGGTGACATAATAGCTCTACTTTATGACTTAAGTGAAAATATATGTGTTAAACTAACTCCAATTGAAAATTATTTTAGCTTCAGTAGGACATTTCTGCTTCTATATTTTGGTGTGGTTTTAGTACAAAGAAAACCATACTTTAAAAAAAATCAAGGCCATAGGTGCAAGAGATCTGGTTACCCAGGAAAAAACAGAAAGGT